TTCATGACGGTGTTGAAGCAAATTATGTTATAGATGCTTGCAAGAGCCTAAGACCTTTAAAAAAACACTAAAAAGCACACTGAAAACGGACAAAAATGGACAAAACGAGTGATATAAACTGAAACTAGTCTATACGTGAAAAACAAAAAAAACCGAATAGTAAGCTGAGGCAAAACCACAGGTAACTATTAAATATAGTGAAACTCAAAAAAAAGTAATCTACCGAACGTATAGCTCAGGATAGATTCTTTAGAACTGAAATGGTACTTTTGTTGCGTAAGAACACAGCAAAAGTTTGATAAATGCAAATCACGTTAGGACTAAACTTCCCGTTCGTCTTCAATTTCAAAACTTCAGTCAGTCTTCTGGAGTAACTATAGGAGGTCTATCGACTTATATTGGTCCATGCAATTTGTGTCATAGTGGAGGTCCAAACTCGTTTTGAATATATCACCAGAAGGTGCTGATATCACGTGTTCTGTTAGAGAATTCTAGTAATTAATATCAGAAGGCCTTTTGCGGATATTATATTAAATTCAAAAGTTGAGATCATGAGTCAGTTGAACATAACCCACCATGGAAAATCTGGAAACACTGGACGGTCTTTTCGTTCTATTGTGAGTTTCCTCAATTTCATGGATTATTTTGAAGTTACACAATCACACCGTTGGATGCCGGCTCTGTGGTCTAGTGGTTAAACGCCCGCGCGCGAGACTGAGAATTTCTGGGTTTGAATCTCACGAGGCGGGATCGTGGACGGGCACTGCTGAGGGACGAGGCGACCGTCCAGTGCTTCCAGGTTTTCCATGGTGACCTAGCTTCATTTGACACGTGATCTCAACTATTGAAATTATAGTATTTGACTACTCAGTGCGAGAAATGAAACGCCGGATGTAGACGATGTGATCTTCTTGTTTGAGTGTTCTTTAAATTTTATCTCAAATGATCAGTCCTAAACAGAGGGAAAAGATAGGCCATAATAATACCAAAGTGTTATATTTAGGTTGTAGTGACTCACATTTATCACGAGAACACGACTGGTTTAATAAAAACAATTATTATTATAACCAACTGTACCAGTGTTTGTTTTAATGTGCTTTTGTTTGACTGTGCTAATGACAGCTATTTTGTGCTTCCATTCTTTTACTTACACTTTGATTGTAACTTCGCGCGAATTCGGTTACGTTCTGTAACCAAGCTTGTATTCTGGCACGATCTCGGTATCCTTTCGATGCCACGAGATCGCCAGCGAATACATCTCGATTTGGTCCATTAACTGTCTTCTGATATTTGGCTTCTCGGGGATTTTATGGATTTATTTGGTTACGTCCAACCTTCGCCTTCTGATTCATTTGGCACGTGTTTCTTGGTAGCGGTGTTCATAGTTAACCTCAACTCGACGCCACGCTACAAGGTCATCGTTCAGTAAACGATGAGCCAATATCAAATCACCCCATATTCTACGGAAATAACTTGAGGTGTTTCATTCTGTCTTCATAGGGCAGGCCAGATAGACCTTTTACCGTCTTGGTACCTCGTTTTTGAACTCGTTCCGGTATATCTGTTTCATACTTGTAAAAACAAATAGCTGCTTGATTCCCATGTTCCGAGTGTGGTATGATGATCTAAATATTTCATCATCCAAATACTCTAAAGACCTACGAATAGGCTATTATACCCGATAGCCTTTTGCAGCGGCAGCCTCACAGTGACTGGTGGTTTTGAGATCACTGCTTAGTATGACTCTTAAATCTTTATAGGTTCTCACTTTGTGTAGCCCTCATTCACACATAGTATAGTGATACGAATCATCACAATTATTTAATTGCATCACCACGCTCTTCTTAGGATTCATTTCTGTTAACCACCTGTCCATCCATGCCACCAATGAGCTGAGATTATCCGGTAATAGTATTCTACCTCACAAACTGTGTATGGGTCTCCAAATCTTTATGTCATCGGCAAAGAGTAGAACAGATGGTTTTGCTATATTTTGTAATTCACGTACATAAAGTAAAAATAGAATAAGACCGAGGATTTCGCCTTGCAGATAAGCAGAATAAGCGCACTGTTTACGTTTTGAGTCCTCAGTAGTAAAAGAGCGTTTATAATCACGAGAATCACATCCTTCGTGATATTTCATCTGTGAGCTGTAGGGAAATGCAAATTAGTATATTTTCTAAAGGGTAAGCATTCAGTTATTTGAGGCGCTCTTCATAGTTTCTGAATTTGGGTTCATCAACCGATTTCCTGGCTAACCATTGAATACATTCCCAACTAACGATCTTTTGGTGTGTGTAATCATTATGTTTCCGTGATTTAAATGGAGTCGAGTAAAACTTTTGGGACAAAGTAGAATGGTCTACCATCAAACTGGTCAAAACGAGCTTCAAAGTTACCAACACATCGTCCTCTCTAAAGCGGCTTTTGCATTGGCACTGTAGATCACCAACGTAGATGATCTATGTCGAATGATTGTGGCCCACTAGAGTTGGACAAGAATCGTGTGACGAACCAGCTATTGTCGAAGTCACACCTCTCGGTCAACACCTTACGCGGATTTCTCCATCAACGTACCAAGATACTATAGATGCTTTGAAGACTGTACAACACAAAGTACGTTAATACAGAAATATATTAGATGAAGTAGGTGCATGCAAAAGCAAGACCACCGCCGCATAGGCCAGCCCATGGTGTACGTCTGACTGGTACGCGTTGGTCGTCATTGACCCTGAAAGGGATTGATGATCTGTTCGATATTCAGTGGCCCAACTGCAGTAGGTTAAGCGTTCGCGCGGTGGCTGAAGGCCCTGGTCTGGAATCCGCGAGCGGGATCGTGGATGCGCACCGCTGAGGAGTCGCACAATGGAACGTAACGGCCGTTCAGTTCTTCCAGGTTTCCAACTATGGTCTAACATCAATCGGTTTATGATCTCAATCAAATAGTTTATGTTTGAAGTTCCGTTTCTCGCCCAGAGTAGTGAATCACTGGAATCCCCTACCAGAACAAGTAATATTAGCAACTTCTGTTGACACATTCGAAGCGAGACTGGACCTCCACAGTAGTACAAATTGTAAGAATTTATAGAGGTCGATAAACATTTTATCTAAACATTTAATCGTCTGAACACTGGAAAGATCTACGAATTGACCATAATACCCTATAGCCTTTTTCAGCAGCAGCAGCTTTACAGTGACTGGTGGTTTTGAGATCATTGCTTAATATGACTCATAAATCTTTATAGTTTCTTACTTTGGGTAGCACGAATCCACGTAGTGTATAGTGATACGATTCAGCAAAGTTATTTAACTGCATCACTACACTCTTATTAGGATTTACTTCTAGTGACCACCTGTCCAACCATGTCACTAATGAACTAAGATCATCCTGTTATACCATTCTACCCAATATACTAGGTATGGGTCTCCAAATCTTTATGTCATCAGTGAAGAGTAGAACGGATGATATTGCTACAGTTGTCAATTAATTTACATATAGTAAAAAGAGAAGAGGACCTAGGAGTGTACCTTGGGGAACCCCACTTTTTACAGGTAGCCACGAAGAGAGAGCCCCATTAACCCTTACCTATTGTCTCCTGTCATGGAGAAAGTTACTTATCCAATCTACGACTGTATAATGGATTCCGAAACGTTTCAGTTTGAATTTAAGACCAGAGTGGGAAACCTTTTCGAAGGCGTTGGTTAGATCTATGAAAATGACATCCACAAGAATATTCCGATCTTTTGCAGCAGCCCAATCTTATAATTTATCAATATTTTTCTTTTTAATCGTTAAATATACTTAGTTTCTTATCTAGAAGCATCCGTTACTAACTATCAATAGATACGGAACCCAGTTAAGCAACAGCTTATTCTGTGGGGTCCCCCAGGGCTCAGTACTAGGGCCTCTTCTCTTCTTGATCTACATAAATGATCTTCCTCAACAGGTGACGTCAGATTTATTACTTTTTGCCGACGACGTGAAACTTTGGAGAGAGATACGCAACCAAGACGATACACAGGCACTTCAGGATGATCTGACGCGACTTCAAAGTTGGGCAGACGATAACGGACTTACCTTTAACACTTCAAAGTGTAAAGTAGTCCATCTGCGACATGTAGCAAACTACAGTTACAACTTAGGAAACTCCTCTCTAGTAGTATCCCAAGTCGAAAAAGATTTAGGAGTCCTGGTACCCCATGACTTAAAGTCTTACGCTAACTGTGACAAAAATGCCTTCCGAGCAAACCTTGCACTGGTAACGTTGAAGCGCATTTTTGGGCAGTTTGACGGACGAACTTTCCACACAATCTTCAATAGTTTTATCCGTCCCCATTTAGAGTACGGAAACATAGTACTCCCTCCCTCACTCCAGAAGGACAAGGTCACTTTGGAGCGTATCCAACGGCGAGCCACGAAATCAGTTCGAGGACTCAAATCTAAGCCTTACGAAGAACGCCTCCGTTCACTAGACCTTTACCCACTAGAATATAGGCGTCTTAGAGGTGATTTACTAATGGCTTACAGTATTCTTAACACTTCTGGACATCCTCTTAAACACCTACTTAAGCTTAGTTCGAATAATAACCTAAGGGGTAACACCCAGAAACTGGAAACACAACATAGCAAGACGGAATGTAGACACAACTTCTACTCCTTAAGAGTTGTCAAAAGCTGGAATTCGCTGCCGGCCGAGCTAGTCCAAGCGACTTCTCAGGAGTCCTTCAAGAGGCAACTTGACCTATTCTTAAGGACCAAGGACAGCATCACATTATGATTTACCAATTTCTTTTCCTTTTTATTGTTAACATACTTAGGTTCCTGCCTGGAGGATTTGGTGATCCCCTGCTACTAGACACGGAAGCCTGTTAAGCGAAAGCTTCTTCTATTCCGTCCACAACCATTTGAACCATTTGAACCATTTGTTCCGTCTAGAGCCATTTGAACCGTCTGAACTCAAGGTCTAGGTCAAGCCGCTGGATTTTATTTAATCGGAAGGATGGTTTTCGAGTCGCTTGTTGTAGAACTTATCAATAGGTACTTAGGCTCATACATAGAAGCACTGAATGCATCTCAACTAAAAATTGGTCTACTTGGAGGTGGGTTTAGTTTTGTCTAATTCATTCAATTCAGGAAATGCTCAGCTTGACAACTTAGACATCAAAGCTAATGCTTTCGATGATTTGGATTTACCTGTCAAAGTCTTGCAAGGTCACATAAGTAAGCAAAAATTACTGCATCTACTTCTAGGTTCCTTAACTCTTAAAATACCCTTCAAAAACCTGTTCACAGAACCTACTATTGCTGAGTTAAAGGGGCTATATGTTCTCATTGTCCCAAACATAGGTAAGACCGCACCCTGAAGTAGAATATTTCTTCAGCTGTGGAATATGACGAAGCAAAAGAAAAGCGCTACGCCAAAGAATCGAAACAAAAGGAGCTAGTCAGTTTGGAGACAGCTCGTTTGAAACCTAAGCATTCAAGTAGTATTTTAAAATTAAATTAACCATTCCAACTCCCTCAGATGACTCCAAAGCAGATTCTTTCGGTGAAAAGTTGGCAGCACAGGTTATCAAAAATCTACAAATTTCCATCAAAGATATTCATATACGATATGAGGATAGTTTTAGTATCCCAAATCGTACTTTCTCTCTTGGGCTAACCTTAAGTGAACTAACATTTCAGGTAAAATATATGTCGGCTTACACATCCTTTTAGACGTGCGATATTAACCAGAAGCCTATTTTTATCAAGGATGAGTCCATTCGCCAATTCATTAAAGTTTGTGCAATAAATAACTAATAACCTTACAGTTTGTAAAACTTACAAGTCTTGGTGTGTATTGGAACCCAATGTCCACGAAGTTTGCAGAAAAAGCAAAAGTTCCTCTTCGGGTATGTCAGTCAGTTCTTGCAGAGTGTTTTCTAGAGTGCTATGCGCAACTCAATCGCCAGCCCAGATAATCTTAACACAGGCTTTCATTACTGTACGTTTCGTAACAATTTTATATTCATTTTCAGTGGTAAAACCGATTTCGTCCACGGCAATGCTTCATATTCACACAAGACCAGAGGAGACAAACTACTCTATACCACAGATGGACTTGGTTATTAACTTTGCCGAAATAGAATTGTGTTTTAGCCTTTCTCAATACCATGATATTACTTGTTTTTTGGAAGCTCAAGACAGAATAGTAACCCAGGGGAAATACCGTAAATACAGACCGTTGACGCCGATTTCACAGAATTACAAAGTCTGGTGAGTTTTGCCTGTTGGTTTAGTAAATAAACTCTTCATATAAGTTCCTCTTATAATTTTTAATCCGATATATATATATATATATATATATATATATATATATATATACTTATAATCTCACCATAGGATTACCAGACATAATAAATGAACCGTTCATGTTTACTAAACTTAATAAGCGTGATTAGGCGAACAATTACAGTTGAATCCTGTATATAGGTGTTAAAAACACAGCATATATATGTGTGGAACTAGATCCCAACATAAATTTCGAAACAAGATTCCGAAAACGGCAATGCAAGTAGTACTTAAATTTTTACCGTCGTTAGCTAGATATTGCATATTAAGACCGAATAATGAGTAGGGCTCTTAGCATCTCCGCTGGCAAGTCGTTAAAAGCTATGGATTTTTAAATAACCCAAAACTGGGAAAAAGAATGGGGCTTTGACGAAAGCCAGCAGTTTCAGGTGGCGCTTCCGGCTAATTGTTTAAAAAATGGCAATTTTGTTTCACTTCCGAACTTGTTTCTATCTACCTCAACTTCACATCTTCAGTCCTCACAATGTCTCCATATTAAGTAAATAAACCTGTACTCAGCAATAGTTATATAGGTTTTAGAGTTTGTGTATCTAACGTTTTCTGGCTATCAGCGCAAAAATAATATCATGCCCATTGCTGGGATCTAGGTATACAGGTTACTTTTCAGTTTCGTAATACTTCTTTATTACCACTAAAAATGTTCCTATTAAATTTAGGGTGATAGTGTTGAAAAACCGGAATTTTCATAGATCACATTAATTTATATCTTCATAAGATTACTCTAAAATGTAAATGAAATTATTGCTTTAATCACATATAGGTGGCAGTTTGCATACAACGCTGTTTTGGAGGAGTCTGTTCGTCGTAGACGTCTCATGTGGTCATGGGAACATATATCAAAACATAGAAAATATCGAGAGAGTATATTGCAATCTGGAGAAAAAAGCTGTCTGGAGATAAACTCAGTCAGGCTCAGTTAGCTAATTTAGAGGTAAAAATCACTCAAAAAGCTGATCCTATTTTATCTCTGAAATTGATATATTTTTAATTGCCTTTTCATTAAGTGAATTTATCATACTTTCTGACCAATTTTTACAAATTTGAGGGTGTACAGCAGTAGTAAGAATACAATAATTCAGTTCATTATTCGATGTAATTAATGTAACTCGTTTGCTAATTATATTCTCGCGTCTGAACATCAGTTTTTTTAAGGCTAGTGATGCTACTTTCCTACTGAGACTTAATCAATTGAACAGGTTTTAGAATTTGAGGCCTATTAGTTTTAAAATGATTACTTTAACCACTAAGCATCCATACTGTTGTGTTAAAACGTCCAACTGTACTTTGTTGTACTAATAGTATAGGTCAGCTTTGTCGTTTCACAAGTTATTTGTAAGTGTAAATCAATTGATAGAGTTGCTAACATTGCACGATTTCGCTTCTCATTTTTGGACTGTGGTCATAGGTCCTCCATTTTCTGAACCATCAAACTATCCAACCCAAAAAATGCAACGGCGCTAAAAAGGTGTATTTGAACTTTAAATCTTTTTTCATTTCGAGATGTGAATCATCCTCAATAAATTTGCATCGTAATATAATTTTGGTGACCAAAGTCATAGGACATTTTATTTGATGACTAGTTTTTTTCCCTTTCTCACTTTTCATTTTAGGCATATGAAGAGTTTCTGGATGTTTTCAATATTGTATTATGTCGACAACAAGCTGAACTTCAGGTATACATCTTTAAATGATTTTATAAGCTTAGCATGTTTCTATAACCTTTATACGGATTTGATACGTATGGATAAATCGATGGCGAATTAAATGATGGCGGTTGAAGTTGCCTATCGTTGTCGGATAGTTTTCATAACCATCGACTGTTAACTAACATGGTGTCCCATTCATTCTATTTTAGTAGACTCTTACTGAGTGCTCACACCCCGTTTTTTTAGATGAATAATCTAGCACTAAGTACTTAACATCAATGTAACCTTGTTTACTGTTCGAAAGTTAACGAGTTTTTACGTAATTCACCTTTACTGAATATTACACAAGCATGTGACTTGTATTTTAAAAAATGAAGTTCCACTTTACTATACGGAAATAATTTGCTCTCATTTAGATGTAGATTATAGTATTTTATCTGTCGCATATTGTTTTCTAATTCGTATTTTCCCTTAATCAAACAAAGTATTCCGAAAAGAAAGTAAAAAAGCGGAAACCACGTTTTAAGAAGGTATGTTCGGCGTCGCATCTATTATCTGTCGTATCATCAAAGGATATTGTGATGTAGTACCAGTGGTGTTTATGCTTATCGTTGTACTTTAGTTGGTTGTATAATTATGTTAATTTGTTTCCTTCCTGATAACTTATGAATAAAGAGTTGTGAGATTTATATTCAGATGTTACAAAAGTTTAACTTAAGTTAGTAGTAATCTTTTGCACTTATATCATTAATATATTTAGATGTATAAACATATTTTGTATTACTTGTTAATGTTGTGGTATTTGTAAAATTGCAGATTTTTATTAACTAGTCTTGACAATTATCTGTCGATTTTCATGACATGTTGATTTAAGGCAAACACTTATTACAAATATAAATTTATTTAATTCTTTGTCAGGTTTTAATAATAAACATGTCCTAGGGTGTTGATCAAGTCTAAGAATACCAGTCATTGTACTTGGTTTGATGAATTCAAAATACAGCGTTGTTCACAATTCTTTTCGGTAAGGCACTTCAAAATATACCTAGCACTTTATTTCTGACGGTTGTTTGAACGGGATCTAGTTGTTATTCAAACATTGCATATCTTGACATTAACCGTTTAATTAATCAAAGATCTCAGGTGACACATGCCTCGAAATTGGACGTAGTGATACAGGTGCATGTATTATTTATCTTCTCATACATCTTCAGTTTCGATATTATTTCATACTTCTCATTCCCTTCATTTCTTATTATCGAACCATATTTTTTACTATCATCAGCACCACTACTACTTCAATATGTTTGGCGTCCACTTTGAAAATCTAGTCTCAATGTGCTGGTATGATTTATGAACTTATGTCGGTATTCCTTTATCCTAGGATATACGTTGTTTTTGACGGACTGATTAACTTAAACTAACCAATGAATTTTAAAACCTTCATGTTTAAAGTGTATTATAAATCCAAAGTGATGGTTTATTTTCTACTGAAGAATCAGAGATATTTTTGTTGTTAGACTGTTGCTACTTAAATTTAAGGTCCCCCTAAATCTAGGCTTCGTGCCAGTCGACACCCACTATGTTTTTATCGTGTAACAGTTTAATTTAATTAATTTGGATGTTATCTGCACTTTATCATGCCGCGATGGGTTAGATTTAATGTAATTTATAAAAGATACTGCCTAAGATATATTAATTAACCATTTACTTTTAACATATCTTGGCTATAATAATGTACATAGCCAAAGTGTATTGAAAAGAAATAATAACGAAAAAATATTACTAAACCTTGCCTGGAACACCAGTATATACATAAATTTTTTAATATTCAGTATTTACTGGTATAATTTTTCACGGTAATAAAAACGTTACAAAGCTATTAGAGGTATCCTTTTTTTGATAACTGCATGATGTGCAACACCAATCACTCGTGTATTTTCGTCAGATTTTCGGTAGCATACAGTACGGAGGTAAAAAAACCCTATGGCGAATCTAAATTTGTCATTGTCGTTGTTATTGTTTGTTGTCTTGAAATATTCCTTTTTATGTGAACATTTTTTCCTCCTATTGTACTTTATACGATACCGAATAATTTTGTGCATAAACTGATCCCATATTAAATATTTTTATGGTTATGCTCCTTTAACTTAGAGAGTTGACAGTATTCCCCTTTTGTTTTCTGTCTTTTTAAAAAAAAACTATACTGTCATCCATAGTTTTCCATATTAAAATAAACAACTGAAATTTGTCAACTAAGTTATGGTTACAAACGAGTTAATTTCAACTTTTATTATGGTGCATAAGCGTTTATTTACTTAAACCGTCAATATGACATAATTAAATGGAGTGTTTTGGAGATATTTTGTTGTGTCAGTTAGATGGTTTTTATCATGAAGCTTTCATTAGCTTACTAACCAACGTCATCAGCTTATACTTCAAAATAAAGTGACGTACTCTGGATTGTTCATCCAAAGCCACACGGAAAATTACTCATGGTGGCATGTTTTTTTATGGCTCTTCATTTTTTCATTGTTGATATTCAAACCTGGATTGATGGGTAGCTCGTTGTTACGTGTATAATAAATGATCTTTTAAAAACTAATTATTAAAAGTCATTGGCATGAAATTTTACTTTTCAAACTAATGAAAATTAAAAAAAGACATTGGTCAATTTAGTTCTATTCAACCGATGCAAATGATCTGTGGTAATTTTTAATAATCATCTTTTTTCCTTTCATATTTTCTTTGTTCACAACTTTACAGTTTAATGCTTCTAAACAGAAACAGGGTCAAAAAGCTAATTCAAAGAGTGGTGGTTGGTTTAGTTGGTTTTCACGTGGTTCTGCCGTTGGGTCAGACGATGTGGAAAGTTCGTCAGAAGGTGATTTAATGAAACGTTTGGAAACTGAAATGACATCAGAAGAAAAGGCACATTTATTTGCTGTTATTGATTATTCAGAGTCAGCTGCGTCAGGTGTTTCTGGTTCTGCAATTAATTTCCCAATAAGTTATGTATCATCTTCTGTTGCTGTTACTTTAAGACAACTTAGTTTAGTACTTTTAGATGATAAATTAAGGTAAACATAATTTTCTCACTTTTTACAGTCAATTATGTATATGTTTTCTGTTTTAATATGTTGTCTTATTAACCATTTAAGATATAAAATTTCTAAAAAAGCGATGATCTCGGGTGTTATTTTCAATATTTGCCTTAGCTTTGCTTACTTATACAATATCTAATGAGTAATTTAGTTTTACTATCTCAGTTGAATACTTTTTATCTACGAATGATAGTTTCAGATTACTAATTACCTGTTCAGTTTGCTAGTCGGCGTTTCTGTCTTCTGGAATCTACTTGTTTAGTATTTCATGATCGGTCTCATAAGCGAAATTATGCCCACCCTAGTTATCTCAATACTTTTTATCTAATCTGTTCACTCACTTTAATAACTATTATAAGCGAATATTCATTTTTACAATCAAATTAGTTCCTACCGAAAGTGAGAGGTTTTTATTGAGTATTTTTTCGAAATATCTTTTTTTAAATGGGATTTCATTCGAGCTTCTAATTAATTATAAAAGTATAAGACGCTAGAATGAAGGAACATGGCTGATTTGAAGATCATTTTAATCTAAATCATGAACATTATTATTATTATTAATATTATTAGTGCATCTTATTTCATAACATCTTTAGAATACTCCTGTTGTTTTTTATATTCTTTTTCTCTCAGTGATCCTAATGTGCTGAAATTCTCCGTGAATAAACTCACTGCCGATGTTAAACAACGTGCAGGTGACCAAGCTTTAGCGTAAGTTACGTAAAGCATGGAATATGGAATGTGTTAACTGTTTGTAGTGAAGTAACTTATTGATTATACTATGCTAGAAATTTACCCGACCGTTGCTGCTACCTTGACTTAGTGGTCGGGCTTGCCTACCGCGATGAACCAATCGGGCTATACTAGCTGGAACAATCGTTTCTTAAGGTCCTACTATGACAGACAGGTCAGTTGAAGAGCGGTAAGACTAAAAGCAGAAAACCCAAGGTGTGAGTGCGAAGTAGTACTGCTGACTGTACAGAGGTGTAACGGCAGTAATGTGTTTCCTTCAGACAACCAGCATAACAGCGATGCTGTCTTCCTACAAGGAGAGGTCTGGTTAGAAAAGGTCGACCCTAAAAGTACACACCTCCTTATCCTAAGGGTTTTCGTCTCCGGTGGTAAGGTTCCAATAAGTACGGAGCTAACACGAGAAATACTCAGAAAAAGGTCGTGTGTGACCGACCTTAAGCAGTTGTCCCTTGGGCACTGCGGTCACGCTCAGGTCACTCAGATCAAATCTAACCCAATTTATTTTCCAGGTACCTTCAGATGAACCCTTCCACTGTGAGGATATCCGTGAAGTGGTAACCGCCTTCATACTTTAATTTTACATTCGTTTATGGTGTGCAGTGTCCCAGATGTGATACCGAAACACAACGTCCTACGCGTTCACCACTCAGTCTGACTACTTGGGCGAGAAAAGGGAAAGTCTAGTGAGCAGCCGAACAATATGCCTAAATTTCCATATATAAAATCAATCAACTTCTTAGTCAATGATATGCATTTGTCCTCAAGTCGTTCCTAATTATCATCAAGAAACCTCGCTTGACCACTTTACTAGCTCGCTATATCACATTCCTAAATTAATTTGTATCTTTTTTTGATTTGAAGAACAATAAAATGTTTTTGTTATTTTTAGTAATGCTGTAATCTTCTGGATTGAGATTTTATTTTAATATGAGAGCCGCTAGAAACGAGTGACTACATAACTCAAAATCCGTCACAATAATGCCGATCCATTAAGTGTGTTATCTCCCTTTAGATCTTGAGTTCCAGTTTTTATTCGTACATAACCTTTTTAAAAATTCCTTCTCATTGTTTAATATTTCTCACTATCGTTGCTACTACTCTCATTTCGACTTGTTAACTGTCCATCTGGTTTATTCTATCTTATCTATTGTGGCTAAAGCACATATGTGCCAGACTACGTTGATTATGACAGTCTAGCTGGTTGATATCGGCTAAGACACCATTAATATTATTAAATAGTATCCATTGCCCCATTGGCATGTGGAAACTGGTGTCTTTTGGGTTTTTTTAGGGTGTATTCGCATCATAGTAAAACTGTATCTAATCAATAACCTAAGATTTTACACCGACACTTCTGTTCTAAATTAAAATAATACAAATTAATTACAATCTAAAAGGTTGTATATAAGTAAGTGAATTCATATTTTAGTCTTTTTTACCTGTAATCCGATCTACCCATTTATACAGTTAATAGTGACAAAAGTTATTTATCACTATAGTAATTCAATCTACCTTCAGACCAAACAAAATGTAAATTAAGACAGGATAAACTGACTGTTCTACACTTATCATATGTAAAAACACAGTCGATTTGTTAGTAATAGAAGTCAGTCAGTCAGTCAGTAACAACGTAGAACTTCGTACGTACGTACGTACATCAGTTCGAGTTGCCACACCACATTAGCACAGAGATGCAGTGGTCGATTCGAATCCCGTAGTGCTAGATGTAGTAAAATTATAAGCTGTAATCAGAAAAACTAGGGTTTGAAGATGTTATTCAAGGAGTATAATCCAGTGAAATAAATTTGGAAAGAGAAAAAAGAAAGGGACAGGAAGAATTCAGAAGATTAGAATTTGGGAGAACACAAAGAGTGAATGCACCTGCGCCATTGCAAACGATTTTGAACCATGTCATTCAGGGTCTCTAACCATCGGTTGCTATCATCTTGCGGTCCCCAACCAGGTAGTCTACACCTACCAATATGACTCAGTCTACTTGTGAGTGACTTCATGGACTTGTGCCTTGTTTTGGTCTGGCCACCCCTAGCTTTCTTCCAATCTACTCCTATACCACTAAACATCGCACATCGAGGCAGTCGGTCGTTGGGCATACGTAACACGTGTCCCAGCCATCTCAACTTATAAAAGTGGTAATAATATGAGTCGTTTATCACAAATAGTTTGATGTACTTGACGTTGAGCCACACTTTTAAGTGTAACAGTAATATTAATCAACTGTCCAAATCAAATTATGTGGAGCGGGGTCTAAACCTTCGAGCTATTTATCGAAACCCGATTCGTGTATGCAGTAGAAGTATTGGTATTCACCTCTTTATTTCGATGTTGAACTCTTTTCGGGATGGTGATTTGAGTGTATTATACTGCGTATGCTTTAATTTGACCTTATATTCATACTTATGAATTGTGCTTACTTAATTTATCATTCTAGTGTCTCGTTACGATTGGACAGTCTTGAAGCTTTAGGTGCTCAGCCAACATTAAAAGAATCTTATCTTGCTAAATCTTCAATCAAGCCTGTTCTGATAACAAGTCATGTAAATCAGTTACTATCCGATGGCAATAACCAAGCCGGTACTACATCGAAGCCCAGTCATCTACTCTGTATTGACTTTGAAAAGAATCCTCTTGATCGCAAAGCTGATCAATGTATTTCAATTCAAGCTGATGCATTACAAATAGTTTACGATGCTGAAACTGTCAATAGAATCGTTCATTTCTTTACTCCACCAAAAGATGTTTACCTACAAGAGTAAGCTGTTTTATGTGCCAAAAATCGTCAAATCCATCTGTACAGCTGTTATTGTTTTTCATGACCATTGACCTAGATTATAATTTATTTCCGGTCCCTTTAATACGCATATTTTCTAGTATTACTGGGGATCGAAAAAGTATACTCCGCGCAAGTAAAGTGATAGCTTAATGTAGGGTAGTTGCTTACTTCTGGTCAAGGAGTTGACTGTTGTTTAGAAAGTTTTAGGAAACCGTGTTCCAACATCATGAAATGAAGTGACCGTCGTCCCCATATTTAATAAAAGTCTAGGTAACCTATGAAACAACTACTTTTGATAGAGTCCAAACTAATGGCTCTCACTATACTCTGGATTTTGTACACAATCTGTAAAAGATTGACTCGTTAGGAGCAGAGTGGTTTTCGATCAGGTTATACATTTGTTGACCACATCTGTATTGGTATTATTTATTTAAATAATTGTAATAAACGAGTTATTCAATTCAGTAATCACACGGATACCCTAGGATACCGGTCAGAATTATTTTACAGGAGTTAACAATATTACTGAACCACAGAAGGTCCAGCTTCTGGACATTTATGTGGGTTGATGGCAATTATTGACTGTTCAACTCGTAAACCACTTTACAGTATAGGTGGACATATCAGTGGTTCGTTTTTCTGTTTTTATGCGGTCAGTATGTCTATTAAGTGATTATATTCCATACAATAACACTTGACTTCTTACTTAAAGAGTACTTTCTAGATGAAATCTAACAGGAGTTAGGTTACCATAGCTCTTGTAAATAATATATCATTATTACGTCGTACAACTAACCAATACTCGGCAAGGACTTGGAAGATTGATACTCTATGCCTGACGGTTAGCCCAATACTAAGTTGTCCCGAACAAAGAGGAAGAATGCAAAACCAATGTTCACCAGTCCAAGATCATTATTATATTTCAGACATTTATTTATATACATACAGGTTCAGATCACTCAGCAGACTAATTGAGTAACAGTATTCACACGGAAAACCAAGTACTGGGTACACAAATAATTGGCCCTTGTTTATGAGTGGAAAATGCTGTAGCAACAAATTATGCTACAAATAAAAGCTTAGAACTAGGGTAATAAGAATGTAGTAAAAACAAATTACTTAATAAAAATGCTATATATATAACCGTAGGAAAATAGCTTCGAAAGCTTTTACCTTGTAGTTAAATTATCCCTTACAGCCGTAATCAATAGAGATTTAAGTCAGGTATGTTAAAGGCTTATTGAAATATTCTCACTTTCCCTACTACTTTCTCTCATGTTTTCTTTTTCAAAACTTTATTTTATTAGGTTATCTAATACAGTGTTGTCATCTTTCGAAGAAGTTAAGGAAGTGACTACGACTGGTCTGAAACATCTAGCCACTAATCGATCTTATACAGATGTTCATATTGACATTAAACCAAGTTATTTTATATTACCAGATTCTGGGATATACAGAAGGTGAATTCCAAGTTTACCTTTTACTTAATACTGATTTTTCCTCAACTCTATTTATAATTATACATATCAATAATTCAGCCATACGGAGCGTTTATATATTTCCTGACCGTAGCTGGTACCTTGAAGTTGTGTCTGGGCTTGCCTACTGTGATAACACAATCGAGGTATATTATATGGAATAATTATTCCTCTAGGTCCTACCATGCCACGCTAATCGGTTAGGGAACTGTAAGATTATGAACAGCAACTCTAGGTTCGGGGTAAAATCGTATCGCTGGCTGGACAGTATTGTGACAGCAGTAAGGTGTTTCCCTCAGATGACCAACATCTTCAGTGATGCTGTGTTTTCAGAACGGAAGGAAGGGGTCATAAAAGGTCAGACCCAGAATTGTCACACCCTAATTTGTTTCGCTCTTATACTTGAGCAAATAATGAATAACTATATTTACTGGATGGTTTCGTTTCTGATTTTGTGTTCAGCTTCGAATCTTAAATAAATAATCAAGCAATTTTGTTTAGTGACTATAAAAAAATAAGATCTAGTTGGAATTTCCACTTACATCAGTTGTTTACTGTGAATTCTTGGGAAGTTATTCAGTCATTTTTTGTTTCAGTGTACTAAAATCTCAGTGTTAAAGTTTTTAAATTTTGTATCAAGTGAAATAGTAGCGAAATTGTTTATTGAATGTGTAACATTGTGTTATATAATTAGATTATCGGACTGCCAGGTGTTGTCCAAAGAATATCAACTAATTACTTTGTTAGACGATTCATTAAGGGATTTTATGGATCTGTGATTATTTCTGAGACATGAAAAACATATATTCTGTTCATTAAATACTAACTATATATATAATGATGGTAATAATACAATATATGTGATGTAATTAATAATTAACGTGAATTTTTCTCAACTAGATGCCTTGATTATCGCTTATTTGATAACAATTTGTTTTTATTTATAGTCTCTTTATTATCATTTACACTTTTAATCCCTTCCCTTTTTATGATTTCACCTTTAACATATGAATCTAAGCTGTTATGTTAAACTTTTTGTTCCCTATTGTTTCTTATGTCGTTCCGAGCCAAACTTCACTGATTATAGTGTGTAATAAAAATCTTTATAATGATCTTACTACTGTAGATTTAAGCTGTTTGCAGCTGGTAATAAGCCTTAAAGCATAGTGAATTCATGTCATTGTGCAAATCTTATTCTCTTAATTTAAATTAATCAAAGGATCATGATATATGAAAGTAACGTACTGCTTCAGAAATAAGGGTCAATCACATGTATTGCTATGTCTGAACTTGATGGTTGAAGAACACTTCTGTTTATTTTATTGAGATCACGAATCGATCTATGTTAGAGAACCATCAAAAACATGAAAACACTGAACGGCCGTTTCATCTTAGTATAGAACTGCTCTTCAGTACTCAATTTCGACTCCTCACATGGTTATAGAATTCAAAACCTTTGGTCTTACGCATGAGCATTTAAACTTTAGACCAATAAACCCTCATTGTGTATAAGCCTAACTAATCAGTCTGCGATATTGCATGACCATCTTCCATTGTCTTTGGTGAATAGTATACTCTACTGTTCACGGCTTCCCCTGATTTTTGTTTATGTTTTTTAATTATTGAAGGAATTAGTTAACAGTTAATACAGTTGCCAGTACAGTCTTCTATTCACCAGGTATTTGTTTTTCAATTTACTAATGTGTACGTAATTTTTAACTTTACTATTTACAGTGATTGCCGTCTGTTGTTGGTAGATCTTGGAAGTTTTACGGTTAATTCAAGTCGTACATCAGTTCCACCAGTGTGCAAAACAGTACGAGATCAAGCTTCATCAAATGATGAAAATAAAATGATTCTACCGGAAAAACTGATGCAAAAGAATCCATTTCGAAGATTTCTGGTCAATTGAAACATAAGTCTGGAAAACTAACATTTGATGAATTAAAAGATGAGGCCTATGATAAATTTAACATTAATTTATCATCAGTTCAGGTTATAATGGTTAATGAAGGTAAGCTGTGTAGTGGGTTTTCTGGTTTTAATAAAGTTTCAGGTAACAATTACGTTCTGGCTAACAGAATGATTTTAGTCTATGGTTTGGTCAGTATAGACTACTTATATCATATATGGTTTACTTTCTTAACCTTAGCAACTGCTACTATGAGTGGACCGTCGTAATTATCCTCTTGGGTAATTCAGCAAGTAAGATTCCAAAGATAAATATGGGAAGATGAAATGAGAAATCTGTAGATCACCGAATCTCCATTCATCGAATTTGATTTCTATAGGTGCGATAGAAGCTATTCAGCATCCAAATATTTTAATGATCGTACTAATATGGAAATAAAAAACCGTGGATAATTAAGACTGTAAGGAGCTAACCATCAAAGTTGTTGTCTGAATAAGACTATCTTGTGGTACAGTAAGGATTTGGAAAGCTCACTTATACATGAAATGGAATATACGTGTCCGAACCCTATCTGCAGATGGTGATTCACAGTCTCATTAACTAATCTTTGGCTAGTACTCTATGTCTAACTTCAATACTGTTCATTCGGTTATTTCGTGGTACTCGACCAATTCTTTAGAGGCCTATGACAAAGTATTTGCAACCTATGTTTGTGTTTCACTTTCATAGGTTGTTTTACACCTGTAGATAACTACAAAAAGGGCACTGTACACTATGCACGCCCGTTTGTTGGTAAACAAAAATCTTGTCTGCACAAGTGACACAAGCCGCCAAAAATTAAGCGAGCTTTATAAATTTGTGCAAACGACATTTGCATCATTCATTCAGTTATTCCACAATCAATATTCCCTAATTTCAAAGGTTACGCTTCACAACTATAGCATTACCGAACAGACCGCTGTTCATTACAGAACTCCTTTAGAATACATTTAGAAATTGTGCGTCACAAGTAATATGAATTGGCCGATTGTTTCACGAATTATCATCTTTTTTTTTTCAAGATTGTAAATAAAATAAGTTAGTTCTATTTTTAGAAATATTAGAATCCTTTTGGAACAACGTTTATTTATTTATTTGAACAGATAATATTGGTACAAAGGGGCACCGAATACATATGCTCCACACAAGTCACTTGATTTGTGTGTGGGATATGATACTGCCTGGGTGCTCAGGCCGAAGCCGGCGGTTTCCTTAGGAGAACACACCCTGAGCTTTTGACCTAAAGGTCTAATCCACAAGGCAGTGGAGCAACGTTAGGAGATGCAGTCTCATGATGCCGGTGACCAGCGATTGGTTCATATTTCATTTGTTTCTTCAGGATCCTGTAGTCCATGTACACCATTGGTATGGGTTCAGGGTTTTTTCAACTCTCTTACGTGAACCCTCTGTACCCACCACCAACCCGGTTAAAGCGTCGGACATTCGCTTTTCATCCTTTCAATTTCGTAAACACCTTGTCACGAGAAGGCAATGAGTAGGACTTCCCTGTAAGTGGCTGTATACGCGTGGCCATATGAGAGCGTTTCGAGAGTGAGATCTGACTGTCCCCACCCTCGGTCGTACCAGGGCATTTGGGGGCTAAAAATAATTGTTTCAATGTTTAATCGTACGTAATAAAATGCCAGAGGACACGATTTGTTTTAGTAAATAATATAAATTTTTTTTTAATCTCTAAAACGTTTGTTATTATGTATGTTTTTTCTTTTTCGAAAAAAAAACAAGGCGATGATTGGAGAGTTTTACGGAAAATGAATAAATCATCAATCATATATTAAAACCTTTAGCTTTGAGTTGTACACTGAAACGGTGTTTACTACGAAACGATGTGAATTTACCAAGGTAAATAATAATAATAATAGTAATATCAATAATTGCTTAGAATTGTTTATCCGCTTTCTGTCACTAATCACTTTACAATTCAGTTGTGTATTTATTCGTTTAGATATCAGTTTTTTTTCAATTTATTGTTCAATTTAGTTAAACTGAAAAGCTTTTAGAGGTAAGGTAAACATGATGGTGGCTTCCTCCCTTTTGTTAAGTAAGTGTTTTGATTCTGTGAGGCCACGTTCAATTTTCACTGGTTCAGCTAACATTAATCCTTTTATTTTCTGCCTTACAAAAAATATAATCATTGTATGATACAAATGTTTCTGAGCCACTTTCGAGACAAGGTATGTGTTGTTTACTACAAATATGTTTAGATCTTGGTATTAAATCCCATTCACCATATATAGGTGTATTTGTCAGATAATGAGTAGTACTTATTCTGCCAATATTGTTTCCACTTGCTAACTTTTTATACTTCAGTAGATGGAATCGAGTTTAAATGATTGATCTGATGTCTAAAGTCAAGTGTTTTGATTGATAACATTGTTAATTGTTTATTTAAATCTGCTATCTATTATAATAGTTCATTTCCGACTATCGATTATTAAATAATTACAATAATTTTCAATAACACATAATTAGTCCTTCAAGACTAAAAGAAAAACATCTGCTATCATGCTTCCTTTTACTTACCTACTTACATCTTTTACTCCTCGTCGAGTATAGGCCGTCGACCAGGATTCTCTGCCTGGGCTCCTTTCCACTTGTTCTCATGTGCTGTTTATTATTTTGATATCTTCCTCCAGTCTCCGGCGCTATGTGTTCTTTGGTCTGTTTCATTTCATTTTCTCCTTAGGATTCCGGGTTAGGACCTGCCTCGCGATGCAGTTTGGTGATTTCCGCGATGTATGTCTTATCCACCTTCAGCATCTTTTGCTAATTTTTGTTTGTTCTTTGCCACAGTTGTTGCTGATGATATCCGGCCAACGGATCTGAAGTGTCTTACGTAGGCAGTTGTTTATAAATACCTGTACATTTTTGATGGCAGCTGTAGTTGTTCTCCAGGTTTCAGCTCTGTACAGTAGGAGTGTGTTGACGTTCATATTGAAGATTCTAACTTTGATATTAGTTGACAGTTGTTTTAAGTTCCATATGTTCTTCAGTCCACGTGAGGGACGAAAGATCCTGGGTTCGATTCCCGCTTGCAAAGTCGTAGATGCTCACTGCTGAGTAGTCCCGTACTAGAACGAAACAGTCGTCAATTACTTTCATGTGTTCAATGCTGGTCTAACTGAAATCGGTTCACGGTTTCAATGAAATTAACATAAAACTTATGTCATTATTCCAAATTTCTCCGTTTGAATTATTTCCATACCAATGTTTCTTATCTTTACATTTTGTTTGTAATTTCAAAAATCTTCATTTTTAGAGTTATTGTTGATGGTTGTCTACCGGTATTCAGCGTAGATTTCACAGATGCAGTTTTAAAATCATTATACGAATTAATTGTGAATGTTCCATTTCCAGAAGCAGATAAAAGTCTTACTACACCTGCAAATCCTGATGAATTATTAAAAGTAAGCTTATTAGTTTTCATATGGTTTTAGTTAGAATATACTTATTTGGTATATCATGTTATATTTTTCACTGATAACTTAGTATGTTTATTAATAACTTCGAATGTAGATATATGCATGTGGACTATGGACATAGTACGAAATTGTTATTACTCAAAGATGTTTTATAACTAAACTTTAAGGATTATCATTTGGTTTAGCGGTACACTTTCTTATTTTACTAAATGGTTTGCAGAGATGAAATTTATGTTTCTGATAAATGTGATTAATAATAATACTACTACTACTACAGTTTGTGAATGTTTATTTGGTTTGTGTTACCCATTTATGCATAGCCTTGTTTACGAACTAGGCTTTGTAGAGGAATTTACTTTTGCTGAGATATAACATCTCAGTAGTTAAGGAAGTCGACTTTTAACCGTTAACCCGCGGGTTTTAAACACCGCCACATCAATGGCGTTTTTAACAGACAGGTAGTATCACTGGGTTATACATAAATAAGAGTGTGCTTCTATACCAACTACATCAAACCGCACTTGGTAAATGAGTTACATTTTTATTAATGTTATTACATATCAAAATCGACTACGGTGGATGGGATTTGCGATGCTCATGATCAAATACCGCCTAATTTGACGTCTAAAACTGGAGTAGAAGTAAAGTGTATGGGAGAGGCCATACCAAGACGTAGCGTTAGCCCATGAAATCATTGACTGGTGATCTGAGGCATGTTCTTAGGTATAGTTTGCTTGCCTGAAGTACACACAATAACCGTGATCAATCATTAGAGACGTTGAGTGATATAACTCATATTCGGTTACGGCACTGCTAATTCATTCACTCTTTATTTTGCTGCAGTTTTTAAGTTTCAGTATCCTTTCAACATACGCAACTGTTCATTTTGTTTTGTCGAGCCATATTTGAATATTTAGTATCACTCACTGTCTTTGTTACTGTGATCATTTAGACTTGTGTTTGTCCACCTTGTTGATTTCACTTTGTCCCGCTAATTTGGGATGTTAACGTAAGTTAACATATATTTATGTCAGACTCTGCGTTGACTATGATTGATTGACTAACTGACTGACAGATCAAGAAAGTTATAATTATTTATTGGCATACTATATTATTTCTTTCTTACTCAGATGATATTCATTACATACTTTGCGTGAAAATTCAGTATTTACTGCTTATAATTCTGTTGAAAGTTGCCGCTAGTCATGTGTCAAAAAATAGAGTATAGTCTACTGTTAGTTGTTTTAAAACAAATCTTGGGTTTGGATTGACTGTACTCAATAGAGTAATCCATCACAAATCTTATTCTAAAAGTATTCTGCTTGGACGTTGAAGACATTTTTATCCATCTGTACTAGTTGTTTTATGCTTTTCTCCCTCCATTAATTCTGTTGTCCATCATTTATAGAAATAAATGACAAGGTTAACAGTTATTCTCTAACTAATTAATCAACTTAACTGTAATCCATCATTTGATAGGTGTCGAATTAAAACATATTCATTCCAGGTCTCTTCAATTGACTTCTATTGACTGATTTATTGATGAGGTTTAAATATATCAGACTTAAAGTTCTCAGGTATTTTTTTGTTTTTCTGAATACCATATTGTCTTTTTGTTGTAGTAATTTTATTTTGTTAACAATTTGTACCAAGATATTTTACATGCGTAAGCTTAACCGATTTCAAATAATGATAATCTACAATACTAATGTTGTATTCTGTTACTTTTTCTCGCACCACCTCCGCACGAAATAAATAACAATGCAGGATGTTGTAGTTTTGCCTAATTCAATAATGCCTGGATCTGTACTAGCCACTAGAGATTTGCTTAGAGTTACACGTCAACTTAGTCGAAACGATAGTGATTCTACTTTGAGCAGTTGGGCGTCAGATACTGCGGATGATGATTTACGTGAAGAAAGTGAACACGATCGAATCAGTCAACAATCAGAAATAGAAAATTATACTTCTAATGTAAATGATGATCTTCACGGTAGTCAGTTTATGGATAAAAACAAGTCTAAAGTAAGTTGTATTATTTATTATAGTTGATTATTTCAATTCTCCTTAACAGTTTCTCTGATATTCATTGGGTATTTCAGTGTTAACTCGATCCAATCAAATTTAAAGGAATTTTAAGTAGATTTCACTTTTAAATAAGTACTTTATTTATTGTGAAATCGTGAAGTTTCTTAATTTACCAACCTTTAGCGACTTGAAAACTACGTAGTATAACATCTACCAAAAACAAGTGGTTTTTACTTGAGTACAGGGTTGTCATTCAACTATTATCTTAGACTTCTTATTTTCGCATGGCTTATCATCATTCACGATGACACCATGTGCATTCATTCTTTACAATGAATTGATCAATCACTGATTGTGGTGAACAATGTCATATATAATTGAAGTCCTTCTTAGTGTTGGCCGAATTCTGCCGACCAAATTGCAGTATCTCCTTCTTTAAACGCTATGTTCCTAAACTCGTCATAAGATTTTCTAGATTGTTTCACTAAAATCTATATTCTCTTTTCGAATTGTATCTTCAGTGTCGAATGTTCTCTACTGCCATTTTTATTGTTGCTACCCTCCTTGACAACTTCATATTGTTGTGCTAATGGAATATATCAATTTGAAATTAGTTATATATGTGTCAGGTTCTACTTGGAGTTCGATTGACTTTATTCCGAAGCTTATAGTAAGGTTTTATCATTAGGGATAAAACCATTTAATAAATATTTTGATATTTGTGATTCACTGTGTTGATTTCAATGCAGCTAAAATATTACATAAGTCATATTCCTTTGCGCTATTGTAGTATCATTCCGTTTAGTTAGGATTCGTAATGAATAATTTTTTTCTTGAACAAGTGGTGCGAATTTCTTTTTTGATGAATATTTCCACAAAACCTCCCAAAAAGTCTCATGAGCAATATCTGGATGATGTTTTCTGGGATTTTTCATCCCCCTTTGTTATCTCCTTCGTCTCAACTTTGATGTTACAGACAATACACTCTTTTTCTTTCATAAAGCATTGGAGCCTTTTAAATAGCCAGTGAACTTACGATAATGCTACAGGACAGTTGTTTTCTTTTGATCTGGGATTCATTAGTTGTGCTTTTATACCCTCAATCCTACAAATGATCGAATAAGGAAACCTTGTTGTTTTTACAGCGAACTTGATGCATTTCAATAGTGGGGTCTGTAATTACTGGTCAGTTTCAGTTGTGTTATAACTCTCGGTTTTCCACGTCTACACGAATGGGACGTTAATTTGCCTTAGACGAATATCTATTACTAGAATTCCTCCCAGAGTCTATTCTACAGGACTTCAACACAACTCAGATGAAGAACATATGATTAGCCTGACTAGGACGTAGGTATATTTCTACACCAAAACCGGTAACAATTCGTCAAAAATCATAGTAATAAGGATAGGAGAATGTATAAATCATCAAACGCCTGTCAGACTATTTGCAATTCGGACTAAGCAAACAAGCAATCATTATCATCATCGCTCACAAATCAAGTTGGTTTATACTATTACATAACTGTTATGTAATAGTTTGAATCAACTAGTTACGGGTGGTCAAACCAAAACATGGCATCGGTCCTTGAAGTCACTAACTTCTGGTCCTATATGCTTGAATGCTATTACGAGTTCACCTTACTCGGTAGACGGAACGAAGGTCAAAGATACAGTGACACGATAGGCTATTCTAATCCATTGTCCTCGGCCTTGCCAACTAGATCAAGAAGTCTTGATGAGGCGTAGTGAATGTATTCTACAAGCACACAAATGAAGCTTATTTATACAATGATAGAAACGCCTTTGGGAGATCCACAAAATAACGTACTAAAATAATCCGTCGACCAATGACATTCAGGGATTTCCGAGTGGAAAATGTAAGCTGTAGGCCAACTAAGCGTCTGTTGGCGCGAAAACATAAAATTCGAATTTTCAGAATAAAATTACAAAATTAGGACCTTTTTCAAGTGAGTTCTGGGGATCTAACGTCCTCAAAATGGTCTGAATCATATTGATAGATGCAGACTACTTGATTGTGGTCCGCGCGACTATCGGCACCAATAGTTGGAGACTGCGTGACACAGCCCAGAATCAATCACAATGGCGTAGGTGTATACACTCTCTGTCTTCCCTTAAACTGTGAGATTAAAATCGCTTCATATCTTTCTTTCTACGAACTAATTCTTTCTTCCTGTACTATATCCTTATATGCAATCTTTCTTTTATAAATCACCATCACTGAATTAACTACTTCTATGGATTTGGTGTTCATCTTTTTGTGCTAATGATGTGTGGCAACTTTGATCGATGCATATATATATGTACCTGGTCCTACATTGTAGCTGGTTGACTGACTGACATAACTGTTATCTATTATCATCAGTAGGTAGGTATTCACTTCAGATAGTTTCAAATACACTTAAATACACAATAGATATTTTCTATTATTCATAATTAATAATTCTAATATTACACATGTATTATTAATACATTTCCATTTTATTATAATTTTTTTTTTAAAACAACAACAACAACTATCTAGGCTATACGTCAACGTGATCAATCTAATTTACGTCGTAAACGAGCAAAATTAATTGATTTAAAATTAGATTTTGTTATACGTAAAGTAAGTGTTACATATATAGATATTAGTAACTAGTTTATTGTTGCCACCCCCTTTTTTATCATTGTGTGTGTGTGTTTTTTTTATTAATTTCTTTATGTATGAAAAGTATTTTGTTGATTTATTGTCAATTGATATGTGTGTATTTTGTGTTTACATTTACTGCCTATTTAATAAAATTGTTTTCATTTCAACACTTATTTTCGTCTTAGTTATTATTATATTGTTGTTTTTTAACGGAAAAACAATCATGTGTTCCATTAAATATTAACCAAGAGATCATCAGCCCTTGTGGTTTAGTGTGTGACGAAATCTCAGCACGGATACAGAAGGCTCGACTAGCTTTTGCCAACTTGCGTCATTTATGGCGTAGGCGAGATATCCGTTTATCAACCAAAGGATGTGTTTACTGCTCAGCAGTTCGTTCCGTCCTACTTTATGGCAGTGAAACATGGCCGGTAAGAGTAGAGGATATCCGTAGGCTACTAGTATTTGATCATAGGTGTCTTCGAAACATTGCTCGTATATCATGGGACCATCGAGTAAGTAACACAGTTGTTAGGAAACTGGTACTAGGTAAGGATGGCAAATCAATTGATGAAGTAGTGAAACTTCATCAGTTGAGATGGCTGGGACACGTGTTACGTATGCCCAACGACCGACTGCCTCGACGTGCTATGTTCAGTGGTATAGGAGTAGGTTGGAAGAAAGCTAGGGGCGGCCAAACCAAAACATGGCACAAGTCCATGAAGTCACTGACAAGTGAACTGAGTCATGTTGATAGGTGTAGACTACCTGGTTGGGGACCGCGAGATGATAGCAACCGATGGTTAGAGACCCTGAATGACATGGTTCAAAATCGTTTGCAATGGCGCAGGTGCATTCACTCTTTGTGTTCTCCCAAATTCTAATCTGAATCCTTCATGTCCCTTTTTTCCTCTTTCCAAATATATTTCACTGGATTATACTCTTTAAATAACATCTCCAAACCCTAATCTTCCCGATTACTGCTTATACTCTTATTACCTCTACCACTACGGGGTTTGAATCGACAACTGCATCTCTGTGCTAATGTGGTGTGGCAACTCGAACTGATGTACGTACGTACGTACGAAGTTCTACGTTGTTACTGACTGACTGACTGAACCAAGAGATCATTATTAAGTTAAATTCATTTATCAATATCAGTTATTTTAAATAGGATCTGTCAATTGACACAGATCAGTCTTGAATGAAACATTTTGTATTTGAAGTGAGAGAAAGAGAGAGAGAGAGGAAACACATTGTAAACATTCTTACATTGTTCTTGAAAACGTTCGGAAATCTGTGTGTTTCAAGCGTCTTCGCTGAACAGAACTATGTACTCTTTGTTTATAAGAAAAAAATTTTAAGTAGTAGAAGTAGAATTAGGTAAGATTGTATGAGTTATACGTCTTGAAACTGTAACTACAACAAAAGTTAATAATTGTGGAAAGTAGAAAACCTAGACAGATACACATTCATTCCAAACTGTATCTTTTCTTTATTTGGCTGACGGATTTTCTAATCGCTATGTTTTATCATGCTTCAGAAAGAAAAGTTTTTTGTGATAATTAATTTTGTCCTTTACCTTTGAGAGTATTCTATAAAAAACCTATGTGAAAGTAAACTGCTAACAACGATACTCTATCTGTGTCACCTATTGTTTGGTTATAACAAAAGAATATATATCTGCAGTTTATTGTTCACTGAATGGTGACCTCCAATGTCATATGTGTAAATGTATCTCAATCCTACAAGTGGCCTGCCACGGATTGAATAACTGGGTGGTAGTTTTTCTAATCGTGAAGCTAGATGATATGGAATCAAATCTGCCAGGGAGCATCAGTTCCCTCAATATTACACCTTATCGATGAGTGCCAAATAACATAAAACCTTGATCTAGGGTTTCTTGTCAACTACTTCCAACCACCAACTTACACATAAGAATGTTGTATATATCTGTCTGAATTTATAATCGACCGACTAAATTGATATTTAGTGTGAGCGAATGGTCAGTTTACTGACTTGATACACCCAAAATATAGTTTTATATCTCCAAGTTCTAGTCATAAGCTATGACTTGTGGTGTTCAACCGTATCAGGCGTCAGGTAAATATCACTTATTACAGTTTACGACGGTCGTTCAATGAATGAAGATATGACTGCAAACTAGGGGTTAACAGCTCAGTGGTTTGAATTTTTAACTATCGTTACGAGGCCTAAATGTCCTGGGTTCGGGCTTTGGCGGTGTTATGACTGCTCACCAACGGGGAGTCCTATATTAAGAAGAAACAATTGCCCGATGCTTCCTGGTTCTCAATGACTAACTACAGTTAATCCGTAACGTAAAACTACGAAATCCAGCTATGACTTCCCTTACTACAAAAGATCGAAAGTGAATGTATGTCCGAAGACGGGACAACTGATTATCAAAGACTTATTATTTTCTAGTAAAATGACACACATACCAAATCGTTAACATTAAAATAAACACAATTAAAAAACATGTAAAACCAAGTCTTGGTCGGATTCAGGTTTCATTGGCCATTTATCATCAGAGAATAAGATTGAGATCTGACTGTATCAAGCTTACTTTTTATTCCTTTCGAAACATAATTAAAATGTACATTTCCAATCAAACATATCGTCATATATTACGATCCATATTTCTTTTTCATTATGGTCTCTAAAAAAGTAGATTTTATTTGTTGTCTTCTCATATCTTTTATACAACAGATTGAAATTCAGGTACTGGAACGTCAATTAAACTCGCAAAATAAAAATATTGAAGATCGTTTAATTTTATCTTTCAATATTCATGAAGTTGGTACCAGTTTAATTAAACGACGTTGGACACAAGAATTCAGGTATATTATTTTGGTTTAGTAATTTTCTCTGTTTTGACTAGGTATTTCATGATGTAGAGATGGGACGGAGCAAAGTCAACATTTGTACACTATTTTTCAGTTGACTCTGTATGCTGCTTTCCATATAAGCCAATCAGCCTTAGTGAACAAATTTTATTATATTGATTAGGTTTGGAACTTGTAGACCAATTTATTCCGACTTAATGGTATAAAAGTATCATAATGAAATATTCTGGTCTTAATCCCACATGAAATCATAGACGTTCTCTGACTAAAAGTATGAAACTACAAAATAGGAACAGTTGTTTGATTTTTTTTCAAGGTTATGTTGCTGATATCATTTGATGCTAAGAACTATCTTATCAATGAATTGGGTTTAGAATGTTATTAATTACCGTACAATTAACTTATTTACCAGTTACCAATTTGCATGCTTTCTTTGAGCCACATTGTAAGTGTAAGAACTTAAATATTTCCCAAACTAATATAGTTGGAGCAGAGTTTGAACTTACGAATCGGTGACTGAAAGTTAGTCAAATCCCCTAGCCACTTAGCCACTACTAATAACAACAATGTCGCTCGTTTAATGTAGATTTATCCACTGGACTTTGAATCACACATTATCTTTATGAAGTGACTGGTGATATCACTTATCTAAGCAAACCGAAATAGGAGTATCATGGTTTTAACCTGTGAATCATTGGTTATATGGATTTTGATGATGAATTAGTAATAGCAAAACATTCAGTAGAAAAGCAGATATGCATGTCATACATATGAAAAATTCATATAGGCAAAAGGGGTGAGAAATTTATTGCTGATTAAATAGCATTGATCGGTAAAAATAAATGTACTTCGCCCTGAATTGCCACAGTACAGTAACATAATGAAGTGAAATTAACTAGGTACACGGAGCAAACAAGTTGAAATAATAGTAGGGTGTATGATTTTCAAGGATGAGATTTTTCTTAAACACATAATCCCTTTAATGTGATATATTTATACTTTATTCTTATTGAAGATATCCTTCCAATTAACTTCCTGGATATCTACCAAGTAGTAGGTGAATTGATGAAGTTTTTTTTCTTTCTAAAAGAGCAAACAAATAAGAATTCATAAATATCAATGCCAAGATTGGACTTGATAGTTTCGAATAAATTGAGCATTCAGTAGAAAGTCAATAATAAATATATTTTGGCGATATTTCTGACGTTTCGTGTAAGTCACCTCATCAGAGTAAATAAATCACCGAAATAACTAAACACAAGTTTAAACAGCAAAAAGGACACAATACAGAATATTTTCAATACAATCGAAATCACGTCAATGTCAAGTTATTCTTGCTCAATGTGTTTTGTACGACATATCACTATTAATTTGTGCGTCAGAAGGTGCATACACATGTAATCTGAAGTTGCGAGGTTGAGATTGGATGTGTACGTCAGTACCACATTTTTTAATCTAAATGCCAACTTATCTTAACTTCAATCCATATCGGGTGTGGGACAGTTGTCTATTGCAGGCAATGGATTAGGGTTGCACAATATTGGCAATTGATTAAAGTTAGACATTAGCACTGTTCGATACCAGTTCAATGGTTCATAGGTTAAGTGTCCGTGCGTGAGACCGATCCTGGGTTCGGTCCCTACACCCTGAGTCGTGAATGAGAACCACTGTGGTATTCTATACTAGGATGAATCGGTTGTCCATCGCATCCTGGCTTCCGATGGTATTTCTATAATCTCTTCAAATCCTCTATGATAATAGTTATATTTATATTTGCTTGTCAAAACATTTTCGTCATGTCATCAGTTGTCTTTTTCTCCATAAATTTCACCTTTCAGGCTCATATTGGCACTTTATCAGTCGCTATTCCACAGTTTACTTATAGAGAAACAAATGAACCAGTCTATTTAACACGTACACAACGTCATGAAGAAACAGGTCATCATTTATTAGCAGTTCAATTAATTATCGCAGAGAAAAATGCTCCTGATTTTGATACATACTATCAAAATACACGCCATCGTTTACAATGTGATTTCAAAGTGTTGGATGTGAGTAACCACAAACATACTGCACGGATGTAGTGAAATATAAAGCTTATCATCTTATGTGATTATCAGATTCAAATATCATAATTCATCCATGTTATTATCTATTGCATAACTTATTTTCTTGATATCCTGTAGTGTTGGTTTAGCATTTAGAGCGTCTAACTTTAGGGCGATTAATTCATAGGTTCGATCCACGCTTTACTTCTTTGGGGGGTGCATGAATCCTAACGTGATATATAAGTTAATAAAAATGTGTATTTTGTCGTCTCCGAGCGACTGTCATCATCTTAATAATGAAAAAAAAATTATCAGAAATATTAAATGCAATTACTAATTAATTCAATACAACTCGTTTATCAAATATAGGCTTATGTATTTGGCTTTGAGACATATTCTTATGTTTAATATGACCAGTGATACTTTTCAGCAATTCCAACAACAGTAGGCGATTAGTGATTCGAAAGTGAAATTTATTAGTTAAAAACCTAATACAATGATACCTAAGCTACTCCTACCACGGAACTGTAAAATGTTTCAGGGGATTGTGGTGTGATAGTTAAAGCTCAGTACTTTTGTCACCACTTGATATCAAATTGGTCATTAAAATCAGCATTATATATGATTAATAATCGTGGGTTCAAACCTTAGTTTCCATGACGGGATTTAATTATCTGATTAGTATAATTAGCTTTTATACTTTACGTGTGTAGTTCATAGCTTAGTGCATGAACCTACAATCTGTCCACGTTGTCCTGAAGGACATAAAATCTGTCACCAAACTATTTAGCTCAGATTATACAACACGAAAAGTATCCATTTTGGTTGCAAATCTTCGTCATTTCACCTCTGATCTGTTTCGAAATTGATTGTTTTATTTTTGATTAGGGCTTACTTCTTAAGTTTCCTTACATCATTGTAACTTTCTATTTGTTGAAACCACACTAATTTTGATTATTCTCATTCATAATTAAGTTCCATATTACATTAAGATGTGTTTGATAATTTCTTCAGTCATGTCACAGATATCATTTGCTCAATATTTCGTGGTGATTGAAAAGTAGTTTTTTTATTCTGTTTTCTGATTTTATTGGCACTTATAAACATAATACAAGAACGTAAACCTGTATCATCAAGTGTCGCATTCTAAACAGGCTTATGTTAGCAACTTTTTTAGGGCAGATTAGTTGAAAGTGTTTCTATAGTAATTGTGCTTATTTTTGCTTGTCCATATTCACGTAATATTTACAGTGTATCATAGTGTAATGTTGTTTTAATTGTTAATTAGTAAACGTATTGTTCACTAATCTCATATTGTGGTGCATAAGTCCCAACATAAAAATTTACCAGTATTTCTATCATTAATAATCGTACTTACAGTTTACTATATTTTATATCGACCTAGACATACTGTCAATATATTATATTTTGATATTGTTAATGAACGATAATTGTGATTCTATTTGGGATATTTTGTACAAATTTTGTGTTTAGGTATATGTTCATCAAGAAGCTACTCTATTATTAATGAATTATTTCAACAATCTACGTATATCATTATCTAAGCAATTCAAAGAAATTGAACATTCATCTGAAATTGAATGGGCTAGTAATATTGGAGATACAGAAGGTTTAAAAAAAGCAAAACTGCGCGAAAGATTAGAAAATGAAATGGAACAACAACTTCCTGGACGTTTAACTGCTGCAGATGCTGTAGAAAGTCATATTGCTCGTAAAACTGAACGTCGAAATATACGTTTGGAAGCCGCTTCTTTAGCACAGAAAACAGGTAGTCCTAATAGGAAAAAATCGAGTTTATTCATATCATAGTAGTATATAGAATAAAGTTATTCATCCATTATTCTTCTTCGTATTATTATTTTAATTATTATACGAGATAATACCATTTGGTTCTTTATATCTGTTTCTTCTCATGTGTAATTGATTACTATATCCTTTTAGGTGATATAGTTTGAGATCTTACGTTGTCTACTGAAGAGAATATCTTGGTAACTGACAAATTACTAAATATCTAGGGTTTTTGCTTCTGAATCCCAGATGATACTTGTTAAGGTATTACACATAATTCATTCAATAAGTACGTATATTCTTGAGGAAATTAGGGGAAAAACTCAAAAATTTGATAACATTTGAAGATTGTTTATGCAGATAACACATCTATTTTCCAGTAGATAAAACGTTCCATTGGGGTCAGTATTATTCTTTTTCGTCACAAGCTAGGGTTTGTATTCATAGTTATTGGTTGAATAAAGATTCGGGTTATAACACACATACTGTGTGTTTATGTTTGTGTTTAGTGTTGCTTTATTCTCCTTTTATATATATATTTTTTACACATACTTAAGCCTGTTACCACTCATGGAGGCGCGTAGGCCACCCACCTGGATTCTCCATCAAATTCTGTACTGGGCCGTCCTTTTCAGTTGCTATTATCATCATAAACGACACTGGGACCTTAAGTCAGTAGTTATTTTTTTATAGTATGAAAGCATTTATCACTTGTACTTTCAGAGTTAACATTTTTCATAGATCAACTCTTGTTTATTTATCTCTAAAGGCAAAATTGCAGTTATTCGCGAATTGAATATTACACAATGGATGGTGAATGCAACATTGGACAAAGTGAATGTTACATTAGGCTCTAAAGAAACTGATTTATTTTCAACTACCGTTAACGGTCTTCGAATCGATGTTCGTACAACCTATAATACTATAGAAATTTCGGCAATACTTTCTGAATTCACTCTAATTGATCGTATCGTAAATACATCCTATCGTAAGGTTAGTAAAAATGTGTTTAAATATTATTCTGTGCATCGTATATATTGTGTATCCTATGCTTATTATTATTACTACTGTGTATCATCATTCAGTATTTTATAATTGGACTGTTATCAGAGATACTCAATCGAGTAGTTTATCTTCAATCCGAAGTAGATGAAGTTGAAACTACAGCAATAGTAGATAAAAAAGTTTTTATTACAAAATATTTGATGGAAAGAATATTTCGGAGTTAGAAGCTACAATAACAGTTAATAAATGCATAGCGACAGTCTTTTTCACGAACAAGCTTTCAACTATATGTTATACTTCACAAGTTTATAGTCAAATCTGTTAATTACTCGGCGCCCAATTTTTGTCAAACTATTCGTTCTAATATTGAAGAATATTCGTTTAAATTGATAATTTCCCCACAGTTTTATACTAGTAGTATCGTGGAAATGCTTTCGAATAAGGTTCTTAAATTCCTATCCTAGTCAATGAGTGTATTAACATAGTTAAAAATGTTACTTATATATTCAGTGATAAGATAAAGAATGGTTGACTGATACAGAAAGTCAATCGATTTTCGGTAAATGGTCTCCAAACAATTATGTAGTTATTGGTACTTTTGATTTTCGAATTAAGTTACTGGAAAATTACGTAGATATGAGCTCTGGTTTGATTTCAAACTTTTTTTTCGCTAAGATACTCAAACAATTAGAGACATAATAATCAAGAAACGTATCCTCAGTTCCTCAACTAAGTTTTAGCTTATCCAATCAGTACAGAACACCAGTTTCACGCTCGATTAGGCAAACTAATTTGCCATATTCCACAATTCAGAATTAAATTTGGAGAAGAAAATTATGATGGAATTTTTCTATCAACCAAAATGTATAGATGCATTGAAAAGTACTTCAGTCTCCTATACAAGTGAGAATCAACCTTGCTAGTCTGATCTTCATCTGATTTTTTAGTTTATCACCTACAATTGAGTTGTCCTAAATTCGTTTATATTACGGGGAAAAATTTTAATTGTACTTATTATGTTTCGTATTCAGCTTGTTTATTTAAGTACATTTGTCTGTATTTATTTTCTCATGATATCAATTCTTCTATATATTAGATCATCAGTTTAGTGTTTAGTGAGTAATAATTACTAGATCATACTAGTCATATTAATTTATCATAAAAACCGAATATACAGTGAAAAACGTTCTAATCATCTGTTGTAACAACAGTATTACTACTTTTATAGGTTTCAGAACAGATGACTCAAAAATAGTTTAGTACTTATAGTATAGTAGACTCAAAAAACACATCTCATGTGTATTTGGTGTGTGTACACAGAAATCTTACGTTCAGTATGTGTTATCAGTTATTTTTCAAGTAATTACTTATACTATGTAGTTTACCCGACCGTTGTTGCTACCTTGACGTGGTGGTCGGGCTTGCCTATCGTGATGAAGCAACCGAGCTATACTGGCTGGAACAACCGTTCCTCAAGGTCCTACCATGTCAGACAGGTCGGTTGAAGAGCGGTAAGACTAAAAGCAACAAACCCAAGGTCCGAAGGCGAAGTCGTACTGCTGACTGTACAGAGGTGTGACAGCAGTAAGGTGTTTCCTTCAGACAACCAGCATGACAGCGATGCTGCCTTCCCACAAGGAGGGGTGGGGTTAGAAAAGGTCGACCCTAAAAATGCACACCTCGCCTTATCCCACGGATATCCGTCTCCGGCGGTAAGGTCTCAATAAGTACGGAGCTAACACAAAAATTACCCATAACAAGGTCGTGTGTGACCGACCTCAAGCAGTTGTCCCTTGGGCACTGCGGTCACGCTCTCAGTTCACTAAGACCACCTTTAATCCAATTTCCTTTTCAGGTACCTCCAGAACAACCCTTCCACGGTGTGGGCAACCGGGAAGTGATAACCGCCCTCATACTTCTAACAGCACTCAAGTCCACTGTATTCATAATCAACCTCCTCTTCAATTCCTATTATTCCTCCTACATCGACTTTCAACTCTATACTTCCTCTCTCGGCTTCCACCTCAAGTGTCACCGTAGCCAACGATTCTAGTGCGCAAAACACTGTCCCAGGTCTACTGAAACCTCGCTCCAAACTACACATTGGAGCCTTCAACGTACGCACCCTATGTCAAATCGGTCAGCAGGCTTCCTTGGCTAAAACCCTAGAGTCTCTTTCCATTGATGTATGCTGTGTCTCCGAAACACGCATACAGGATTCCAGTGTGGTCATTCACTTGACCTCACCTCGGCAAGACGGAGAGCCAACGAGATACACCCTTCGTGTGTCCGGTGACCCGATGGCAAGTTCTCGTGGACTGGCAGGTGTAGGCATAGCACTAAGCATGAGGGCCGAACAAGCACTGCTAGAGTGGATCCCCGTCAACAGTCGTCTATGTGCTGTTCGGCTGAACGGCTACGTAAGAACTCGGAAGGATAGGGACACACGTCGTTGCCTTTTTGTCGTTTCTGCCTACGCTCCCACTGACTGCAGCTCAGATGAAGTGAAAGATGAATTTTACAGAAAGCTATCCGAACTTCTTCAGAAAGCTAAACGCTCAGACATAGTACTCGTAGCAGGTGATTTTAATGCTCAGATAGGCAGTTTAAACCAAACAGAAAGGCATTTAGGTGGATATTTTAGTATTCCGACACAGCGAACAGATAATGGTGATCGTCTGCTGCAGCTATGCTCAGACAATCGTTTATTTTTAGCAAACACAAATTTTAAGCATAAGGAGAGACATCGTCTAACATGGCGACCCCCTACACCAAACCAACGATGGACTCAAATAGACCATATTGCCATCAGTCATCGTTGGAGAGGGTCGGTAGAAGATTGTCGTTCATTCTGGAGCACCTGCTTGGACTCCGACCATGCCCTAATACGGGCACGCATCTGCTTGCGCCTCAATGGACGCAAAAAAGCCACATTAAAAAGACCCATTAGAACTGAGTTGAGTAACGAGAAAACCAAAAGTAGGTTCCAGGAACAACTGAGGTCACACTTAGTTAGTTGTGAAGACGAGGCTGACCCAGATGTTGCTTGGAAGGACATACAAGCAGCTGTGGAAACAGCAGTGACATCTATTAGTGACTTAAACCACAGAGTTACAAGGAACCAGTGGATTTCTTCAAGGTCTGTCACACTGATGGATTCTCGCAAACTCGTCCCATCAGGTTCTGAACATGATGAAGAGCGTAAACAAATCAGATCTAGGTTAAGAAAAAGTCTAAGGAACGACCGTGAGCAGTGGTGGGTAACGAAAGCAAAAGAGATGGAAAAGGCGGCGACTATAGGGAACACAAGACAGCTTTACAGACTAATAAAAGAAACTGGAATTAATAAGTCAAGTGTAAGTGAGATTATTTCGGAAAAAGATGATACTCTCATCTGCTCCCAGTCCAGACGTTTAGAACGATGGGCGGAACATTTTAGAGAACAGTTCAGCTGGCCTTCAGCTACTCTACAACTACCCTCCATTCCCAGACAGAGTGAATGGAACATTGAAGTAGGTCCCCCAACTCTTGCTGAAGTTGAGAAGGCTATAGTTAATCTGAAACGAGGAAGGGCAGCTGGTCCAGATGGACTGGCTCCAGAAGTCTTTAAGGATGGTGGTCCAATTTTAGCGACTAGGTTGACTAATATTTTGGCTAAAATCTGGGAGTTAGACGTTATCCCATCTGACTGGTCGCAATCACTTATCGTCCCAATATATAAGAAAGGGTCAAAATCATCCTGTGACAACCACAGAGGGATTAGTTTAACAAACATAGTATCTAAAATACTGGCCTCGATAATTATCAAACGCCTAACTAAGACTCGTGAACTACAAACACGAGAGAACCAAGCTGGCTTTAGACCTGGTCGTGGCTGCATCGACCACATATTCACCATTCGTCAGGTTCTAGAACACAGGCATACCTATCGGCGTCCGACGATGGTGGTCTTTCTTGACTTAAAAGCAGCATTTGACTCTGTAGACCGCGAGACTCTGTGGCAGTGTCTGTCATTGAAAGGCGTACCTCAGAAGTACATAAACCTTGTGAAGGCTCTTTACTCGAACACTACTAGTCGAGTCAGGGCTTATGGCGAACTGTCATCTACCTTTACAACCTCAAGTGGTGTCCGTCAAGGCTGCCCACTTTCTCCATTTTTGTTTAACTTCATCATAGACCTATTGATGGAAATAACACTCTCGTCGACTGAATTCTCGGGTATTGATCTCCTTCCAGGAGGTCCACTTATCGACTTAGAATACGCAGATGACATAGTCCTGTTTGGTGAAGACGCTGACAAAATGCAGAGTCTTCTGGTAGCACTAAGCAACAATGCCAGAATGTTTGGGATGCGCTTCTCTCCCTCTAAATGCAAGTTGTTGCTTCAGGACTGGTCTGCGTCAACACCTGAACTAAGGATAGGGAGTGAAGTAGTCGAACGTGTTGACAACTTCACTTATCTTGGAAGTCTGATCAGCCCTAATGGGTTGGTGTCTGACGAAATCTCAGCACGGATTCGTAAAGCTCGTTTGGCTTTTGCCAACTTACGTCACCTTTGGCGGAGGCGAGATATCCGTCTATCAATAAAAGGACGAGTATACTGCGCGGCTGTCCGTTCTGTTTTAATTTACGGCAGCGAAACATGGCCCTTAAGAGTAGAAGACACCCGTAAGCTACTAGTATTTGACCACAGATGCCTTAGAAATATTGCTGGCATCTGCTGGGATCACCGGGTAAGTAATAGTGAGGTTAGACGCAGGGTATTAGGGAATGATGGTAAATCAGTTGATGAGGTTATGAATCTTCATCGACTGAGATGGTTGGGCCACGTATTACGTATGCCTGAACACCGATTACCGCGACGTGCAATGCTAACCGGTGTAGGGGATGGTTGGAAGAAAGTTAGGGGCGGCCAAACCAAAACGTGGCATCAGTGCCTGAAGTCACTAACTTCTAGTCTGAGCCATGTTGGTAGATGCAGACTACTTGGTTGGGGTCCGCGTGACTTTCGTAACCAATGGTTGGAGACCCTTGGTGACATGGCTCAGAATCGATCACAATGGCGTCGGTGTATACACTCTCTGTCTTCTCTTAAACTAAGAGATTAAGATCACTTCACATCTTTCTTTCTACGAACTAATTCTTTCTTCCTATACTATATCCTTATTGCAATCTTTCTCCTATATATTACCACCTTTGACCTAACCACTCCTATGAATCCGGTGTTCATCTTGCTGTGCTAATGAGGTATGGCAACCTGGACCGATGCACATATGTGCCTGGTCCTACGTTGTAGCTGACTGACTGACTGATGTAGTTTAGCTGATCTTATTGCATAATAGAAATATCATTTCGAACTTTCATAAATTTCTTCAGGTATCTACGGTGTATTAACTAGTTTTTTTTTATGTGAGCTGATATAAGTTTCTGGGTGCTTTAATTCTGGAGTTTCCAAATGTCTGACTAGGAAATCTTTTCAACTTCAAATTGTCTTAGAACTCTCAGTTATGTTCAAATAGAAAACTATAAGATATAGATTAATGTTTAGATATTAGCTGATGGTTGGAGACAATCGACAGCTAACCTTGGATCTAGGTCTCGTGCTACTTTGAGAGAACTGGTGCATTCAATCCTCCCATCTTCACAGTCAGAGATATTATCACTGAGCTATTCGGATCTCGACTGAACTCCTGTATTTAGTCATTAGTTTTGCTCTTAATTCTTTGACAGCATTTTTCTGTTTTATATTTATTATTCTACTTTACTTTTTAGATTTTATGGGTTGATCCGACAGAAAATGTGGTTTCTTTGCAAATTACACATTTTCAAGATAATACCCAGTCTGTTGAGAATTCAATAGATCCAGACAAAGTAGACTTGGCTATCAGTCTTCAGATAGGGAAATTACATTCTATCTTCTTATATCATTTTATTACACGTGTATTGGTAAGCTCACTTTGTTTATTGATGTCATAATTAGATAAATATTTGACTCAATAATTTATTTATATATTTGTTATGTAAAACAGTCGATTTGTTCCCACTGTAAATTGTATGGGTCCATTTGATTAGTGATTTATAAATGCGAAGTATTGTCAGTTATGTCTGTTCACATCTAAATAATGACCAGGTTATTAAAGATGACTTATATCTGACTTGTTTTTTGTTGGTCATCTCAATCAGTTAGGGAATTTTGTTTAATAGACAATAAGACTCTTAATCTGCAATCTTGTTTTTCTTCACTAAATCTGGCAGTATCAGTCTTTTGTTCTTTTTTTTACCGTACTAAGTAAACCGTTATATTCGCAATTATAACAAGTAGTAGTACTAGTGTTTTGACACTTTATTACGATTCAACCGGTAATTTTATTCATTTGGGAAATGTGTTAACCGATTATTATTTTGCAGATATTATCCTCTACACGATTCAGAGAGTTCATGTGCTCGATCCTATATACTTTTATTACTGTACAATGTTAAAGTCTCCACAAACTATGATAAAACAACAGCTTTTCAATTTCCTTAATCTTCATTAATTCTTCGGCTAGTGTCAACCAATCATTCATAAGGAATATACACCTAGCACATATCCATATTCACCATTGTCACCCATCTTAAGCCTTATCATCTAAAGTCTCCAACCATTTGTTATAATAATCGTACGAACGGTATTTACCAACACAACTCAGTCCAACAGTTATTAACCTAATGGATCAATGTTACTTCTTTGTTTGGCCACCTCTAGTTTTCTCCCAACCTCCTGCACAGCCGACCGGAATAGCTCATCGTCACAGGTTTGGGTTCAACATACTTAACATATATCCGAAATCAGTCGATTTCGATGTGGAATAATAATTGTAATGATAGTAATAATAATATAATTCATTTGTCCAGTACGATTTAATGTACTTATCTTTAAGTTACACCTATTTATATGGCAGCTATAGTGATAGTTCCCATCTGTTTAAACCCGATTTAGGTCTGTTAGATAGAGTTCACACATGTAACCTAACTGGTATCATTACCAAGGTTTGATTTGATAATTTCGAATAAATTGAGGATTGGTAGATTGTTATAATTAAATTAATATATTTGTAATATCTCAATGAGCAGAAAGATTAGATTTTCTGACGTTCCGTGACTTAGTGTAAGCCACTTTTTCAGAGAATAAATAACCAAATTAAAATTAATCAAAGTTTAAATAGTACAACGGAACAACACGAATATTATGTGACATTGATTTATTCAAACCTGTTTTTTGATTGATCACACAATATTCATGTTGTTCTGTTGTACTATTTAAACGGTAATTAATTTTAATTTGGTTATTTATTCTCTGAAGAAGTGGCCTCCAAGTACCGTGGTGCGGCCGAGAGTGGGGAGAGTCCGCTCTCCCTCTCGGAATGCTCTCACATGGCCACGTGTATATAGCCTCCGCCAGGGAAGTCCAGCTCATTGCCTTCTCGTGGGGGGGGTGTTGTTTACGAAAATGAGAGGACGAAAAGCGAATGTCCGGCGCCTTAACCGAATTCCAAACCAATGGTACACATGGGCTCCAGTATCCTGCGGGAACAAATGGTGTATGAACCAATCGTTGGTCACCGGTTACCATGTGACTGCATCTCCTTACGATGCTCCACTGCCTTGTGCATCAGACCTTCAGGTCGAAAACTCGTGGAGTGGCCCCCTAAGAAAACCACCTGCTTCGGTTTGGGCACCCAGGCAGTATCACAGCCCTCATACATATCGAATGAGATTTGTGTGGCGCGTATGTATTTGGTGCCTCCTTGTACCAATATCTATGTGTTAAAATAAATAAAATAGTCACGAAACATCAGAAAATCTAACTTTTCTACTCATTGGGATATTACAAATATATTATTTATTTATGTGGCCTAACAGTTAATAGTTGACTACTTTAACCGCTAATATGTTGTGTCATATTTCACTATTTTTCCTATAGTGAAAAACAATCATTTAACAAAACTAGTCTTTCCTGTGCCTTATTTTTGCTAAACAATGAAATTTTTTTATTCTAAATATTCTATTATAATACAGTGATAAAATTAATAGTTTTTGCTATATTTATAGTATTGTATTATATATACACATAAGTGTAATCACTCGAATCATCTATATATGAATTATCATGCTAGTGAATTATACTATCAGCTATTTGCTCTATAGAATTACTTACATCCGGTTGTTTGGAAAATATATGAAGTTTTAGAAAGTGTCTTTTAATGCTCATCGTACATGATTATGTTATTTATTGAAAGAGATGTAATGATAAATCTCGAATTAATTATCTTAACTTGTCAGCGGATTTTTCATCATTCTTTCGTAATACTCTTCACTTTGACTGGTTTCAGACAGCTTTATCTCATACTTCATACATATTATCCATCTCTCTCTCTCTATAGCTGTTTATGTAGGATATTTGATTCAGGCTGAGCATACTTCCTTACCCTGTTATCTTATGATTTATAGCCAAAATGATGAAATCGTTGAAAATATTATTTCCAATAAATATTGTGTTATTTAAAACGTTTTTTATAAAATAACATTCTTAGTTGACTTTTATTCGAAGAAGTTGGTTACTAGTGAATATGTTTGATGGTTACTGATTGTGTTTTATCACATCAATCTCTAGTTCTTTTTGTAAATACTCATTCAAAGATTGTTTATTTGTTTATCCATAGTTTCGATAATATAGTAAAACTATGAGTATTTGGTAGCTTGTTATTTGTAATTAATTTCAGTATATTTTGATTCCTATCAAGGAACGAAATATTCCTACTTCTCATAATTTGACATGTAATGCTAACTAACATATTGAATTGGTTTTTGAGAGTTCAGAAGTGGTTAACTCATGAGATCATTACCTGTTGATCTCAGTTATATCAGGTGTTAAAAATTACCTATATGAAACGGGTACGATAATTGCAATCTATAGATGGTTTCGTCCTATTTGAAACTCGTTAACTGTATGTGACCTCATTCCAGTGTTGATATTTACATCGGAACTCAAACCTAGTATGAACCATGCAAGTGAGTGACTGTCTTGACACAGTCACTAAATAGATATTGCGTTGGGTTCGAGTCTTAATGTGAACACAAGCAGTGGGATGCAGTTACATCGGCCTAATGAGTCTGAAACCACAAATCCATTTATTCTGTATCATTATCATTATTTTATCTTAGTCTTTATACTTTCCATCTCAATTTATAACATCTTTGTCTGGTTCACATTTGTTCTCTAAACTCTACACTTTCTTTGATCATTTAATAAAGATTGAAAATGTATTACACCCCATTCATCCGTTGATTTGTTTGTCATACTTATTTATCAATGGTTTATCCTTTATTTGTTCTAGAATTTTATGGAAGCCTATCAAGAAGCAGCTGAATTGATGTTAAATAAATTTCAAGCTTTATCGGATGCAGCAGTGCAACAAGTTGGTTTCACTTTTTTTTATCCTTTTATTAAAATATTCCATGTTATAAGAATATAATTCTGTTATGTATTACATTAATTAAGTTCTTAGCTTTAAGGAATATTTTGGTTGTACTGTGTAAGGTACTTGTGATTCTATCCTCCAATTGTCTAAAACAAATTCGCTTGCAACGGGTGGTGTTAAATCTGTAAATTCTAGTGCTTGAAAGCTGAATGTGGAATGGTGATTTAATAGTTAAAGCATTCTATTTTGAAACATCAAGTCATTTATTCAAGTCGCGCACTACCTACTTCTAGTTTAGATAGCCATTTAGTTTAAAATAATGATTGAAATTAGAATAATAATAATAAGAAAAAATGAGGGAACGTTTTAAGCCTTAACGTAGTTTTACTCTTTGTATAAAATAATCCATCTTTTTATTGGAATCATATTTGTAGATATACAGATATGTGAAATGTTATTTTAAGTATCTTTCGATAGAAATACACATATTTGCTTTAACACTAAGTTGCATTTTATCCAGATGTTTAAATGAATGTTCATGTTTCTACGGTATTAGTTTACGTGTTACAGGTTCATAGATTGTAACTGACAGCTTGAATATACAAAAACTATTTTCTGTAAAAAAACTTATCAATAATAAGTTTCTTGTACTTTAGACATTTATCACCATTTTTCATATGCGGCCTCATGATATTGCTACCCAATAGTCGATTGTTTGAAGCTCTAAATCACCGTTTAACAAAACATTCATACATACATAACGCACTGAATATTTACATGAAGAGGAAACCAACCAAAAGAGGACATTTCGGAAACTAATAAAATAGTATGTAGTTATAAAGATTGTTGAATTTTATTGAAATCACAAAGCTACTTAATTTAAGCAACCGTTAAAGATCCAAAATCAGTGGATGGCTTTTTCGCCTATATATAGGATTCCTCAGTAGTATACATTTACAACACTAACCAGAGATTGAACCCCGCACCTTTGGCCTCGCTTACGAAATTTTAGCCTCAAGACCACTGAGATGATATCTAACGGTTTTAATGTCTAACTTCAATCAATTTAAGATATTAAAATTGTATCCCTTTTTGTATATTTTTTAATAAATTTAACTTAAAATCCTGACGTAGAAATGATTAAATAACTTAATCTTCAAATTGGTTCAGTGATAGCATTAAATTGTCCAGTTTTATTCATGGTGGACGTGACATACTATAAATCATCATAACATATTGAGGAATATAATTCTACGTCACATTATTCAATTGCCCATAAATGTTGATTTCTTCTTTAATTTTCAGGTTCATGAAGCAGTTGATAATTCTCTTCAAACTCGTCTCAGTTTAAATATTGTTGCTCAAGCTCCAGTTATATATATGCCGCAACACTCATTGTCAAATGAATCTTTGATGATTGATTTTGGGCGTATCACATTATCAAATTATTTTGAATTTGTCAATCCTTCAAAAGTATTGCCTGATACAACAATTCCAGTTCCCGATCCCGGAATCATGTTAGAACATATGGTGGTTAAGTTGGAAAATTTACGATTATCAAGGTGAGTGGTGTGTAACTTCAATAAATGAATGATTCAGTACACGCTTTGTTCAGTGCCATTTTAAAACTTTCATGGTAATATGCTAAAATGAATACATTTGACTTTTTAACTATCAAATTTGACTCAAACACCAATTGCGGTGTTAAGGACATGTAATATGTATTTCCAACCCCTACCTACTACGACAGACGATGTCTGGTGTAGGAGCGGGTTGAAAGAATGACATAAGAGACTAAACCAAGATTAACATCAATCTGTGAAGTTGTTGACAAAAGAACTGAGGCATCTATGTAGGCGCAGACTACCTGATTGGAATCTGCATGATTATCATAACCACTGGTTGGAGACTTCGAATAATGTATCATATGTGAAAATTATATTTGAAATTTAATTAATTCCAGCGTTTCGTCCGCAAACGTGTTTGGACTTCATGGTAAAAATCGAATTCAAGATCATCAAAGAAATATATATAGCGTTTTAACAATCAAGTCAAAATCAAATCTATACTGTGTTAATCTAATCATATTTGGATGTTGATTTTAGTAAATAAGATAAAATGGGTCAGTTAAATGCGAATCATGTGAAAAGTTCACGATGTGGAGTTAAATGACCGAATGAATTGTGTGTGTATGTATGTGTAAGATTGAGTTATTAATAATTGATATTACATGGTAATATATGAAGGAAAAATAAAAGTGCAAGTTGAAGGTTGAAACAATTGTTTCTGAATAACCGATGTTCATGTAAAATAAGAATCATCAAATGGGTATTGTATTACTAAAATAACCGATATTAATTTCTGTCAGAATAACGATTCATGTGAAATAAACCGGTTGTATAAAGAATGTGTCCAATTACTTGTTAATAAATATTTTCCGTATCAACTATTAGTGACTCAGTTTTACACATACACACATAATTCATTCAGTCATTTATTTTCACATCGTGAACTTTGCACATGATTCTCATATAACTGACTCATGTTCTCCTATTTACTAAAGTCAACATCTAAATACGATTGGATTAGCACAGTATAGATATGATTTGATGATTGTTAAACGCTATATAAATTTCTTTGATGACCTTGAGTTTGATTTTTACCCTGAAGAAGTCCAGACAAGTTTACAGGATGAAACGTTGGAATTCTTTAAATTTGAATCGTTGAGATAATTTCAAATATAGATTTCATATATGATAACTTCTCTATACTCGGCGCCCAATTTTTGTCACAATATTCGTTCTAATATTGACGCGTTTTCTTATAAATTCGAATAAAATAGTTTAGAATCTTTCAAAATAGTACTGGTGCATTCATTTATTACTTTTCTTTATAACTTGAGTCAGGCAACCTCCCTATACTTTTCTTCCCGTATATCTGATCTTTTATACCATTATTGATACTGCTACTATTTCTGTTTTAAAATTTGTCTTGAAATCATCTTATTTATTTGTGCCAATGTGATATGACAACTTGAACCGACTCACGTTTTGCGTTTCATATGACTGATTGACAACAATCAGATTTGTGATAACTACTCACCGAAAGCATTTAATCTGAACCTGTATATTCACTTAAAGATTTTTTTACCCACAATTCTATAAAAAATACATTGACCATATCTTCTTATTTCACTTCGGTCTTGAGTATCAGTTTTGAATCACATATAGAATATGGCACAATTGTACTACTGTCCAAGCCACCATAGTAGGAGAAATCAACACAGGAAAAGGTGAAATTAACAGTTTAGAAAACAGATAGTAGGAGATAATTCTAATATTCATTTGTGATGATTAACAATTCCTGTTGGATAAGTAATCAATTGTTTGTTTCATACAAAGCATCGTCTATATTTGAACTGGTGGTGTTGACTAATCAATTATAATATTCAATGCTCTTTTCACCTACCTCGTTTTAACTGACCAGTCACACTGAACTCAGTTTATTGTGTAACTTAACCCTGCTCGACGAAATTGTTCTCGTTTCATCATAAACTTCTCATTCATATATGTAGTGGTATGTATTACATAATCTTTTTAGTGGTAGATTCATGAAAATGTTCGTAAAGCCTTTTCAGAGGTTAATCGTTAAACTTGTTTATATAAAGAAGTATTTTTTGAATAATTCCTTCCAAGTTTGCTTTAATAGCTCATTATAATAACAATGAACGAAGTTCTATTCTTATCTCTTTTGTATTGTATTGTATGTATGTGTGTATTGTTTTCTGTAAATTAAAAGTAACTATTTCTTTTGTCCTAATCATTGTTTTCCCATTGTGATAAAAGAGTAGTGCTAAAAGACAGTTCTGTTCAAGCCGAGAAACACGTTTTACTTCCAATTAATGTTGAACTGAAAACTCGTCGTAATCTCAATCCAAATATATATTCCGCTATACCTATCCTTCTTGTCAATGGTGGATTAAATGAAATTAATGTAAGTTGACTGATTGATTGATTAGTTGTATTTAGTTTTTTTTCTTAATGTGTAGAAAAAGGCATTGTTACTCTCTCTGTTGAATCTAACTTATCCAACCTAACCGTATCCGCTAAATTGACGTCAGATTTACGTATCGTGGTGGTCTAATTAGGTTAGAACACTCGTTTCTTTAGGTCCTGTCATCCAAGATAGGTTGGTTGGAGAGCAGTAACACTATAAGCAGAAGTCCAAAAGCTAAGTCGTTTTGTCGGCTACACAGGAATGTGACGGTAGTAAAATGTTTCTCCCAGACAATACGCATCTGCAACGATGCTACATTCTCACAAAAGAAGAAGGATTTAGTAAATGTCATCCCTAAAATGGTACAAATTACTCTCTCCCACCGATATCGATATCCCATGATGTCGGTTATGCATCAAAAGTAGCGAGCTAACACTTCGAGAATTACTCCTAAAACGAGGGTGTTGGATCTCGGTCTCAAACAGTTATCACTTAGACTGCGTGGTCAATCTCCTAGGTCATCAAAATCAGTAGTAACTCAGTTTACTTTTCAGGTACTTCAAGAAAAAGGATCCTTCCACAATATGGACACCTGGGATGGGTGGATATTAACCCTCATAGCTTTTACTGGATAGGAGATCATCTATTCAGACTTTTATGTTATCTCGATTTTTTAAAAATAATAATAGCCTCATAATGAATGAAGTCATTGGTAGATATTTATTTTTTATTTCGAAAATGTAAGGCAAACTTAGCTAATTACAAATCCCTTCAGTCTTGGCCCCAGTAATTTCTAAATTGCCAAGGGATATTCATCCATTTGAACATCAGAACTGTAAGAACTATCCAATTTACTAAAAATACTCGCCAACTTAACCGACCCATTCTTTATTGTCAAACAGTTTGTAGGTACAAATTTATTATTTATATCAGTCTCCTTACATTCTGGCATTTGTGAAACACATACCGAAAACATACATCCAGATTTTCGCTTAGTCATTTCTAAAGGTTCGATTTTTTTCAGTCTCCGTATACTTTAACTGAGCTAGGCAGTGGCAAAAAATTATAATTCCCCAAAATATCGGAGAGAAATAGTTATTGTCATCAATATATCCATCACGGTTAAACTACTGATAAAGATGTCCACATTCACTGTCACTTCTGCTTGTCATTGTCTCATCCAAGAAAAATCTCATGATCCTTCTTACATAGCTCAATGAATTCAAATAAATTTAACATAATATGAGTAATCTATCAAGTAAACGTTACTCAGCTTTGAGCCGCACCGTGTTTGTGAAGGTTAAGGATTCTCCAACTATCTCGCCGCCCAAACCGAAGTACATGAAGGTCAGGTCATTAATTGTGGTTTTTGTGGTTACGAACCAAGTGCGTTAACCGTTAACTCACAGCTTCACGGTTATTTATTTTGAAGCTATGGTAGCTACCAGGTTACCTAGTAATCGTAATCTGCCATTCTGATAATTCTATCGTTAAGTTGACATCACATAGATCAATATCCCTCAATTATGTATCATTAAGAAATTCATTCATGTTTAATGATCAAACCTATCCACGTATATTCTTCATCTGATATAAAGAATTTCCGTTTTGAATTTTACTAATTCTTTACTCCTTATAGATTTCTTTTTCTCAAGGCGATTATCGTGTTCTTCAAGAAGTACTTTTTGATAATTTTAATGATACACCATCGTCTACTAAAGGATCTGTAAAAACAACACCTGTTACTACGGGTTCCTCTGCTAAGTCTACTAACAAAAAGAATAAAACACAACAAAAAGTTGAAGAGAAAAACACTACAGAAAATGATAATCCAGTCAAAATTGCAGTCAGTTTTGATTTAGGAATGAAAAGTGTCATTCTTAATTTGTACACATGTGATCAACCAATAGTGAGTTTTTTATGTACATGCACTTATATATCATTGTTAACGAACTAAGCAGCAACTTTCTTGCAAATACTTTCATATTAAGAAGCACTGACTATCAATGTGTATAGTGAATGGTACTCATATAATGTAGTTAATTTCCGGGTATGGAGTAAGTTAATTAAGTGAATTGACAAACAGACTAGTAATTTTATAGGTATTATAGTAGTGAATTACTATTCAATAAATTGTTAAGCCTTCAACCTTTAAACTTCCGTAATTCCTGTTAAATTGACAAGCCTACTTATCATTTCATTTAATGTTATTTTTCAGTTACATAAGTGAAGGCTATTGTAGTTAAGAGAGGAATTTAACGAAAAGCCATAATATTAGTAATATGATGGATGGTGTTTTCGAATTTCAAGGGATAAAATTTTAATGTAACGTGATGATGAAGACAACCACAAAATGAAGTCACGAACGAAAGGTGCAATACTACATAAGTAAACCAGGATTATACCAATGGAAGCGACCTTATAAACTGTTCCTGTATACATAGTTGACGTTTCTGCAATGCATAGGAGATGCACATTTAAAGCTCCCGGTAGATTTAGTTTGATCTTACATCGAACGATGTGTCTGATTCTATGTAGTTCTGATTAACAACTTGATAGTGCAAAGTGGATTTTGTAATTTGACCTTTCTCTCACTGACGCTTCGATAAACAACTTACTATTCCTATATATCCATATGAACAGGTGAACAAACTTGTGTAAATTAAATTGTTTGGTTAATTTGGTTTGTTTTTTTACCCAAAGCTGAGCTAATGAATAGTTGATGTAGAGTATTCACAACAAAGCTGTACAAAATGTTTGTTGTAGTAATAGAACCAAACAGTTCTTCAGAAGGTCTTATTCAATATCATACGTCCACTTCTGTGCAGATTTTTAAAATTCACTAGGTGATGAAATCAATCAGATAGCTTTTTCTACTAATAAAAGAACAAAACTATAAAAATCAGTCGTCTATTCAATTTATGCAGATTTTCAGCAAATAGATCTCACTTGTAAACTATCATCGCTTTCCATTCGTTTAAGTAAAACATTTAGATATAGAATCAGAGGTTTTTTCCAATACAAATGAATAGATGGATGACATGAATTTAACGTGTTAAATAAATTTTCACAGTCATCATTCCAATAAAAATGATTTCATTTTCTTCTCGCTGATAGACAGAATGGCATAATGATTTCCCGGAAGACAAACGATTGGCTACATTCAATCTTAAACAATTCAATGTATCTGGTCAAATGGCTTCAGATTCATCATCTCAATTCATCGCTAAACTTAATGATATTAAATTACAAGATAGTCGACCTGGTTCAAATAGACAAATTACTAAGTAAGCATCTCATCCTCAATACCATTATCTTGAGCTGACCTTTTTTAAAATCTTGTTTCGTAACTTGCATCTGTACTAATTAAATTTATCATAGAAGCTTTTGCTTTTGAGGTTAAGTTTTAGTAAAGGATACCAAAAAAAACTAAGCTCTATGCTTTTGGATTGGGTTATAATTCAAAATTTCATCTTACAAAAACTGACCTTATTTAGACACTCGTTCAAGGTCAAGAAGTAATAGGCAGCCGTTTGATCCTAGTAAGAGTACTCTTCAGCAAACGAGTACCCACGACCCCACCACGTCCCAAAGCCAGAACTTTCAGGCCTCATAACTAGCAGTCTACCTTCTGGACACTAAGCTGTCATCCGTTAGTTCACATCTGTAACTCCTATCTATTCACAATATTGTGGGACTTTCATACTCGATTTGATCCAGGAGTAATTGTGCTGTGATTCTTTGTGGGTTTCGTAATCAGTGGTTGGGTATAGGTAGAGTCGGTGATTAGCCCCGATCTCCACCAACTGGTTTACCGCTCATGTTAGTTCATCGGTCGTCAGTCCCACTATCCAGGAGGCACGACACGGGCGTGTGAGTCGGGTTTCGCCTAAAAAACAAACGCGAACCGAGTAATCATACTCGAGTTATAAATGATTTTATTGTTCAGTAATTAAAGTTTGTGATTTTTGTATAGATCAAATGAGAAAAAGCTTTTTTTGCTAATATTGTCCTGTTCAGTGTTAAGAGAGTTTATATCTTCGAACGTTTACTTATTTTAAAGAAAAACCTTCCATTAACATCATATTATGTTTCTTGAGTATTTTACTGCTAACGCTAAATGGTCACAAGTTTCTATAAAACAGATGGAATGTGGCTAGTATTGGGATCTAGCACATGCGTTCTATCCCATTTTTGACTCGTCAGATGGATATACCTACATTCCAGAGTTGATATCTCGAACCATAGAGTAAACACGCACTTTGAAATGGAGGTTTATCCAACTGGTGAATTCAAAATAAAACGAAACACGCGTCCTGGATTCCTCTGCTAACCACATTTTATCTATTCTAAATTAACTTGTCATAATGGCCGTATCGAGGCAATCCACGTAGGATGTATATATCCCAAAGGTCAATTAAAATATCGATAACGTAATAGTACAAACGAATAAAAATAACATAAATAAATGTACGTTTGAACTTTCTTCCATCTACTGAATGGAGCTTGACTCATAGTACTACTTAGTAAACTCCATACACTGCGAAAAAACGATCATATTTTCATTGTCTCTTGTTGTTTTTCGGTGCACTCATATCAATGATCGTTTGTATATTCAATTTGAAATAACTAACTTCAACCGTAGTGTAAATGTCATTCATGTATATTACGAGTGTATATGAGTTTATTTAAAATGTTTGCGTTAAAGTGAAGATGATCATTTTTAATAAATGTTTTAAGAAAATCCTTAGCTTCAAGCATGTATTCTGAAATGAAGAGAAAACTTAAATTCGATAGCTTAGTGTAAGGAAGGACTTGAATTAACCGCTTCTAATTTTTAGCCAGCTATTACTCAATTAAAAGACAGCCCATGTAAATGCACCATTTTATGGGAAAGAAAGCAGCAATACGACAAATGATGACTTATTTATTTATTTGAACACATAAATACTGGTACAAGGGGGCACCAGATACATATGAGCCACACAGTTCTCATTTGATATGTATGAGGGCTGTGATACTGTCCGGGTGCCCAGACCGAAGTAGGTGGTTTTCCTAGGGGGCCCCACCCGGAGCCTTCGACTTGAAGGTCTGATCCACAAGGCATTGGAGCAACGTAAGAATATGCAGTCCCACGGTAGCCGGTGACCATCGATTGGTTCATGCTCCATTTGTTCCTTCAGGATACTGGAGCCTATGTGCACCATTGGTTTGGAATGGGGGTTTTCCAACCGCCTTAAGTGGACTCTCCATGTCCACCAATCCGGTTAAAGCTCCGGACATTCGCTTTTTGTCCTCTCAATCTCGTAAACAACACCCCCACCACGAGAAGGCAAAGAGTAGGACTTCTCTGTCAGAGGGTATATACACGGGGTCATGTGAGAGCATTTTGAAAGGGAGAGCTGACTCTCCCCATTCTCGGCCGTACCAGGGCATTTGGGGGCACACACATATTTAATAAATCTGGTAAAGCCTTATATTGGTTAATTTGGCAGAAAGTTGAGAAACAAAGACACAACTCATCTTTATATATACAAGTTTTCCTTTCTCTCTAACTGTTAAAAGGATTTAAATAGTCATTTCAGTCTCTTCACATTGTTCTTGGTTATGTTTAAGTATCGAATTAGTTTTTTTCACAAAATATTAAGATTTGTTTCAACATTAAGGGCTTAGAGTCAGGATTTATGTATAATGTTGATTTGCATATCATTATACAATCTACAGAGCATTTAGTAAGTTTAACTCTATGATGATGATGGCAAAAAGTAATTTTTCGCAATTATTTTAAACGTTTTGAGGTCGTATAAGATGATATTCCTACTGTTCATTTTACATGATTTTTGAATTTTACTTGGAATTCACGATTTCAATTGAACTATACTTTTATTAAATTTTCGACTCAAATATTTCTACTGAAAATGTTGTGTTACTCTTCAACACCTTTTTATTATGTTTATTTGTCATATTTGTAAATAATAATGTATGTTTGTTTTTGTACTTCTCTATTGTAGAGGTCAAATTTTAAGGTATGTCATTTTTGTGTGTAAGTAGTATGATGTATACATTGTTATTGTTGGTTGTATAATGTTACCTAACTATAGAAATGTTGTTATACGCCTGCATGATTGCTCACTGATATTGTGATTATATATGTGTTTACTTTTTTATCTTAGCTGGCTAACTTTATTAATATAAATATGCATTTATTTGAGGGCTTGATGATTAAACAATGCGTTAATGCATTGTTGTATATACATTGATTTTTGACATATGTGTTTGTCGATTATTGGTTGTATTCATTTTTGCCTGTGATTTTGAAATGAAAGGAATTTGTAGTTCCGCTGAATACTTTTCACTGGTATTGTTTTCTCTAAGTTAAATAGATTGTTTGTAGTTTCATATATCCATGTTCCCATTAAACTATAATTTCTTGTCACCAGTGTCGGTTTTAGTGGTCAAGTATTAGTAAGACCTCGTATTCAATACCCATATATATATATATATATATATATACATCTTCTGATTTTGGGTGATTCAATTCAAGCATCAAAATCAAGTATAGATAATGATGGTGATAAGTGCACCCCAGCTGTACGTCTTACACAGCGTGCTCGCTACTTAACTCGTAATGCCGATGCAGAAACTGTGACCGCTATGGCTCGTTTTGATCAGTGGTTAGCCAGTCTCCCTATAGGATCAGGTTGTAAAGATAATGGCACTGATTTTAATGGTATATCGATAGATTTGTTGCCGGGACCATCTGATCCTACTTCAGTCCTCATGCCACAACAACCGATTCATTCAGCCGCCTTACCTTGTGCCGTTTCTCGTTCTGGTGGTGTTGGCAGTGGAAGTTTATGTGGTCGAACAAATCCTTATAGTTTTATGTTGAGAAATCGAAACATTCTGGCTACTTCTGGTCAGGGTGTAAATGAGTTATATAGATATACAAAATTAAAGAATGCTTGTGACAGGATGGAAGCTACTTTACTGTGGGGTCACTTAGCTCCTACTTGTTCCCATTAAACTATAATTTCTTGTCACCAGTGTCGGTTTTAGTGGTCAAGTATTAGTAAGACCTCGTATTCAATACCCATATATATATATATATATATATATATATTGTTATGACTTTAAGTTGTGGTAGATTTTTACCCTGTGCTAATTGTTGTGTCCTTGACTGGAAAATTAGAGAGCAGCCTACTTATCGACCGATTCAATGACACGTAAACACGTACGGACGGCCTAGAGTCTCGATTGGTCTCACTTCCCTGTCTAGCCCAGTCAGCTGAGTCCAGAACACAAGTCACAGCCTCGGAGATATGAATCATTATATTTCAAACATACTTTGTTTATATACCAATCAAGCATACCACATCGTACCATAAAATAGAAAACAACATTTTGTACAATATTCAACAAGTGAACAGATACCGACCAATAGGAAATGTCCATTTAAAGTCCAAGGACACCATTGGACTTAACATGATAATTATTGGTCTATTCTTCCGCATCCACAACATATATATATATATTCACACCATGAGACCGGGTGCAGATGTCCATCTGTTTAATTTCTCACGTTTTATGTTAACATAGGACGGAAAAGTTGATAATATTTTAAACAAAGAACTTTTAAATGATTGTAAACTTTAAGAATTAACATTAGAGCTCATAATTCAATATGGAACGAATAAAACTTGACAATACAGGATAATGCTGTACTTCAGATATAATGAGATTTATCAACAGATCAGTACCATTAATCAATGTCTGTTTATATAAGATCCTTCATTATATATTTCAATTATCTCTCGGATATCAACCAGAAAGCCTACATCTACTGACACTGGTAAAAGTACTAAAGGATAAATCATTGTCATTCTGATGGTCATGAGAATTTACTTATATTGTACTTGTGGAATAACTGAAGTAGACCTTAATAATTTTGTCTAGAGCGACAATAAGATGTCTATAATTAAACCCTGAAGCTCAGAAAAGACAGCAGTAGTAAGAAAAGTCAGTTACGGTTGCAAATATATATATATATATATATTACAGTGCTCTTGAAGACAAATATTTCATAATGCCATCAATTAATGCGTTATCGATTATGAATGAATATAGGCAGTAGTCACATTCCATAGTTATGTCATCAATTAAACTGTTAATAATCTTTGGCATATGCTTAGAGAAAAAAATACTCATTTGTATTAAATAACTATAGACCTTGTTCAATGTGAAAATGTGATTGTTTTAAAGAATTTTTCTCGATTGTTTAATTTATATTCTTAAGTAAACATAAGTAATCCTCTTCAATTTTTCACCTTATTAGTGCATTTTTAACAGATACTACTTTTTGATAGAGTGGTTTTGTCTAGATGTACACCCACAAAATTTGTTCATCTAAACTTTAATACTCAGATCACCACTTAACTACCCGGATATGCTCCTGAAGTTTTAGCGTGAAGTTGTGATTGATGTAGTTCAGGCATTTAGAAGTGAAACAGTTATCCCATTGAATGGTAATCGCCCTATATCGCAGTGATTGAAGTGTGTACCACTGAAAATCAACACATTATTCCAAAAGTTTAAGCGTTCATCACGAAACCTGTAGGTCTTGTGTTCTATCTCTAGCAGGATTTAGATTGTGCACTGTTTAATTGTCTCACTTTATGACAAAATGGATGTTCAGTGTTTCATTGTCTTCGTTGGTACAACAAAACGGAATCAATCTACGGTTAATACGACTTAAAAATCAAACCAATCTCCTCAAATACACTTTAATCTATAAAAAATCTCAGTGCTCCTGACTATTAATCAAGATGAAGAAACACGTTTTTATATTATCTCTTCATCACCAGGTAAATGGAAAATAAAAAAAACCAAATATGAAATGTGAAACTTCGTTTATTTGTTTCGTTTATCGGGTCAAATCTGACTAAGCAAATATAACCTAAATTGTAATTATGCGGAGTGCTCGATATAATTATATCTATTAAGTACATATTTTATATAATGTACGAGATTAAAGGATGAAATTAACAACATTTATTAAAAGTGATTAGACGTTTATCAGTGAGATAGGCGCAGTTTTAGATGACAGACTGATTTTTGTATGCAAGTGGAGTTAAAAAAGGGTTTATATGAATTTTAAATATTTATTTTTCAAAACAAAGTGAGGCAATCTGGCGAAATTTTAAACACTGAAGGGAACGAGACAACTGTTTAGTGTTATTTTGAGGTTCCTTACAATTCTACACCTATCAATGCTTAGGGGATTGAGCCTGGTGTAACTTTAGATGTTCCACTGAATAACTTACTGCTGTTACCCCTCATGGAGGAACATAGGCCACCCAGCAGCATTCTTCATTCAACTTTGTCCTGGACAATCTTTTCCAGTTCCTATTCATCCTTTTCATGTCTGCTTCCGATTGTCGGCTCAGTGTTTTTTTTTTTGGCCTTTTTTTCGTTTACCTTCAGGATTCCATATCAGTGCTTGCCTCGTGATGCAGTTTAGTGATTTCCGTGTCCTATTCACTTCCAGCGTCTTTTCCTAATTTCCCGTTTAGCTGGAAGCTGGTTTGTTCTCTCCCATAGTAGGCTGTTGCTAGCAGTACTCGGCCAACGGACGTTCATTATGTTACGTATATAATTCTCTATAAATACTTACTTACTTACTTACGCCTGTTACTCCCAATGGAGCATAGGCCGCTGACCAGCATTCTCCAACCCACTCTGTCCTGGGCCTTCTTTTCTAGTTCCATCCAATTCTTGTTCATTTTTCTCATGTCTATCTCCAGTTCTCGGCGTAATGTGTTCTTTGGTCTTCCTCTTTTCCTTTGACCTTCAGGATTCCATGTGAGGGCTTGTCTTGTGACGCAGTTGGGTGCTTTCCTCAATGTATGTCCTATCCACTTCCAGCGCTTCTTCCTGATTTCTTCCTCCACTGGGATCTGGTTTGTTCTCTCCCACAGTACGTTGTTGCTAATAGTGTCCGGCCAATGGATCTGAAGTATTTTGCGTAGACAACTGTTAATAAACACCTGTATTTTCTGGATGATGGCTTTTGTAGTTCTCCAGGTTTCTGCCCCATACAGTAGAACTGTCTTGACATTTGTATTGAAAATCCTGACCTTGGTGTTGGTTGACAGTTGCTTTGAGTTCCAGATGTTCCTCAGTTGTAAATATGCTGCTCTTGCTTTGCCGATCCGCGCCTTCACATCTGCATCAGATCCACCCTGTTCATCAATGATGCTGCCCAAATATGTAAAGGTTTTTACATCTTCCAAATCTTCTCCGTCAATTGTGATTGGATTGGTGCATTCTGTGTTGTATCGGAGAATCCTGCTTTTCCCTTTGTGTATATTGAGACCTACTGCTGCTGAGGCTGCTGCCACACTGTTCGTCTTCTCCTGCATCTGTTGTTGCGTTTGGGATAGAAGGGCCAGATCGTCTGCGAAGTCTAGATCATCCAACTGCATCCTAGATGTCCATTGTATCCCGCGCTTCCCTTCAGACGTTGACGTCTTCATGATCCAGTCGATCACCAGGAGAAAGAGAAAGGGTGAGAGTAAGCAACCTTGCCTAACACCGGTCTTCACTTCGAACGACTTTGTCAACTGTCCTCCATGCACGATTTTGCAGTGTAATCCATCATATGAGTTCTGTATGATATTGACTATCTTCTGAGGCACGCCGTAGTGTCGAAGAAGTTTCCATAGTGTTGTTCTGTCCACGCTATCAAATGCCTTTTCGTAGTCAATGAAGTTGATGTAGAGTGATGAATTCCATTCAATTGATTGTTCCACAATGATCCGTAGAGTTGCGATTTGGTCTGTACACGATCTATCCTTACGGAATCCTGCCTGTTGGTCACGAAGTTGGGCGTCTACGCAGTCCTTCATCCTGTTTAACAATACCCTGTTGAAGACTTTTCCCGGTATTGAGAGAAGAGTGATGCCCCTGTAGTTATCACACTTGCTGAGATCGCCTTTCTTCGGTATTTTGATCAGAAGTCCTTCTTTCCAGTCTGTTGGTACTTGTTCCTCATCCCAAATCTTATTGAAGAGAATGTGGAGTATCCTTGCAGTTGCCGCTACGTCTGCTTTTAGTGCCTCTGCTGGAATGTTGTCCGGTCCTGCTGCTTTGCCACTCTTGATTTGTCTGATGGCCATGCTGATTTCTTCAATTGTTGGTGGGCCAACATTGATTGGGAGGTCCGTGGGTGCTGCTTCGATGTTGGGTGGGTTCAGTGGAGCTGGTCGATTCAAGAGTTCTTTGAAGTGTTCTACCCACCTGTTTTGTTGCTCTTCAATGTTGGTGATTACCTTGCCTTCCTTGCTTTTCACTGGTCGTTCTGGTTTGCGGCGATTTCCAGAGAGTTTCTTTGTCGTGTCATACAATTGTCTCATGTTTCCTTCTCTTGCAGCCTTTTCCGCCGTCGTTGCTAAATCTTCCACATATTTACGTTTGTCGGTTCTGATGCTCCTCTTCACTTGTTTGTTTATTTCCGTGTATTCAGCTTGTGCCTTGGCTTTTTCTGCTCTTGTTCGGCTGGTATTGATTGCTGCCTTCTTGTTCCTTCTTTCTTGAATCTTATCCAGTGTATCAACAGTGATCCATTCCTTGTGGTGGTGCTTCTTGTGACCCAGGACCTCATGACATGTTGAAGTGATTGCCTCTTTGATCCCCTTCCAGTTGCTCTCCACAGTAGTTCCTTCTCCATTGAGTAGATCATGAAAGGCCTGGAACTTGTTGCTGAGGACTATCTTGAATTTGTTGAGTTTGTTAGTATCCTGGAGAAAGGCCGTATTGAACTTTTGTGATACTGTCTGCCCCGTTGTCCAGTGCTTCTTGAGTTTCAATTTCATCTTGGCGACCAGTAAGTGATGATCTGATGCTATATCAGCTCCTCTCTTGGTTCTCACGTCCTCTATAGTCCTCCTGAACGTTTTGTTGATGCAAATATGGTCGATTTGGTTTTGTGTAGAGTGATCCGGTGAAGTCCATGTGGTTTTGTGTATGCGTTTATGTGGGAATATGGTGCCGCCTATGACCAGCTTATTGAAGGCACATAGATTTGCAAATCTCTCACCATTTTCGTTCCTTTCTCCCAGTCCGTGTCGTCCCATGATGTCTTCATATCCAGTGTTGTCCGTTCCAACCTTGGCGTTGAAATCTCCCATCAGAATGGTCAGGTCCTTTGTTGGGCACTTCTCGACGATTGACTGCAGCCTATTGTAGAATTGATCTTTAGCGTCTTCATTGTAGTCGTTGGTAGGCGCATAGCATTGGATGATGTTCATTGAAATGCCCTCTTTCTTTGTTTTGAACGAGGCTTTGATGATCCTTGGTCCATGAGATTCCCATCCTATAAGTGCATTTTGCGCTTGTTTGGACAGCATCAATGCAACTCCTTGTGTATGTGGTGCATTTTCTTCTTCATGGCCGGAGTATAACAGGAGCTCTCCTGTAGTTAGTCGTTGTTGTCCAACTTGTGTCCAATGTGTTTCACTGATCCCAAGTACCTCTAGGTTGTATCTTCTCATTTCTGCAGCAATTTGGAAGGCTCTCCGGTGTCCCACATTGTACGAACATTCCATGTACCTAAATAAATGGTTGCTCTGGTTGTCAGAAGGGGCATCGGCCTCGTAACTTCCGAAGGAATTCGGCTTTCATCATGAGGCGTCATAATTCTTCTAAATGAAGACCTTCTGACTCCCAGGGCAGAGTTTAAAAGGTTTGAATAATTTTTTCTGGTTAGCGTTTTTTTAGCGAGTTAGTTTTCTACGGGATGGGGACGCTAACCCCATGCCCAACCCTCCTCCTTTATCCGGGCTTGGGACCGGCAGTAGCCCCCGGAGGGACTCCAGGCGGAGTTTCTCTATAAATACTTGCACATTTTTGATGATGGTTGTGGTAATTCTCAAAGTTTCGGCTCCGTACAGTTGAACTGTGTTGACGTTCGTATTGAAGATTCTAACTTTGATGTTAGTTGACAGTTGTTTTAAGTTCCGTATACTTTTCAACTGTGAGAATGCTATCCTTGCTTTGCCAGTCTTCGTCTTTACGTCTGCATCCGATCCTCCACGTTCATCGATGATGCTACCCAGACACGTGAATACTTCCAGAGTTTCTCCACCAAGTATGATTGGGTTTGTGTTCTCTGTGTTGCATTTTTCCGTGTGCATGTTAAGGCCCATCGATGCAGAGGAGTTTGTTACATTGGCTGTTTTCACCTGCATCTGTTGGTGTGTGTGGGATGGAAAGGCCAGGTCATTCGCGAAGTCCAAATCGTCTAGTTGATTCCTAGCTATCCATCGTATTCCATACTTCTCATCAAATGTGGAGGCCCTCATGATCCAGTCAACCACCAGGAGAAAAATTAAATGGGGAGAGTAGACGGCTTTTCTTGACATTGTCCTCACTTGGAATGTGTCTGTCATCTGTCCTCCATGTACCACTTTTTAGTGTAGCCCGTCATATGAATTCCGTATGTTGACGACTTTCTCAGGTACACTATAGTGTCGACGAAGATTTCATAATGTTCTCTATCCACAGTGTCAAATGCCTGATGTATGGTGACGAGTTCTATTCATTCGATTGTTTAACGGTCATCTATAGTTTCGTGATTTGGTCTGTGCACGACCGATCCCTACAGAATCCAGCCTGTCGATCTCGAAGTTGGCCTTCTACTGAATTTTTCATCTGCTTCAGCAACACTGTTGAAAACGTTTCCTGGTACCGATAGTAGTGTGATGCCTCTGTAGTTCTCACATAAGCTCAAATCTCCTTTCTTTGATATCTTGATGAGGTATCCTTCTTTCCAGCCTGTCAGTGGCACTTGTTCTTCGATTATTGTCGAGGTCATTGGTGAGTATTTCTAAAGCGTTTCATATTGAAGCAAAACGTTTATTCAGTACTTCCTTGTTTTTATTGGTACTCCATATGATATCAGTGTATTATGAATATTATCTGTCTTTGTTGAAATCTACTGCCAGAAATCAAGGTACAACAATATATAAATGTACAAATTTTATTTTTAGATTCTACCATTCTCGTAAATAAGTAATCCTCATTAGCTTTTCAATTGTTCATTATGTTATACTCTTCCCTATCAAATTTTGTCATATAAGGCTATCTATTTTAAATAACCTCTTAATATGTTCCTTATTTCTGTATAGATTTTTTCTTTCGTTTTTGTTTATCCATTGACATAGTTGGGTCACTGTTTTTCTTCCTTTTTTCTATTTCCCTTTTCCTTATTCTTTACATTTAGAGTTTTAGATCATTCTACTACCAAAGATAACCGTCATAATGAATTAATCTATATTGAATTTAAACAAGATGCATTACTAAACAAAAAAAGTAAATGAATAAACTTGCTTTGTTCTTTTTTATTTATAAAAAGTCACTTTATCTGTCATTAAAGTTGATGGCTTAGTAGCAGTTTTAGCTTTCAATCAATGAGTTGCTCATGTTACAGAATGTAGCTTCGTGTACTTTGGTTTTTAAATAGCCAGGTAGATTATCACACTAAATAGCACACATGTAAAATGTAACTCAAGGTCATCTTCCTGAGTCTATACCTAGTGATAAATAGCTTGGTTACTTTTTTAAATTTCTCTTAGAATTCAGTGTTGAATAATGATACTTTCATAAGTGTTACTTAAGGTGCATTTGTTTGAATCTATATTGAAGTGACAAATAAATACCTGTCGGAAATCATGACCAAAAACATTGAATATGGTTGACGTTATTGTGGGAATGAGTTCCATACAGATGCAATCCTAGACTGTCGAACATAGAGTCTTAGCTTGGCCAAAATCGGAACAAGTAAACCATTTTTTTTCTATAACCTTCATCTACTTCTAAAACATACATTAACAACTTTAGTATGCGTGAAAATTAATTTAGTCTATTAATCATGAAAAAAGAGCGACATGAATAACATATTGAACAGTAACTAGAAGATAGGAAAAATGAGCCAACAAAACTTGATATTGCTTATAACAAACAAGAAAGATTGTGATTAGTGAATAGGCAACGCATAGTCATACAAAGTCAAAATGAATCAAGGTGGTAGTCGTCGTTTAATGCTGTCGTTGGTATATTCGTTAGTCAATTACGCCTTACAGTTATTTTTAAAAGATACTTAATATTGTGAATGTCAGCTATATGAGATTTTCCCATATTCAGGTGAAGCAATAGGAACAAAATTTGCAGAATAACATGAACACATTCTTTAGCATTAGGAAAACCAACCTTACTGTATGTCAAACTACTGATCCGTATTCACATTTGATTGATCACTAAGTTATGATCAATGCCATTTATATCAGATTATTCTTAGTGTTGGTTGAATCCTATCGATCTAGTTGGTTACTAGTCTAAGTGATTCGACATCGCGTGCACTATGTTGAGATGTAAGAGGGTGGTTGAAACTAGTCTATTAGAAACTCCAGATCTAGTTTTTGTGCTGTTTGGTGCTCGTCCTCAAGGTATACTTGTAAAATGCAGTGAACTGATACTCCCTGGTGTTTTTGATCTTGTGTCATCCAGCTTCACATTCGGGACGTCACCATTGAGTTTGTTTCAGTTGCGACTGAACTGTATGTCCAATATACATTCACAATCGATCGAATCTCTTCAAGATTACACGTGTACCAAATAACACGAAACATAGGTCCAGAGTTTCCTGTCGGCTATGATCAACGATCAACTTACTACCATGCTACCACTAATATCGAAATTTACCTTAACTGATAATTTCTGATTGCACAAAATTGTTTTCGTAATGCTGTTTTTCTCTCTCACTCAGTTCAAATTAGTCTACGAAGCATCCACTTGTGTGCTTCAATGGATTATCTTATGTCTTTACTGGATTTTCAAATGAAAAGTACACCAACACTGAAAAGTGAATCAAATAACTTAACATCTCTTTCGGATAAATCCAAACAGAAACGGTTAAACAATTCTTCAATTACAAAACTGGTAGGTATAATAATTTCTTAATATTTTGAAGTTAATTTTCTTTTTTAACTGAGTCATTTTTACTAAAAAAAGAAACGTCAACTTAAATCATACTTAAGTTCTGGTTTGGTATTTAGAGGTGAGGTTCTTTGTTCCCTTTTGTATTTACGAAGAAATTCCTGATGATGATTGATTAACCATTAAGCACTTATGAATGTCATGTTTATTTATTCCTTAGTTGTGATCGATTTCTGTCGATTCAATGCAATATAGCCACTAGTCTACACGAGACTTAACACTAAATAATTTAACTGTTGGATTTTCAAAGTTGATCAACGAGCAGCCTTCCTCGTGGAACACCTAGTCATACGAACTTTTATTATTTGTACCTTCATAACTTTAATTGAATATTATGTCAATACTAGAAAGAATTTATTCTCATATGAACGACTAGTGGCTTAGTGGTTAGTGCATTCGGCTTCCAGACACTAAATTTCAGGCACGAGCCGCGCTCCGCCTGCTTTTGTATGACCAACCGCGTAGTGCCGTCACCTCACACGCTTAAAATATAACTCATATTCAAGCGCGCGAAGAATGAGCTGATTTAAACTTGAACATTTAATTCTATAATAAATGATTACAATTTTGTTCTTTACATGTATACATTATTTTAGATGCCAAGAAAACGGAATTATTACCAACAGCATATCCTTTTAATCTGGAGTTAAAAATTCAAATAGATAATCCTGAATTAGTTCTTGTTGAAGATATTTATAATGTTGATAGTAATGCAATTAAACTTACTGTAAGTAGATAATTTAATCTCATTATGAATCTTCTATTGTCATTCATTTTAAATATATTACTTTAAATGATCTCTATCTTTCATCTAGATACTAGTACACTGGAAATTTTAAGTTGACGATAAGCGTTTTTCTACTCAACTCTATAACTAGTTGTATTATGATGTTTAAAGTTTCATTTTGATACTGATACACAATCGTTTTATTCACATTCTCAACCGGTTACTCGAATGATCTGAAGACTAAGAGTAAGAATGAAGTTTATTATGACTAGACCGAATAGGAACTATATATATATATATATATATATATAAAGATTATTGAGCAATCAGTGATGTATACCCCAGTTGCTTCAGATACTATTCATTTCTTTACACTTATCATTCGACTGACTTCTGAATGAATCAATCAGTGTTTCATCATTACCTCTTGAAAATCGATAGGTCTGTTATCTCAAATTCAACTGTAAGAATTTATATGCATGATATCAAGTTCAATTCATTCTTCATGGGTTTTTTTTAACAAATGGAATTCTTTTACCTTCTGTTTCCCAATTTTTTATGTATGAGTTAAAGAGAAAATTCCTTGACATTATTTTCTAATTACTGGTTTTATTCTTTTACAGCTAACTCGTCCATGTACATGTATGGTCTAAATAAAACTACTGAACTGTAATTTTAGTCTGCATAAAATAAATAAAAAGAGTTCGAATACATACACAGGCTGAAACTTGTCCTTTGATATTCCGATTATTCATTATAACACACTTTATTGTGCGCATAATTGTACCATTATAGTTGTGTTGTTCAGTTCAATCCCCATTTTTTTTATATCATATCAGTTCACTCAGTCATATCAATTGTTTTTTAAGCTAGGTTTTAATGTAGCTAGTAATGTTCAACGTTCAATCATGAGTTTATGTAACTAGATTTTCTTTCCATAAATATTCTACTTATTATTTTTAATTTACCAACTAATTGATACTAATCATCTTTCTAACACTATAATACACTGACTTTTTTTTACTGTAAACATTTAGACTGAATTAAGTTTTGATTACAACATGCAACAGGATATGGTTGTTATAAATGCTTTAATCAACGGTTTGTCTGTTGCTGCCTGCCCTTACAATGAAACAGTTGGCGGGCCATTTTCTAAGGAGGTATGTTTCTTCTTGTGAATTTTACATCTTCTTGAGTTTCTCTCTGTTTGAAACTGGTTTCGCTTCTAATAATAATAACTTAATATTCTAATCATATTTTTTAATGGTATAATAATATTTTTTCATCAAAGTGTACGTGTTAATCAGCTAGTCAGTCAAACGCAAAATAGGAACTGGCACATGTGTATATCCGTTCAAATTGTCATACCCCATCAGCAGAGTGAGATGAAATTTTCAGGGAAAATTGCAAGGTAGTTGGGATGGTAACAGTATTAATTGTAATAGAAAAGATTAGACATTGAAGATATGATTCGGGGAAATATAAATTAGTGAATCAATAAACAAACTATAAAGATGGTTGGGCCACGTGTTACGTATGCCCGAACACCGATTACCACAACGTGCAATGCTAACCGGTGTTGGAGATGGTTGGAAGAAAGTTAGGGGCGGCCAAACCAAAACGTGGCATCAGTGCTTGAAGTCACTAACTTCTAGTCTGAGCCATGTTGGTAGATGCAAATTACTTGGTTGGGGTCCGCGTGACAATCGTAACCACTGGTTGAAGACTCTGGGTGACATGGCTCAGAATCGATCACAACGGCGTAGGTGTATACACTCCCTGTCTTCCCTTAAACTAAGAGATTAAAATCGCTTCATATCTTTCTTCCTACAAACTAATTCTTTCTTCCTGTACTATATCCTTATTGCAATCTTTCTTTCATATATTACCACCTCTGAATTAACTACTTTTATGAATCCGGTGTCCATCTTGTTGTGTTAATGAGGTATGGCAACTTGGACCGATGTATATATGTGCCTGGTCCTACGTTGTAGCTGACTGACTGACTGAAGAAACTCAGGATCTAAAGGAAGAAAAAAAGTAAATACACCTAGGCTATTGCTAAGAATCTGTGACCATTGATGACGATTATCATGCGGACCTGAACCTAGTGGTCTTAACCTGCCTACATGATTCAATCCAGCAGTCAGTATCTTCATGGACTGATGTCACATATTGGTTTGACCGCCCTTAGTTTGCGTTTAACCTACTTGTACTCCAGCAATCATTGTCCGTCTAGGTAGTTGGTGAATAGACATAAGTAATACATATCCTAAGCATCTCAGCTGAAAAAGGCTCACTTTTTTATTAATCGATTTGCCATACTTACCTAGTACTTTTCATATAACCTCAAAATTATTAACTCGATGATACCAAAGTATACGAGCGGTACTTCGAAGACACTCATGATGGAATAGTAGTAACCTAATAGTATCCACGTCTTTTTATATACTATGGATGCATTTGCTATTCAAATTATTGACTTTAGGGATTTTTAAAGTAAAGAGATACGGTTAGTACTAATAATATGACAAGATTATACGTCCATAATTATACATAGACAAATATTTATCCAACTTCATGAAATCAACAATTTGTACGAATCATGGAAATTTTAAAATGTACTGTTTGGTTAAATTCAAGTACATTTCAAAACAGTGGAACGAGTTTAACATTCCGATTATAAGTCCCAAGTATTCAGTGTCGATATTCAACAGAAGTCCGTCTTACATTAATTCGTGAATCTGTAGGTCAGCGGTCAAGGTGTTCAACTATTAAGTTCCAGGTTCGAACTGCACTCTACCTGCTTCGGTTCGGGTAACCGGGTCGCAATATCTCTACTCCCTACACTCTTGGAGTATGGTTTGAAGCCAAGTTTACTAAACCTTATCTGGTTACATGAGTTCACATGAAATTACCTATCCAAATTCTCATCACGAGAGGTATTTATCTATCTATGTATTAATCTAACAGAATCAAACCTAATATACTGAATTGTCCGATTCCAATGTTTACTTTGAGCTCAAATGTACTAAAACAAAACGTTTTTGTTGAAGATTACCAAAGAGTTTCTAATGACTGTTCTTTTCTTGTGGGGTGGGGTGCTGGCGATAATCCATTTATTTAGATTTTATCGCCTTGTGTTTTGAGTTTTTATGCATCTCAACCAATTAATGGTAGTTTACATGGAACATTACATATGGATACTTTAACGATCAATATTAATCCAAACACAATCAGATTATTATCAGCAATTTCTTCATCTGTTCAATCATCTCTAACCACTGACAAAAATCCAGATATTTGTGAAACTGTTTCAAAGGTTGAATCTATGAAAGGCGTCAGTTTAGATCATTCGGATGAAAAATCACTTACTGAGTTTTGGAAACCGATTCAGCTGAACGAATTAAATATGCCCTATTTAGGATTGACATCAGGTAAATTATTATTCTACAGTTTTATTACTATTGTGATTGTAATCGTTAACATAGAATATTTGAATCCTTAAGTTCTAATCCTTTGTATATATTAAATGAACAAAAATTGCTTACCATTTAGACTGGTAAATATTTTGCTGGTCTCAAGATAAACTAATCATTATCATGGTTTGGAAGTTTTGTTTCTCTTTGAAATCTCTGAATCTATTGTAATACATCATCTGTTCAACCAACTTCAAAAATTGGTTATTGGACAGAGATATTGATTTACTTAATCTTAATATACAGTAATTTCATTTATGTACTGTTCTATTTTTGAATGTTGAAATCTTTTACACCCCAGTTCACTAAAAAAAGTGAAGTTTTCACTTCAAATATTTATCGTTTTTATTAATTCCTGTGTATCGTTCTTTTTAAATTTTGTAATTCGAATTCCAGATGCAAACGACAAAATTGAATGTGTTGAACATGCTTGTGATGTTGCGAAAGTTGTCGGAGAAATGGAGAACCGCCGCATAGATATCGTTAGTTTATTATTATTATTCATGGCACTACTTATGTATTATGTACTTCATTGTAAAATAATCAACACTTGTAATCTTAGTTTTGTATTGTTCATATACGTCAATGTTATTTGTAAACTATTGCTTCCCATTTCAGTTGTCTAAAGGTATCGCCCTTTGAAACCTGAATGATTTGATTTTGATTCCTAATAATTTACTTGGTGTGGACTATTAAGGAATCACATATTAGTATGAAATGAGCTTTCAAATGTTTCTTTAGTTTTTATTTATTGTCTATTTAAAATGACTTCAGGACGTAAATTTTATTCAAACTGAAAAAAATTTCTACCTTAAATGAAAGTAAATTACAATTTTGCGTAAAAAATATGAGAACCTTCAGTCGCTTGGTTTTTACAACTTAAGATTTTTAGAAAATATTTGGTTCACTATGATCATAATGTTTCATAGGATTTTTCTTCTGAAATTATCTACAAAGTTAGATCAGACGTTCTATGGAAGGTAGGATCTGTTGATCAATACGTTTACTGAAGTATTTTTGTACCGATTTCGCACCTTTCCCTAGAAAGCATTTCTACATGAATGAGTGTATTCAGCTCCTCAAATTACATGTGGTCACTCTCCCTATACCATTAATTTAGTTACTGATTACTGGCATAAATATTTGCTATAATATCGTACATAATTATGTTAACTTCGAGAACAATGTTAACGAAAAAACGGCCTCAAATCAATGATGTCTTTTCAAGAAGTGTGGGTAATGTGTGGTGGCCCGTGATCTGACTCCATTTTGAGTGTACGAGTGTTTGCTACCGCCTATTCTCGTATATCATCGTCGACTTAGATCGCGTTATCCAATAACGGAATTAAATAAGTTGAATAACGAGAATTGATTTGAGAATACATATATTTCGTACACGAAGTGAATGAAACACAGCAAAGCAAAAATGACACGTATGGAAGATGGCTGGGAAGCCAACTCCATTTTAGTCAAGCGTTACTCAATATTTATAGTCAGACAAAATAAAGATACAGACATGTGATTAGTGGAATAAGAAGGGCACACATATATAAGCTCATATAAAAACAGTCAAGACTGACAAGCGAATAATTGACAAGGTCAAAACATGACTCAAGTAGAACGAATAGAATGGAATGTCCGGAAACTAAAATAAGATATATTATGGGCTAAAACTAATGACTAACACTACAAATGTATCTTTCAATCACTGTTCACATCATTCGGTACACTAATCTATTACTTCTCACTCTATATATTTTCTCTAAATATGCGTCACATATAGTAACCATTGCCATTCAGTTGACATATCAACCAATATCTTGTGTTCTTTACCTAACCATGTCAAATAGGTTTAAATCGTACATTTCAAAAGTCTAGTCACGTTTGTCGTCATTTCCTTGAGATATTTTTTGTCTCTTACTAAGTGAAAGAGATTTTTTGAAACAAACAAAATAACTACCTGATTTAGTCACATTTTGTCTCAATTTCTAATGCTTTTGGAATTATGTTGATATTCTTGACTGGAATTCGATCTCAGTCTTTGTTAGAATATATATGGATCTTGTGTGGTTAACCTCAATATAGCCATAATGTAGCAGATCTTTACAGAATAGATTGACTATGACTTACAGCCTAATGCAAGATTCACGTTTCGTCTAGCTGTCGAGTCTCTAATAGGGCGAAACGTGCGCTAAACGAGTTTTCAGAATCCGTGCAGACCAACCCATTAGGGTTGATCAGACTTCCAAGATAAGTGATGTTGTCGACGCCTCCGACTAATTCACTTCCTATCATTAGTCCAGGTGTTGACACAGGCCATCCCTGAAACAACAACTTGCATTTAGAGCGGAGGGGAAACGCGTATTCAGCCACTATCAAGGAAGTTCTACTCGCCCCGGCTGTTTTTTTACGTAATTTTGAGGACGAAAAGCGAATATCCGGCGCAAAAAACCAGGTTAGTGGGTCCACCTAGGGGACTTAAAAAACCCTGATTCCAAACCAGTAGTGTTCATAAGCTCCAGGATCCTAAGGGAACAAATGGCGTAGGAACCTATTGTCTTACACCGATTACCGTGGGACAGCATCGCTTAGCGTTGCTACACTGATTTATGGATTAAACCTCTAGGTCAAAGGTCAGTTTCGGCTTGGACGTCCTGGCAGTGTCTCAGCTTTTATACGAATCGAATGACGAAGTGTGGCGCAAATATATATAATACCTCCTTATATAGTACATCCTCCACTGTGTTGAATTGTTTCCTTTCGTTATCTGTTGTATATAATGTTATTATGTATGTCGTTTAAATCAAGTTCATTCGTTTTAAAATTAAACTATCCATGTTTTTATTCAACTCAATCCAATTTTTTTCTACCTCTTTCATTTGAACTTTTAAATCTGTATTTTAATGATTGTTTATCGTCCTAAATTCAAATTTTTTTGACGATCTATTGTTTGGAATGTTTGTTCGGGTTTCATTTTAAGGTTTTGTGACTTCAATTGACATATAATTCCCGTTTAAACATTAAAAACACGAAGTTCAGTGAAGAGATCTCATTTCAGTTGGGTTTCTTTTCATGTCATTGAATAGTTGATTCCAAGTCAACTAAACTAGCTATTAATCAGTTGTGGTGAAATTCTTATAGCTTACTTCTTTGCAAAATATCTACTGATAAAGTTGTTTTAAAAGATAAACTAGGTTTTATAATCAAATCATTCAGTTCAGAGAGCATAAAATGATTCGAAAACTATGTAATATTACTATGTTCTAGCAGACCTCGAAAGCTATTTCATCTATTCTTCAGTTACGTTCACATTGATAAGCAGATACACAATTATAGATAATCGAAAATCAGAAAGTTTCAATCTTGTCCCAAAATTGATTTCTGCTTAATGATTTATATTAATCATATATGAATGATGTATTAATCTATTACAATATCACTTATTTGTCTATTTACTATCATTCCTTTTTAAATATAATCAGTAACATATGATACATTTTTATAATAATTTAGCTTTTATTGTGTAAATGTTTTCTTATATTATTCTAACATACGATAATCTATTATTATTTTTGAACACATAAATATTGGTACAAGAGGGCACCAAATATATGTGCGCCACGCCATATTTGTGCGTGTGTGGGGTGTGATACTGCCCGCGTGCCCAGACTGAAGCAGGTAGTTTTCTTAGGGGGTCACACCCCGAGCCTTTGACCTAAAGGTCTGATCCACAAGACAGTGGAGCATCGTAAGGAGATGCAGTCCCATGGAAGCCGGTGATCACCGATTGGTTCATACGCCATTTGTTCCCGCAGGATACTGGAGCCCATGTGCACTATTGGTTTGGAATCATCGCCTTCCAACTCCCCTAGGAGGACCCTCCGTACCTACCACCAACCCAGTTAAAGTACCGGACATTCACTTTTCGTCCTCTCAATTTCGCAAACAACTTTAGTGCAGCGAGATGGCAGTGAGTAGAACTTCCCTGGCAGGTTCTATTTACGCGTGGCAATGTGAGAGCATTTCGAGAGAGTAGTATGTAAATAAATGAGTATTTATGCATTTTATTCGGTATTCCAACTTACTGTCTCGTTCAATTAGTTGGTTGGTGGTGGTGGGTAATTTGTAACACATTGTGTATCAATATCAAATTTCGGACACCACCACTCCATCACAACAGATTCTCTCATTATTGTTATTCATTAGTAATTTTCAATGTAATTAGATATTATCTAACTGTATAATCTTATATCAATCTGTTTATGATTCATATATACACATCAATAAGGAATAATCAACCTTTAGTCTTTAACATCGACATGGGAAAATTTCTCAAGTGATTCACTTTTTATCAATATGATTTTACTGATACAACTCTTGAAGGTTGTTTCTTATTTTTATATGTTTTGTATATTGCTTATTTTTTTTCTTCAGATAAATATTCGATTAAAAACTATTCGAATTATACTGGAATCTCAATTAGATACAAAATCTATGCCTATGCTTGTTCTTGACTCCACTTTAGATGCAGTTCTAACTAAACCAGTTACAAATGTATGTTTTATAATTTTTGTACGTATATATATATATATATATATATATATATATATATATATATATATATACATGGTGTTATTTAACTTTTTTAATAGTTTATTTTAGTGTTTCAAAGAAAAAGGATTAATTAGTATAATGATCATGGAAGTTGACAGATAGTTCCCATTTAAACTTTAAAATTAAAACACGAATTTCAGCTTGATAATAAATTCGTTGTAAAGAGACCCCTTCGCTGAAAGATCATGGAAGTAACAAATTTTATTATATGTTGTCTGGTAGATATTCTGTTACTTCAATAGACGAAATAGAAGCATCTTTAAACAGATACCAAGGCCTACAATAGAACACATTATATACACTACATAATTTCTAAGTATGCTTCAATAGCGTACTTCTATTCATTTCAGTGATCTATATCGATGATGATGTAGAAAATATCATTTCATTTGATGAATGCCACCCTCCTTTCAGCCTGACTAGTAGAAAAAAAACGGTGCTTTACGCATAAAATAAAACATTAATCTACACTTTTTTCATATTTGTTTGAATGTTCGTACTCAGATAGCGTAGTTAAATCTATGTGATTGCTGAAGCAAAGAACTTCAGCCCATCACAATTCAAGTGGCTTGTAATTTTAATGATAATAATAATATACGGTTTTTGTAAGTGCAAAAATATGCTGTTGTTTTGCTGTGGTTTGTATATTGAGGTGTCTTTCTCACTAATCATAGAATACCTTGAACTTCATTTAACTAATTGTTGATGCAATCTTTCTCCTATATATTACCACCTTTGATCTAACCACTCCTATGAATCCGGTGTTCATCTTGCTGTGCTAATGCGGTATGGCAACTTGGACCGATGTATATATGTGCCTGGTCCTACGTTGTAGCTGACTGACTGAACTAATTGTCGAGGATGTTAAACCCTCAGAACTCGCTTGGCGAATGTCTTATTTTTGTAATTTTATTCTGGAAATTTGAGTTTGTTGTATTCGCGCCAAAAGCACCCATTTTTACCTTTTGATTGTATTTCCCACTTGGAATGACCATTAATGTCATTGCTTCGTTGTCTCTCTTAATAGGCTACTTTATGATGTCTCCCAAGGACATTTTCATGCTGTATGTATACGCTTGAGTTGTACCTGTTGTTCGTGCTTTGGGCTACTTTTGGAATACACTTCCCCTCTTCGGAGCCTGGACTTCTCCATCTAGTTAGTGGGCTGGGACACATCGAATAGTTAGCTTGTTTTGTCATTGTGTCGCTGAGTCTTTATTCTGTTCACCGGTTTAGGTGATCTCGTAATCTCTCAAACATAGCACTAATGTAATGGTTAAATCTAAATACATCAAAGAAAAACCTTTCGTGCCATACCTATTATATCAAGTGACATTATTTGATTTTTATTTGACAGTTGGTAACGAGATAACAGTTCATAATATTGACTTCGAAAGTATTTTTTACGCAGTTTATGTATTTTACTCATTTACCCTGCGCAATGTAACACATTTCATCTGCACACTTCAGAGGTATTCAAATATTTCATGTGACTGACTTACTGCATGTCGATAGTTAACCATACTAGCAATTTGTCTGCACTATAATAGTATAATATTTATCAACAAGTTATTCACCAGATACTTGGGTATGAGCCACGTCCTGAGTTTGTAGGGTGATGGTTTTACCAGGTTTTTGAAACGGAACTAGGTGGAGTGGCTTTCGAATGTGAAACTTAGTGGTTTAATGTCGGATACCTTAATTGCTAAGCCATACAAATGTTGATGGAGTTTGAACGAAAAATAGCAATCGATTGCTGAAACAAAAGTTCATTATTCTGACTTTTAAAATGTTTTTTTTTAAATGTTAAATAAGGTATATTCAGAAGAATCTTAATCACTATTGTTTCTGTATAGTTTGTGCTCTTAATTGATTAACAAAGTTGCAGGTATGAAAAAAGCTAAATATGGACAACGCAAGATATAGGCTTCATACGTAAAAGTATTGACAGTTGCTATGAGGTGTATCAGAAAGTCCCGACTTCCCATGCAATACTCCATAACCAGTGGTTACGGACCTCGAATTAGATGGTGTTATAGTTGCAATTATTACTTGAATACCTCTAAATCTTGAATCAAGTTCCATTCTCACCTTTCTATTCTTTGATCTCATTCATTCCTTTCCATTTGTATTTTATGCAGTTAGATTTTGCACTCGTGTTGATATTCTATCTCGTTGGCAACTTCTCACATTGTTGATCTCCATTCACTGTGTTAATATGAGTTGTGATAAATTAGACCAGCAGACACTTGTATCAGGATATATGTTGATAATGAATAATATACTTCTGTTCTCACCTCTTTTATTTTCAGCTTGAACTAAAGTTTTTAATAGAATTATCCCTATCATATTACAATGATTCACTTAATCAATGGGAACCATTGATTGAAACTTTACCAGAAGAAGGTGATCGTATGTGGTCTCTTCAATTGGAAATAGTCAGTATTGATAATAAGGCCGAATGTTTAACCGATGGTGACTGGGAGAATGTTGGTTGTCTGCAAGAATCAAGGAATACAATGTTAATTCTGTCCAGAGATAATTTAGAAATCACTATATCTAAAACTGCATTAAATATGTTAAGTAATTTGGGTCGTGTAAGTAATATTAATTATTATTTTTTTGTATGGATTGTTAATAACATTGTAATGAAACTAATTTTGATTGGTTTCAGTGGTGTTCTTTGCATATTGTACTATTACGATGATAATTTCTTCAGCCGCATTAAAAGGTATATATGTATGAGAGTTTCAAAAATTTAGTTCGGCATAACATAATCGATCAGTGGTTCAAATAGGTCATTGGTTTAAATTCTGTCTGGTCAGCCCTAATGGGATTCGAAAAGTTCGTTTGGCTTTTGCCAACTTACGTCACCTATGGCAAAGGCGAGATATCCGTCTATCAATAAAAGGACGAGTATACTGCTCGGCAGTCCGTTCTGTTTTACTTTACGGCTGCGAAATGTGGCCATTATGAATTGGAGATACTCGTAAACTACTAGTATTTGACCACAGATGCCTTAGAAATATTGTTGGCATCTGCTGGGATCACCAGGTGTGTAATAGTGAGGTTAGGCGCAGGGTATTAGAGGATGATGGTAAATCGGTTGATGAGGTTGTGAATCTTCATCGACTGAGATGGTTGGGCCACGTGTTACGTATGCCTGAACACCGATTACCACCACGTGCAATGCTAACCGGTGTTGGAGATGGTTGGAAAAAGTTAGGGGCGGCCAAACCAAAACATGGCATCAGTGTTTGAAATCACTGACTTCTAGTCTTCTAACCATGTTAATAGATGCAAATTACTTGGTTGGGGTCCGCGTGACTATCGAAACCAATGGTTGGAGACTGTGGGTGACATGGTTCAAAATCGATCACAGTGGCGTTGGTGTGTCTATTCTTTAATTTACCTTAAACTGTGAGATTAAAATTGCTTTCTACCTTTCTTTCTACCAACTAATTCTTCCTTCCTGTATTATATCCTTATACATAATCTTTCTTCTACGAACCTCCTGTGGAACGGAGTTATATTTAAAATTGGTTAATCACTAAGTAGTCATCAACATTCATTTATGTCAAGTCCTTGATTATGGTCGAACTCTAACGACTAACTTCAATCACTTAACATCATATACACAATGTTGAGTCACTTAGACTTTAGTCACCTTGGAACTTGATTGATAGGATTCGATTATTTCAGTTTTTCAGTATCTAACGCCAAAAGAATAATCAGTAAAATGGAATGTAAAATTTGTATATGAAACACTAATGTATAAAATTAAGATGAGTATTGTTCGTTTACTTATGGTTAGGCCAAAACCGCTTCTATCGACATTGATATTAACACATAAGTCTTATTTTAAAGAGAGCGAGAACAAGGATTGATGCAGAATAATATGAATTGGTTTTACTTCGTTAGGTTCTCATCAGCTGCTTACAATCTGTAATATTTTAAAATCAACGTTATTACAGATATTGGCATACTTATACATACGAGGTTGATTAAATATGGATATGTGTATCATCATGTAACGAAGACTCCATGAGAGTTAATAAGGTCATAAAAGGGAAAGTTCCAGAACATTGAATTAGTGATTAGAACTCATAGAATTAACAAATATTATGTAATGAAGCAACAGAAAACAGACCAATAGTAATAAAGAATGAATTGAAATCAGTTAGTTATGAATTGACGAAAAATGACAATCATGTAATTACATTTCAGAAAGAGTTGAAATAATGAATGGGGTAATAAATACAAAGGAGTATTAATGTTATCAGGTCAAAGAAAGATTTATTACTGTCTCTTTTTGGATACATAGATCTGGTTTTAGACGTTTGATCGCTATAGCTTTGGCAAATTTCAAAAGATTTGAGTTTGATTATTTGTTAATCATTTTAAAACCACTCCATTCTTTTATGCAAAATCAAACAGGTCATTTGTAAACTGCGAAATCCATACCTTAAGTATTTTCATATTTTCTCTGAATCCATCATCCTTCCAATCTTGTTGTTATTTCGATTTCTCTCTGTTTTCCTTCCCCTTCTCTTAATTTCAATCTTCTGCTGGTAAGCATTCCAATTCTTATTACATACTACTTATTTCTGTCCACACCACATGCAACTGAGTTTGAACTTATGAACTACTGGTTTAAAAAAGCTGTATATTCAGACAAACAAACCACACTTTTAAGTTGACGTGTTTTTCTAATAAGACTGCAATAAATGTAGCATTTAAAGTCCTCACAACTTACTTTGAGATATTTATTTTCACTGATGGATTTTATTTAGCTATCTAAAGAAATGGACTAAACATGAAAATTCTCTATAATAATAACAGCTATATATAGTTGACTAGAATTCATTAAATCCCCCTAACATTTTACGCCTGGATCTGATCCTCCTTGTTCATCGGAGGATCAGATGCAGACGTAAAGTCGAGGATAACAAATCAAGGGCCGCATTTCTAAAACTCAAGAACATGTGGGACTCAAAACAACTATCAACCAATATCAATGTCAGAATTTTCAATGCGGACGTCAAGACAGTCCTACTGTATGGAGCTGAAACTTGGAGGACTACTACAACCATCATCAAGAATGTACAAGTATTTATAAACAATTGTCTACGCAATATACTCAACATCCATTGACCGGATATCATCAGCAACAGCCTTCTGTGGGAAAGAACAAACCAACTTCCAGCTGAAGAGGAAATTAGGGAAAGACTATGGAAATGAATAGGATATACATAGCATGGAATTATTCTGATTTATACTAGTCACATTTTACTCCATAGTTAAACAATCACTTATTACTTTTTATACTGGCATTAATTTTATTTCTTATATTTACTTTTAGTCATTTGAAGCAGCCTATAAGTTGAAAAATATCAAGTCGAAATACGATGATTCTACCAATCAAGTTATAGCACCCTATCGAATTGTGAATAATACCGGTTGTCAGCTAGTGTTACGATATAATTCTCAAGCTCTATCGTTGACTCACTTCAACAATGGTAATACAATGACTACAGGTGAATCTCTTCATCAAACATCATCGGGATCTAACAAAGCAGTTGTTTCAAATACTGAACATGACATAGTAACATATCAAAATTCGATCTTACTTAATTCACAACAAGAAATTGGATTTACTGAGTTGTCTAAAACTGACAAAGTAATTTTACTTTTATTGTGAAAATTTATTGTGTTTTGGCTCATGTGATCTGGTCGTAAATTTAGAAAATAGTTGTATTCTCTCTTTAGTCAGATTGTCGATTTATCCGTCTAAATTTCCTTTACGGAATTAATGACATCAAGACCTTTTTTGATCAACAATATGGATTTGTCTATAGTTTCTAGGCCCTAGAATGTTTAAAAAAAACATATAGCATTCACAGTCCACATATTCAATGCTTGTGGGTGACGGAAAAACAAATGAGTCGTCGACAGCCAATCTTTCGCCACAAAATTGAGTATTTCCCTTAATGCTTTTGGGTCTTTTTTGATGTTTTTTGTAAGAAAATCTGTTGCTTATTTAGTGTAATGTAAATATCAGTGATGATCAATTATAAACCTTGTCTTCTGGATACTAAACGTTTACCAACATTTTTCATAGTATACTACTATATATGTGATACAAATTAATTTTTTTATTGTTCGGATAACGGACTGATCCCAATGTTGAAAATGAGGAAGCACTGGACTGCTGTTTCCCCTATTGTGGTATAGGGGACTATTGGTATATGACTCACTAGCAGTGCGCATTTACGACCCTGTCATACAGAATCGAACTTAAGACCATCGGTCTCCTGTGCGAACACTTAACTCTTAGACCAAGGACCTGGAATTCAATGATATACATGTTTTACGTTTCTTTTTGCCTTCTTTTTTTAGAATCAGTCCATTGTTTCTTCATATAAGGATTCACGTCACCATATTTGGATTTCTTTATCAGATACAAGTCATAAACCTGGTAGTTTCATATCAAATTCGGAAGTTGTTTTTCAATTATATCGAGGTGATAGCGAATTGCTTTGTTTATCAAAAGATCCCAGCAATGAAAAACCTACGAGTTCAGATCGTAGAAGTACCATTTATCCTATCATTGCTGATGTTGAAGCATGTCTGGGAGTGAAATCGATAACCTTTCGTTCAACTGTTCAGGTAAGTATATGGTAAACCACCTTTTCTATTCGATAGTCAACCAGAATATTTATTTATTTTAATGACCACGCTAGGTCCACTTTCCAAACCCAAACTTGTGTATCAGTCAATCTAACTGCTAAAGCTGAGCTACTATCTTTAAGAACCTCCATTGGAATACACCAGGTACCTCTGCTCTCCCCTGTTTAGATTATCTGTAGTTCTTCAACCTCATTAGGAGTAAGACGGCTTAGGTTAATATTCCGTTCACGTTGTTCGGTAACAGTAAGAACCTGCTAGTTAGATGAAAGCCTGTCAAACTGTTACTTATGCAAATTGTTTGGGCTGAGAATGAATCATAGTCTCACCAAAACCTGAGTTTTTGATAGTACTATGCTGTTATTGTGCTGATGATGTCATTCAGAATAACGATGAAAGCTTCACAACCAAACCACCCAGAGAGGGATTTTGCTTTTTCCCTTGTGTATATTGAGGCCTACTGATCCAGAGACTGCTGCTACACTGTTTGTTCTGACCTGCATTTTTGATGTACATGGGATAGCGTGGCCAGATCAGCTGCGAAGTCCAAGTTATCTGATTAGTTCCGAGCTGTCCATTGTATTCCGTGCTTCCTCTCAGATGTAGAGGTCTTCATAATCCAGTCAACCACTAGAAGAAAGAGAAAGGGTGAGAGTAAGCAACCTTTTCTTACACCAGTCTTCACTTGGAACGCGTCTATCAGCTGTCTTCCATGTACCACTTTGTAGTGTAGTCCGTCATATGAATTCCGTATGATGTTGATGATTTTCTCAGGTTCTCTATAGTGTCGTAGAAGTTTCCATAATGTCCTATCCACGCTGTCAAACGCCTTCTCATAGTGAAGTACTTTGATGCATAGTGCCGAGTTCTATTCATTTGATTGTTTAACGATTATCCGTGGTGTCGCGATTTGATCTATGCACGACCGATCCTTACGAAATCCGGTCCCATAATTTCTTCATAGCCCGTGTTGTCCATTCTGATTTTGGCGTTTAATTCTCCCATCAAATTGTTCAGGTCGTGTCCTGGGCACTTCTCTACGATCAACCTCAATCTCTCATAAAATTGGTCTCTGTCCTCTCCATCACTATCATTGGTGGGTGCATAACATTGGATAACATTCATTGCGATTCCCTCCTTCTTTGTTTTGAAGGATGCTTTGTTGATGCTGGGTCCATAAGATTCCCATCCTATAAATTCTTTTCGTGCTTCTTTGGAAAGCATCAGAGCAACTCCCTGAGTATGTGAAGCATTTACTCCATGACCAGAGTACAACAGCCTCTGTATCGAATCTTATATTCTCTGTCCAGATTTAGTTCATTGCGTTTCACTTATTCCAGCACCACCAAGTTTATCTCCTCATTTCCGTTGCCATTTGACTAGTCCTCCCGGTCTCTCACATTGTTCGAGCATTTCATCGACCAATTTTAATTGTTGCTCTGGTTGTTAGAAGGGACATTGGTCTTGTGACTTCCGGAGAATTTCAGGTTTCACCATAAGGCACTTTAATTTTTTAAAAATAAAGATCCTTCAACTTGCAGGGCAGAGTTTAAATGGTTTCATTTGTTTATTCTGGTTAAAGCTTTTTTAGCAAGGTTGCTTTCTACGGGATGGGGTTGCTGACCCCATACTCAACTCTCCTCCTTTACCCAGTCTTGGAACCGACAGTCTGCATCAACTAAGGGACATCGACTATAATCCTTACTTACTTACGCCTGTTACTCACAATGGAGCATAAGCCGCCGACCAGCATTCTCCAACCCTCTCTGTACTGGGTCTTCCTTTCCAGTTCCGTCCAATTTTTGCTCATTTTTCTCATGTCTGCCTCCATTTCCCAGCGGAATGTGGTCTTTGGTCTTCCTCTCCTCCTTTGGCCTTGAGGATTCCATCTGAGGGCTTGGCTTGAGACGCAGTTGGCTACTTTCCTCGGTGTGTGTCCTATCCTCCTTCAGAGCTTCTCCGATGGAATGTGGTTTGTTCTTTCCCACAGTAGGTTGTTGCTGATAGTGTCGTCTGGTCAACAAGTCCGAAATATTTTGTGTAGACAGCTGTTAACAAACACTTGTATCTTCTTGATGATGGCTTTCGTAGTTCTCCAGGTTTCCGCGCCATGCAGTAGAACTGTCTTGACATTTGTATTGAAAATCCTGACCTTAGTGTTGGTTGACAGTTTTTTTGAGTTCCAAATGTTCTTCAGTTGTAAATATACTGCTCTTGCTTTACTGATCCGCGCTTTCACATCTGCATGAGATCCACCATGTTCATCAATGATGCTGCCCAAATATGTAAAGGTTTTTACATCTTCCATATCTTCTCCGTCAGTTGTGATTGGATTGGTGCATGTTGTGTTGTATCGGAGAATCTTGCTATTCCTTTTGTGTATATCGAGACCTACTGCTGCTGAGGCTGGTACTACACTGGTATTCTTCTCCTGCACTTGTTGTTGTGATTGCGTTAGGAGGGCCAGATCATCTGCGAAGTCTAAATCGTCCAACTGCATCCTAGATGTCCACTGTATCCCGTGTTTCCTTCAGATGTTGATGTCTTCATGATCCAGTCGATCACCAAGAGAAAGAGAAAGGGTGAGAGTAAGCAACCTTGCCTGACACCGGTCTTTTTCTCGAACGAGTGCTTCTTCGTAGTCAACGAAGTTGATGTAGAGTGATGAATTCCATTCAGTTGATTGTTTCACAATGATCCGTAGAGTTGCGATTTGGTCTGTACACGATCTATCCTTACGGAATGCAGCCTGTTGTTCACGAAGTTGGGCGTCTACGCAGTCCTTCATCCTGTTTAACAATATCCTGTTGAAGACTTTTCCCGGTATTGAGAGAAGAGTGATGCCTTTTTAGTTCTCACACTTGCTGAGATCTCCTTTCCTTTGTATCTTGATCAGGTGTCCTTCCTCCCTGTCTGTTGGTACTTGTTCTTCATCACAAATCTTACCGAAGAGAATGTGAAGTAACTTTGCAGTTACTGCTGTATCTGCTTTCAGTGCCTCTGTTGGAGTGTTGTCTAGTCCTACTGCTTTGTCGCTCTTTATTTGTCTGATGGACATGCTGATTTCTTGAATTATTGGTGGGCCAACATCGATTGGGAGGTCCGTGGGTGCTACCTCGATGTTGAGTAGGTTCAGTGGGGCTGGCCGATTCAAGAGTTCTTTGAAGTGTTCTACCCACCTGTTTCGTTGTTCTTCAATGTTGGTGATTACTTTGCCTTCCTAACTTTTCACTGGTCGCTCCGGTTTACGGTGATTTCCAGAGAGTTTCTTTGTCGTGTCATACAGTTGTCTCATGTTTCCTTCTCTTGCAGCCTTTTCCGCCGTTGGTGCTAAACCTTCCACATATTTACGTTTGTCAGTTCTGACGCTCCTCTTCACTTGCTTGTTTACTTCTGTGTATTCAGCTTGTTCCTTGGCTTTTTCTGCTCTTGTTCGACTGGTATTGATTGCTGCCTTCTTGTTCCTCCTTTCTTGAATCTTATCCAGTGTATCAACAGTGATCCATTCCTTGTGATGGTGCTTCTTGTGACCCAGAACTTCATGACATGTTGAAGTGATTGCCTCTTTGATCCCCTTCCAGTTGCTCTGCACAGTAGTTCCTTATCCATTGAGTAGATCATGAAAGGCCTGGAACCTATTGCTTAGGACTATCTTGAATTTGTTGAGTTTGCCAGTATCCCGAAGAAAGGCCGTATTAAACTTTTGTTATGTTGTCCGCCCTGTTGTCAAGTGCTTCTTGAGTTTCAATTTCATCTTGGCGACTAACAGGTGATGATCTGATGCCATATCAGCTCGTCTCTTGGTTCTCACATCCTCCATCGTCCCCTTGAACTTTTTGTTGATGCAGACATGGTCGATTTGATTCTGCGTAGTTTTACCCGGTTCATTTAATATTTATTTCATGGTTCACCAATGAAATTAAGTGTTAAAATCAGTTGACTGTGAATCTTTGCCTTCGACATGTTGGTTGTGGCATATACTATGTATACCCAACCATTGACTACTTCGATAAATAATATAAATAATTGTTTGAGTGAGATTGGGTTAAGAAAGGCTAGAGGCAGCCAAGGCAATATCTAACTTCAGTCTATAAAGTCATCAACTGTTGCACTAAACGATTTAGGTAGGTGCATATGACATTGTTAGTGTTCGCACAATTATCGTGAACAGTGGTTGCACATTGCTGTATGACAGCTTATAATCGTTTACAATCAGGCATATTTGTTCACTTATTGTCTCACTTTAGATATTGAATCTCTAAACTATCTTATACTGCTCATTTTTACTATACAAATCCATTCTTCTCGGATCGTACTGTTTATATGTAATATCTCCTACTACTCAGGTATTTACGTTGATATTTGTGTTAATGTCTTGTAGCAACTTGGGATAATGCACATATATGTCAGGTCATATGTTGCTTTGATGTGGCTAATCTTTCTCTTTTCGTGATTCATAAATTACGGATATATTGTCATTTCTTTTTAATTATTGGTATTATTACTCATGTATTTCTTCAACAGGTCATGAATAATACTTCTGAACGTGTTTGTATCTACTCACCTTTAATAAAATCATCTGTAGCAAATCAACTACCTGGTTTATTAACAGTTATTGAAGCCGGTCAGTCATATTCACTTCCTGTAGAAATCGTTAATTCTCGTCAACAAACAGGGATATTTATTGGACCGGAATATGAAAAGTTAGTTATTGTTTATTTTTGGAATGCTGTAATTTGACTTGACATGACTAATTTTCATTATTTTACATTATTTATTTAGTGAAACTAAGTTTAGTTCTAGTTCAAACTCACCAGTAACCTATATCGAAAATATTGAGATAACGGATGCACTTTGTTCAATTTGAACTCGAGTCATTCAGTTTCACAGTCTATCTGAAACATCACTGAAATGTTCAACCTGCAACTAAACTCCTGTGGGACTCAGATATTAACATGGAGAAATGTGAGGATGTTATACACAAATAAATAAGTGGTGGATAAAGGGTGAAAGCAAACTATTTCATAAAAAATATCCAGTCAGTTGAGATTTTTTGCAAATGACAGACAGACGTAATTTCCCTTCAACTTTTATCTAACAGTCTTATCGGGAAGTATCTATGTATCATTCTGGGTCTTTGCCCATTTCTTCTTGTTAAAAACATTGGAATCTGATTAGTTTAGGCTAAATAATATCAGTTTGATTGAACACTTCTCTCTGCAAGTCTAGTTTCTTCATTTTAAGTCGTGCCATACGTAGCAAGATCAAACCAAAAGTGTCTATGAGTGTGAGAGAGTTTAACTAATAGATTGGGAATAAATTAAGAATAGTAAGTCGTATAACAGTAGCTAATAGGTCAAATGAAAGCTTATGATAAAAAATATGAATATACATATAATTTAGTTACTTAATAGAAATATATTTAATAATAGTCCATAAATATTTCCTAGCAGTTTCCAATAACTTATTCTTCGTTCGGATGTAATATTTGCATATATTCTTTTTTCTATACCATTTTTGTTGTAGACCAGTCATTTCAGTGACCCGTGCTTATTGGCCAGAATTTGCTTGTGGAGTTGAAAAATACACTCCAAGTAATACAGATACTCACTTACCTTTTCTTGCACCATACGCTCAAACAGTGTCGTCTACAAATATAGAATATAAAATATCCACTTCCTCTCAATTTAAATGGCCCAATCAATTAATTGAATGTCATACAAACAGTAGTAGTATGAATAATAATGGTATAGTATACTTTTATAACGTTGCTGTTGTAAATCATAGTGATCAGGATAATCGTCTTGACAATAATAATGATAATGATAATACTGGCAACACTGATCAACAGCGTAAAACATCGTTAACTGAAGTAGCCGATGAATTACGTGCAACTCAAAAGAAAATGATTCAAGGAGATAAATTAAGCGTAACACATTGTGATTTTCAAATGATTATCCAAACTGCTGTAGTTTTGTACAATCAACTGCCGTTCCCAATTAATTTTATATTAACAGTAAGTGTGCTTTTTCTCTTACCACTATATTGATGATTTTTTTAGCAGTGAGTTCTGTTTTTTAAGATTTAAGTTTCGTGATAGCTTAAAGTCATCGGGATATCATATCTATAATAGTGAGAGAAGAGTTGCTTCTTGAGGGAACAGAACCGTGATCACTCTGCCAGCTTCATAGTCTGAGACGTTATTACTGAGCCTTGTGGGCTACGAAGGACCTCTTGTAGGGCTGATAGATGTACAATTAATTAATCACTGAGAGTAGTGATCAATGTCATGTTTGTCTAGTCCTTTCTATGGACCAGATTTTATCATTCAGATTGTAAGGTGGGTTACTAGTTTAAATTAATCGACATCGCGTCAGTCAGTCAGCTACAACGTAGGACCAGGCACATATATGCATCGATACAAGTTGCCGCACCTCATTAACACAACACGATGAACACCAAATTTATAAAAATAGTTAATTCGATGGTAGTCATATATAAAAGAAAGATTGTGTATAAGGATATAATAAAGGAAGGAAGAATTAGTTCGTAGAAAGAAAGGTATAGAGTAACTTTAATCTCACGGTTTGAAGTAAGTTAAGGAATAGATACACCGACGCCACTGTGATCGATTTTGATCCATGTCACCCAGAGTCTAAAACCACTGGTCTCGATAGTCACACAGACCCAAACCGAGTGGTCTTCATCTACCAACATGGCTCAGACTAGAAGTTAGTGACATCGCGTACACCTAGGGTGGGGAAAATCAATATGTTAGAAAGAACAGTTTTGTCATAATTTAATTAACGAAGTTGCGATAAACGTTTTGAATTGGATTTCAACGTTAAAACAACTGAAAAAAAGCATTGTTGAATAAATTTGTATATATCTTGGTAAGTAATGTAAAAAATAAACCCACGATGGGATTTATTAAGTAACTAGTACTAAGAATAGTCTTCATCTACGGAAATTCATCAGGTAATGCGATACTGTGTCTCACATCTCCACTTATGAGATGTTTGTGATTCTTTTAGAGTGAAGTATTGCATTGCCAACCACTGATGTCTTTCATTATTCTTTCTGTATGCTTTTTATTAGTTTTCAGAGATGGAGTTTTATTATTCGAAACGTTTGTTATATTTGTACTAACCGCAGTCTTTGAAATTTTAGTAATTTATTGTATTCTCGTATTGTTTTAGGATATTACCGACACAATTTCTGCCGGTAGTCATTATGCACTGAAGACTGCACCACCAAATAGTGCACAAATTGAAATTTCAGTAAGTATAAAAACACATTATTATAATACTCTTTATTTCTAAACAACCATTCCGTTCTTGAAGAAACATATTCTAAGGTCTTGTAGTTAATCCCATATGCGGTCGTGATTACGTATTTTTAAGTAGTCTGAAACAAAAGAATGAAAAAACTGTCCAATATTCTCTGATTTCCAGTGACCATCCAGTTAAGTTTGGTATTAAAATCACCTTCAATCAATAGAAAAATCTTCGCACAAACCATCTTAGTTAATTACACAGTTATGTTTATTCCTACACAGTATTCATTAAATTTAGTCTTCTAGCTACGAATTTTGAGGCAGTTTTTTTTATCTCACTAGGCAACTTAGTTTTATTGTATAATATGTACTCTGCGATCATTGGACTCTGCTACTGATATATATATCCTTCCTATAAACCAACTCACCAGCTACTTGAGTGGGAAAATTAAGTAGCAAATCCCATCCATAATTGTATATCTTTCTGTTGCAGAAACTAAAGCTGGATTTTCAACTAATAACGTATCTTTATCTCCGCAGAAAGTTGATTCAAATCTTGGCCAATAGCATGTATCCGTCAAAAGTAGATTATAATAGTAATATATTCGTATTATCACAATGAGTAGGAAATTGACTGTTTAAAGTGATCAAATCAAACCTTGACAATAGTGCTTAAAAAAATAAACATTTTCATTTCGGTCACCGATAAGTTGAGTGTTATTACTTGGACTATCTCTTTTGTCGGCAGCGTAAAACGTAGTACATACATGAACCACTTCAAGTTGTCAAATTATATCGACACAGAGGGTTTAAATATGACAAATGCTAGATTATTGGGAGTGTTGATAGTATCAATAATAGTGGAAAACATCAGATATAGAAAAAAAAGTATAGAGATTTCTAGACTCAGGACCCATTAAGATAGATTCTGAGCCTGCTCACCTGTCGTCTTCAACCTTTGATCACAATGATTGTATTGATCGCAACCAAGTTGTACCAACTTACTAACATGGTTCATTTAAATAGTTAGCGAATGCATAAACTTATGCCATATGTTAATTAGGCTCTTTGTATAATCGCTTACTTACATTTCATCTTCATAGAGAATTATCATTTTTCATAGGGACAATACTTTAGTATTTTAATGTGTTGAATGATAATTTGTAGTTGTAATTGTAATAAATGTTTTGTTTATCATCTCAAGTTCGAATACACTGGTAGCATGTATCGAGGCAAACTGGAATTACATCCACAAATGGAAGAGTATTGTGTCATTGAATTTGAATCGCGTAAAGAATACGAAGTGTTTAACTTGGTAAGTGTGTGCATGTATTTTAAAAGTTGAATTATGTTTCTTTTAAGTCATTTCAAAAACAAGTACTCTACACTGGGAACGTCCTAACGTGATAGTTCAATTCAGTATCTGGTTGTGGAGATTGTGGACTTTCACTGAAATCATGAACCGATCTAAGTGGTCTAGAGGTAGGTGGCTAAGGGTTCACTCATGACTGCAGGTCTTGAGTTCGATTCCGGAGTGCGGTATCGTGGATGCACACTGTCGGGCTGTCCCATAGTAGAACGAAACGGTCGTCCAGTGCTTCCACGTTTTTAATAGAGGTCTAACTTATATTGGTTCATGATTTCGATAGATTTGTTTGATTATGGCTGCGGAGGATAAGTACTAGATATATCACATGACTCAAGCAAAAAGACAAAGACTTATATCAGGTAGAAGGCTTGATCCAACCTCCAACATGACCACAATCTATTCGCCAAAATACACCCAATTTTTGAAGATTCTACTGGTATTTAGTTATTATTCATTGATAAAGAAGCATAAGTAACTGAAAATAGTGAAAATATTAAAAAGGTGTACTTTCTTATCGGGATAATACTAAATAAATATATGCTATACTGAATGTACGTCAATTCTTACTACAAAATGTTTTAATGAAAAAATATCATAGAAATATCACATGATGTAAGAAATTTGACGGATGATGTATCCCATCCTAACTGTTTATTTATACACCATTTGAGCTACAATAGAGTATTAATATAAATTCTACTCATTTGTATCTGATACTCGTCAGTTGAATATACATGCGTTCCGGAATTTATGCTTAATTCGGGATTCTGATCCAGCAATTGGCTACTGAGTCCAGATAGCTATTCACTTGTACAATTAGTATAAAGGTACTACGTCCGAAGCTTAGAGTTAAAATCAAATCTAATATGCAATTACATCCATCTGATGAGTTCCAAAATGGATGAAATATGGATCCGGTTCCCCACTACTAACCACATCCTATTTTTTCTGTATAAACTTGTGATATAGCTACATCAAGCCAATCTTGACAGGACGTACATATGCTAACTAAGACTGATCAAGAATCCAGTCAAAATATCAACAACAAGGTAATTCACATCCATTACAACTCAAATCCCATCCAGTCCATTATATTGTCTCCGTTGAATATGTACTATTTAACGGTTTGAAAGCATCAATGTTTAAAGCTATTATCAATCCATTGTATTGAGTAATAAAAACTAAACAGTAAATACCTCTCACATTTCTGTGCATAATAAACTTGATAATTATTGTCACCTTTATATCGCAATATCCGTCACAACTAATAGGGAGAATTCGTTTAATCGATAACCGAAAGAGTTTTTTTAGTGCCTATATTTACTTATTGAATTTGATAAGTTGATGTAAACTGTATAAAGTTTTATTATTATTACTGTTATTATTGCATTTTCCACTCTTTTCTTTCTAATATAAAAATAGCCTTTAGGATTACATCGTACTTCAAATCTGGGACAAATATGTTTAACATTGTATGCACCATACTGGATGATAAATAAAACTGAAAAAGACTTAACATATAAGGTAAGTTCCGTTTCCATATCCAATGGTATTTGTATATCTATCAATCTGTCTATCTATTTTTTCTGTAGACTTTGCTTATTACAGAGATTCATGTTTTTATGTGATATTTACAACAATCTCATTCCTAATCCATATAGAAGTAGTCGCTGATGATGAAGTATTGTTCAGAACGCCAGTGAAAGCTCTACAGTTAAACTATAAAACATCCATATTAGCTAAAACTTATTCCCAATGTTTCATAACTACTTAATTTTTCTTCTTTCTTTTATTTACTGAAACTCCATTTTTCTATTCATTTAAATAATAATCAACGTTTTTCTTATGACAAATATCCTCACTTCTTCCTTCTTCAATAATCATTCGAACCTAGATCAAATATACATCGGATCAGGCTTTTACGACACATTATCAGCTCGATAGAATTATCGATACCTCAGAACAATTGAGATGGAATAATAATTCTATTAATAATACTAGTAATAAAAAAAAGATATGAAACATATAGAATATATATGGTAAAAAAATTAACTTTAATAGTGGAGTCGATCTAAACCCGTTCAAGTCGTCTGGAAGTTAAGCGTTTGCGTGCGAAACCGAACGTCGTGATTTCGTATCCAACATTCGGGATAGTGGATGCGCACTGCTGAGGAGTCCGATAATAGGATGAACCAGCCGTCCAGTGCTTCCTAGTTTTCAGTGATGGTCTAGCTTAAATCGACTAATGAATTCAACTATTAAAAAAAAATTGGTTCACTATATAAAAAGAAAAGAATATTAGGTGATTGAGCTTATCCACACTACAGTTCCTAATTTTATGCATTTTCATCCGTATAAATTCTATTCTTGAAATAATTACGAAATGTATGTCAGTTTACAAGCATGATCAAATTTATACAGAAACGATGTTGCATGTAAAGAACAGATACATGGTTTGAAATGATTTTATTCAAAAATTGTTCCGTGAATTAAATATATAGAAGGCATTAGTTAGGAACTATTAATTGGTTGTGGAGGAGGATTAGGAAATCCTGTATAAAGAGCATATTTAAAGTGATTTCCATCATCATTACAATTATAATTTTTGAAAAAAGAGAACGAAACAGATAGCACAGAATATGAGCAGCAAAAGTTATTATGATATGTTTACCATTATACAGGTACTAAGTTGTTTTGTAATTTACTGAACGGGATAGATTATTATTTGAATTAGTTAAATTTTTCAGGGATAGTATAAGTGTAAAATATCTGCCGAAAGAGAAGTTTAATGTTTCATACACATAGTTCTCTTTATCATTTTGAAAAGAGCAAGAACGAACATTCTACCAGAATAGCATGAATTCATTTTATTTGGTTGGTTCTCGTCAGTTGCTTACAACCTGTGATATTTTAAATTTAAATTACTTACATGATAGGGTTTAGTTGGAAGTTATATTGAAGACATATTAGTATAGTATAGCAAGGTTGTAAATAAATTTCATAGACTGAATACTGTAAACATATACCTTATGTAAAAGAAAATGCTGCAACATTGATTGCGACAACAATTCAAACGGCCAGCAACAGGTGATTATATAGTGAGTAAACATTGATAGGAATAAAATGAGTAGAGTTCAGTTGATAAATTAAGTTTTTAATTGAAATCACGAGTCAGTTGAAGCTAGACTACCATGGAAAACATGGAAACACCGGACGGCCGTTTCGTCCTAATACGGGACTTCTCAGCAGTGTGCATCCACGATCCCGCACCCCGCGAGATCCGAACCCAGGACCTATCAGTCTCACGCCAGGCCCTTAACCAACTAGACCACTGAGCTGACCGGCATCCAACTGTGTTAATGTCTAACCTCAACCAATCCACGAAATTGCGCCACCATCTTCCATTGTACTGAGGTAGACACCTGTTTCTACCCGACACGGATTAGCTCCACTGGTCACGGCTTCCCACCAGTTGATAAAACAAGATTATTAATTTGGAAGATAGTTGAAATAAAACTCAATGACGTAATAAATACCAGAAAGAGTTTAAAGAGAAAGAAAAAAGAATATATTAGGATACAGCGATGGAATATTAGTCACCAAGACAAGGAAAGATTAATAACCATCTTTTGAACACATGAATCACAGGTTATAAGCAGCTGACGACAACCAACGAAATAAAATGAATTCATGCTATTCTGCTAGAATGTTTGTTCTTGCTCTTTTCAGAAGTTTAATGAGTGAACTCAGCTATGTAAATTATTACATATTTAATGTCCCTATAATTTCACTAACTAGATGGGATATATTTAAAGGGTGTAAGAACGTTGAAGGCGATTTCACAAGAGAAATAAACATCGACGCCAACGAATATATGATTATGGTTTCCTTTTAAGTTTATACCTCTTAAATTTACAAATCAAAGAATCCATATAGAGAATATTTCAAAGAAAACTCTCTTACTAGTGTTAATGAATTGCAGATGGTGTGACTAGTTATTTCTGCATATTGAATTGCATCAGTGAATATAAAAGATAGTTTAATAAGTGTTTTGAAGAAAAAGATTGAATGCAGTTTAATTTTCCGCTACCATTAAGGGTCGAATCCAAGTTTATTCCATTACGGTTTTTAGTTTTAAGATACAATCATTATCAAGACAGGTCTTCAATCAGTTTTGTTCAAAACCATGAAAAGACTGTACTTTTGTTTAGACTGTGTATAATCAAAACACATACACACACACACACACCCGAAACTTAATCTACTTCTTCATTATTTAGCGTGTTAATGTTGTTAAATAATAATTTATAGATGTACACATCTCGATAGATATGTTCTATATTGTATATGTGTTGTTGACATCTCATTATTCTACTATTGATTTTTATTTGGTTTACAGTCTGTAGATGATATAGAAACTGTTCATCCAGCTACTTTTACCGGTGCATTGCTCTATTCATCTTTGTCTAAATCATTTTTTGGCAAACGAAAAGTAAGTCGTTATCAGTCATATAAAGTATTCTTTTGATTGTTTGTTTAATTTAGGAATAAAAATAAAATCTGGAAAATTTGGTATCTTTTTTTTTCGTTGTTACGTATGTATATGTTACATGAAGGAATTTATAATCAACTAATTTGAGATCGATAAATTTTGTAATTCTCTTATACCACAAGATAAGTTATTACTATTATTATTCCTTATTAAGAATAACAAGATTTGAAGCAAAAGAGTGGCAACTAAGAAGTGAATAGCATATATAAGTTCGTATCCGAATGATTACTTATCAGCGGCGTACGGGAAGGTCCACTTGTTAACCCACTAATTTTGCTTTATTCACTTCGGTTTAGGTCAGTGTGCGGTAGTAATATTAGTATTTTGGTGTATGCTACTTATATCGACAGACATAGGTAGTGTGTAACACCAATCAGAAGTGGAATGCAGTATCACTAACTCTCATACATGGAAGAACCAAAGCTGATTGATTTCTAAAATATACAAATAACGTATATTGTTTGCTGATCCCCTTTCCTCACCATAGCTGATATACAAAATAAAAGTAATAGATCTACATCTCGGTGTTAAAAATATTTTTTATGATATCATTTAACTTACTTACGCTTGTTACCCATCGTGGATCTAGATGATTTGATTGAGATGCCGCGGTGGATTGTGCTCGAGTCGTGGCTTAATAATATCTATTCCGATATCTATTATTCCTCAATTTAGTCTGATGCAATTCATTACCAAATGCAAATTTATGCACTCTACTTGGATCCACATTTATTATTTCTGTGGCGAGTTAATGAAACCAATTGTATGCATAATTCAGAACATGTATTGTCAAGTTCAAACCTTACTATCTTGTGAATCATGATCGCACAACTTTTGTTTGTTATTTTTTTAAAGGAATTTTACATTATGAACTGACTAAATGGAGGATAAAGATTGAAAATCGGCTAGCATTTTGAGTTGTTTAATTTGTTGATTGCCTCAGCTGAGTAAGAAATATTTAATTTTTCTTCAATACTAAAAAATTCTATTTAATGTCTGAATGTAAGATTTATTGAAAACTGATATTCTCATCATAGGGAAGCTATCTGGAAAATGCCAAAGAGAGACTTTTAATGTTGTTAAGTTTTATGAGTTAGACAGTTTAATTGTGGAGCTCTCATTGTCGTTCTCGACAGCATCATCACCGCTTACTTGTCCAGAACGGCAATGAAAACTGATCCACTTAAACTAACTAGCGTAGAGTACTTATCAACAAAAATCATACATGTAAGCTATTTTGTTTACATTTTTTAAAGATATGTATATTCATCATTTCTTTGCTGAAATCTAACACATTTGTATTAACTTTCACTTAAACATGGAATAGTTAATTATATTCTTGGCTGTTTTACATTCACTATAATTATTATTATTATTATTATTTATTCACTCATTAATTGTAACTTTAACCTTTCCATCATTATGTCACAGTTTTATCAATCATATCTGAACTTTCGTTCAATAAATACAAAAATGTACTTTAACAACATTTCATCATAAGTGCTTATACATAGCTCAAATTCTTTTGTTTTTTTTTTAAATTCACAACTTATTATGATTACTGTCTCTATTATTAATAATAATGATAGTGATACTAATCACAGTATTAGTTTAATAGTTCATCTATAGTTTTCCTAAATACTTCTATTCCTTCCGTTATTATGTTTTCATATATTTGTTTGTATAGTTGATAGTATCGTTTTTATAGATTCATTGTTTTCCGATCTTATTTACGAGGTTAGAGATTAGTAACAAGGTAGTTTTCCCCAAGTTTATTTCCCTTGAATGCACGAAGCATATTTCATAAAACGCATTCTATAATGATTGTGCATATCGTGTAAATGAGTAGTTTTGAGCTATTTAGTTTGATCGTGAAACATTTTCTTTTTAGACAGCGTCATTATTATCACCAATCGCACATATTTTGAAAAGAAGTAAACTATTAGAATTTCATTGAAATTATCAACTGATCTAAGTTAGACTCATTAAAAACCTCCCATCACTGGGTGGCCACCTCGTCTAAGTATGAGACTCCTTAGCTGTGCTCACCTATAACCTCTCATCCTGGATCTTCGGTCTCGCGCACGAACGCTTAATCTCTAGGCCATCGAGTCTGCATCTAACGGTGTTGATGTCTAATTCCATTCAATCTGCGACATTACTCGACTGATTAACACCATTGGTCATGGCTTCTCACTAGAACGCCGGAAATCGCTCATCGGAATTGGTCACTAGTAAGCATATGATAATTTTCACTATGGGGTTACAGAGATTGTTGAATTTCATTGAAATCATGAACCGATTTATAAATTTCTACAAGATTTATGTTGACCTAGAATTTGACTGGTTGTACTCAGCTATTTCCTAAGTTATAAATCTTCTCTATCACCATATCAGTTGTGTAAATGAAGCATGTTCATTAAATAACCAAATTTTTAAAAAATTCTTTGTTTATTTAATACTTTTTTCTTCACTTCATCCTTTACCATGTATCCTATTTATTATTACATTATTGTATTAATCTACACACAAATCAAATAAAAAAATAGATACAACGAAATCATAGTTTTAGTTCATTCTGTTCTGATGAAGACGATGAAAATGAACAATTACTTGCTTCATCGCATCAATCATTACAACCAAATATGTCTATATCTAATAATAACAACTATGATGTAGTGAATCATGGTACAGAAGAAATAACAACATTGGATCATTCAGTTCCAACGGCAACAACATCATTGAATCATAAAACTAAATCAAAACATTCTAAAAATAACTCATCATCATCTAGAAAATGGTGGCATCTTTCTAGAAGCTGTCGAAATTCTTGTAATTCAAGTTGCTGCTGTCGAAGTATGTCAAGAAAAACGTAAAACTCATACATCGACAACTCGTGGAGCTAGTGATGGTCGCGCATTGAAATTCGACAGTAAAATACAGGTCTCTGTGAATATTTTAATGACTACCGATTATATTGTAATTAATATCATTATGACTTTTGTTTAAGCAATCATATCTGCTTTATTACTGTTTCTAATATTCACTAGTTGTTAGTTAGTGATTTTTATTAGAATTTGAGAAAAAAATTCTTTGTTGATAATTGCTTTTTATAATCAATTTGCTTTCTAAATGATTATTCTGCGTTGTATTGCTTTGTTGCTAGTCTATCCTGAGGTGTTAGAGGGAAGATCATTTATTTCCCCTGTTTCTTTTTCATGGTATCTAACGAATAAATGTATTTTATTATTGTTTCACACCATTTATAGGCTGTCACATCTTGCTTTTAATTTTTTCAATGTTCCTTCATTATAATTTTCAGTCTCAAATTATAAGCAATGCTAATAATAATAATACTAAACGCTATGTTCATTCCGTAAAACGAAGCTTTGTCGATGCTATTTTCTTTGAGAAATAGTTATCTTTTTTTCCGCGTCAACTATTCACCTTACTATCTAACATTAATGACGTTTGTGTTTTACTCACTTCATTTCGTTTTTATGTAAAACTAACTATTGTTCGATGCTATAATGGAGATAATCACAAAAGACGTTTATATAATTTTATACAAGTCTGAGAAAAATAATAAGTTATGATGAGGCATTGAGTTCAATCACATGCTTGATAGATTGACTACTCTAGAGCTCACTCAACCAAATTTACCTAGTTATGTGAATTAATTAATCCAATGTATAGGTTTTTATATTCGGTTATTAGATGCATTATTTGTGTGATGAAGATTACTAATTCATCATAATCAGAAACAAAATTATTGTGCTGAAAAGCAAAGAGAGAGGAATTAATTTCATCTCCAATTTAGATCTAAATTTCATTTTTTTCAAAAGTATAATCCGAAGCAGAGGAACGAGATTGAATTACGAAAAGTTCGGAATGATATTCAGTTACTGATTTAAATAAAGCGAGAGATAGTGCAATTGTTCCTCTGCAACCAATTTTAGCATCATATCACACAATACCTCTAGTCATTGATTACAACTTTTGCGCCAACTGTTGTCGGACATTTCAAACCTACTGGTATGGTTCATGTTAACAATCAGTGACTTTATAGATCAAGATTGATTTCCGTCCAAGATTAAGATTTCCTTTAAAAAATGTTGTTAGTCAGCACTGGCATTATATGATAATCGCATTAGACGGTTGACAATAGACTGAAGTGGCATCTGTCAGTTTATAGAATTTGATAGCCTTATACACATACTGGATAGTGTTTAACTGCAATCTTTTTGATCTCTTAATAATAAAAAAACGTATTAATAGATAAAACAAGTTTGAAGAGTCTGTTTAGTCGTTGCCAACCACTTATTGTACTTTTGTTTTGATTACTTAATAGACTTTTTTCAATTCCCATTTTACGGCTTAATATATTTACCATTTTTTCTATTGCTTTCATCATATACAATAACATGATCATCTTTCTTTTTAAAGCTCTTTGTTTTCTTTGTCATCCTAATAGGCTAATCTTCGTGTATGTGAATCCAATTGGTCAGACAAATTCTCATTGGATACAGTTGGTAGTTCAGGACGTGTACATTGTACAACAAAGTCAAAAATGTCGTATGAAGTTAGTAGTATTATATTTTTATTTGCTTTTAGAAAAATTGGGTTTTCACTTATGTTATTAATTCATTGTTAAATATTGAACAGAATATAGAATTTTGTTTCAGGAAATAAATCAATGGTATTCAAATTATGACAATTAATTTCATTAAGTAATTGTCTTTTATTGTAACTGCTTTCTTTGTGACAAGATTTCCCATGGAAGTAACCTATGATTATTGATCAGGGAGTGACGAAAGGCATCTCGTTCTACATGAAATGTAAACGATTGTACTATACAGCAAAATTCATTCCACTTATTGATTACTAAGTATTGTGTTGATAAATTCTCGTTTTTATGTCCATCGGGTTCTTGATCGAATTGTTAGATTATCGGTTCGAGTATATCATGTGACTGGAAGAATGCGGTTAACACTAAGGACTAAACAACACGACATTGATAATCTTTGAGAACGATTAATTAGTGTGTAAACATCTCAGCCATACAGGTGATGGTCAATCACGACTTGAATAGCTCAGTGGTAACTTTTCTGATTGAGTAACATGGGCTCAGGCGTCGCAAGGACCAACAGACCCCTCACGCTTATGGATGCTCTTAACTGGTGTCCCTTATCGAATAAAATACCTTCCTCCTTATTTCCAGTTGTTTAACAAATGTTACGTTGGTATCATTACCAAGGTTTTACTTGATAATTTCAAATAAATTGAGCATTGGGTAAATTGTTATAAATAAAAATAAAAACAATGTATTTGTAATATCCTAATGAGTAGAAAAATTAAATTTTCTGACGTTTCGTGACTGATTGTAAGCTTCTTTCTTCAGGGAATAAAGAACCAAATTAAATTAACCCAAGTTTAAATAGTATAAAGGAACAAAGCAAGATCTTTTAATCTTACGTTGCATATCAATTAGTTGATTTGTAGTTAAATTCACATTCTATTATTTTCTACTAAAATAGTGAGCTATTTAACCATTTGACTAAACTGGAAAGATAGGCTGGATACAAGGTTTACTATTGTTATTATTATTATTATTCATTACCGAGAAGTGAATCGTTTTTAGTTAGAAGCTACCAACGCTAATAGTCATTTACGTTATATGCACAAATAATTTTGTCAAAGATCATAGCTTTAGACGATAGTTTCATTAATGTTAAGGTGGTTTGCGTCATAAATAAAAAATCTTGGAAATTCTATTTACCTTAGTTCAATCGACTGGTTCAGTTCAGTTCAGTTCAGTTCAGTTCAGTTCAGTTCAGTTCAGTAGTTCAGTACTTCTCAACCTTATGGGGATTTCTTTTGAGCTTTGGTCCTCTCACATCAGTTATCCGATTGTTGGAAAAGGAGTTGTTAGCTCTTTGAAATCTTTTATACAACTGTAGATATAATGAAATGTTTTGTTTACTATTTCATTCTATTTGTTTCGTATAAAATTTTCACCTATATATAGTAAAATCTTACAAATCACCAATTTTGATCCCAAACTCCTACACATTGATTTTCAAATTACGGGATTATTCGCATTAACTGTTATCGGAATGAGGAGAAAATATTCTCACTCATTGTGTACTGACAATATTCAGTGTTAATTACTTAGTTTCATTGCTTTTGTTTATCAAAATCCACCACTTATTTCCTTTGTAGTAACGAATAAATAGAAATTTAGAACGTTATTACTAACACGTAAAGCTCACTTTATAGCAACATTTGTAAATATTTATATTCAGTATATTGGTAACTAATATTTTCTTGTCTGGTCCTTAATATTGGTCGAATTCCATCAATGTCTTTGCAAAATTGCTACCAGGCAAACTGACTTGGCATAATAATTCATTGGTGTATTTAACAATGCAACATCAAAAATAAGGGACAAGTTTTTCACTACTCAAAAATTTAGGATTTATGGATGGATTAGTGTTCGAATTCTGTATCCAAACCTCTTTCATCAAGTATTGTCTGTATATATACACACACAGAGAGAGAGAGAGAGAGAGGTTACCACTGAGTTATCCATGTGTATATTTTTCTTCTTAATTAACCTACTCTCGTAATAATGTTTAAAAATCTCTTGTGGATTTCTTCATACTCAAATAAACAGAATGTTTTTAAATTGAGTTTTAATTGTCTTTTTCTACTGACTTCTATCATGAATTACACTATGATGTAATATTGGTCATGAAATGGGTTCCTTTATTCTTTTATTTTACAGATTGGAGTGAAAATCGATTTATCTAGTTCTGGTTTAACAAAAATTGTTACATTTATGCCTTATTTCATAATTATCAATAAAGCTAATGTAAGTGATAATTGTTGTTGTTTGTTTAACAATTTTATCATGATTATTTCTGTTATTGAATTATCCATTATTATTTGTGTAACACATTAAATTAAAGATATTCCACCTTTGTTGGCTTAAACTCTCAACTCCTTACTCATATCTCTGGTTAGTAGTATTTCCAGAGCTAATCAATACTATAATATTCTCACAATCGTTATTTATCAGAATGGGGTTTTGTGGAGATTGTAGTAATTTTGATAGTTAAATTCATGAATCAATTCTAAACTAGACCATCATTGAAAATTTGGACAAATGACTGTTCAGTGCTTCTAAATGTTCAATGATGATCTAGCTTAGATTGACTCATGAGTTCAACTATTAAAACTGGAGATAGAAGAAAGTTAGGGGCGGCCAAACCAAAACGTGGCATCAGTGCTTGAAGTCACTAACTTCTAGTCTGAGCCATGTTGGTAGATGCAGACTACTTGGTTGGGGTCCGCGTGACAATTGTAACCAATGGTTGGAGACTCTTGGTGGCATGGCTCAGAATCGATCACAATGGCGTAGGTGTATACACTCTCTTTCTTCCCTTAAACAAGAGATTAAAATCGCTTCATATCTTTCTTCCTACGAACTAATTCTTTCTTCCTGTACTATATCCTTATTACAATCTTTCTTTTATATATCACCACCTCTGAATTAACTACTTTTATGAATCCGGTGTCCATCTTGTTGTGCTAATGAGGTATGGTAACTTGGACCGATGCATATATGTGCCTGGTCCTACGTTGTAGCTGACTGACTCACTGACTGACTATTAAAATCTTCATTTACTCATCTATGCTTTGTCAATTAATTATCACCAATTCTTTACTTATATAGATAAATATCGAGTGTTGTGAAGTGGATGAAACTGAGACAAAATCTACACAGTCCACAAATACAGAATGGATAAAAGTTCCAGCTGGTGAAGCTGTACCATTTTGGCCACATGCAGCAAATTCAAAGAATATGTTATTAAAATGTCGTGTAGCAGAGAATATTGTGACTGCAGCATTTCCATTTTATGAATCACATTCAATATTAATGAAATTAGACGAAAAAGTGAGTTTATCTTTTAATGTATAAAACATACTTATACAACCTAGGGTTATTATCAAGTTTATATGTGATTGACAATTGGTTGACCGACATCATAGTTATCTAGTCTTGTACTGATCAAATTCTATCAACCAAATTGTAGTATGACCACTAGTCTAAATGGCTGAGCATCGCGTGAACTATGTTGAAGTGTAAAATGGTGGTCTTCATGATACTCTTCTTGACCTAAGTTTCGCGCTAGTTTGGATTCATCGGCAAGAGATCCCTTTCAGGGAACTGATCCCCCCTGTGGCGTTCTAGTCCGCATCACTCGGTTACACAGTTTAAGACGTTATTGTTCAGCTGTTCGGGTGTATCGAATACGAGATGATAGTTTATTGGGTAACTAATTGTTTAACAGGGAAAAGTGTTACAATCCTAATAACTTCATAATCTCAAATGCATTGAATTTTTTTCGTAGTAAAAATTGAATATAATGTGCGTACTACATAATTTTAAATATCACGCATTTATTTTTTGTCTTTCAAACCGAAAATTTATTGCAGTATCCTGGTATATTTGTTGAAGTGGAGACAACTGAAGAAACAACTGTAATCACTTTGCAAATGTATCAAGAAGGTATGGCTTTAGTGCGTCTCGTCAATAATCTAAATGATTCACAACCAGTGTTCTATCACCAAAGGTTAGTGGTTATAAAAGAAAGATAAACGAAAAATGATTACATGTTTTTTCTGTTTATTTGTGTTATTCATCCTTAAAATTGTTTTAGAAATCGTGTGAAGATGTTATTCAGTAAAATAATAATTTCCTTAGTTGTCTTCGTCCTTTTATAAATCAATCGTTTGCAAGGAAAATCTATAGGAATGTAGCGTATTTTACGTTTATTATTTACTATATTGTTTTATGTAATAAATCAGTCTTTTCATCTTTTGGTTTGTACCATATATCTACAACGTGTTTAACGAGCGTACGTCACATCATCTTGACCGTAGCTGCTACCCTGATGTGGCAGTCGGGCTTAGCTAACACGTTGACTCGATCGAGCTATATTGGCTGGAACAAATGTTGTTTTTAGGCCCTTTTATGCCAGGCAGGTTGGTTGTAGAACGGTAAGATTAAAAGTAATAAACTCATGGTCAGAGAGCAAAGTTCTGTTGCTGACTGTAGAGGAGTGTGACATAAGTAAGGCGTTCCCCTCCGACAACCGACATGTACAACAGTGTTGCCTTCTCACAACGAAAGGGAAGGGTTATCAAAGTCCGACCCTAAAAATACCACACCTTACCTTACCTCACAGATTTCCTTATCGAGCTGTAAGGCATTTTGAAGTGCGAAACTAACACATCAACAACTTCCCATAAAAAAGTCGTAAGCGACCAGGCTTAAGCAGTTGTCCCTTGGGCTTTGTAGTCACTTTCCCAGGTCACTAAGACCATCACTTCATCTTCAGTGCTCTCAAGAAGAAAATTCCAGCCACGGTGTGGACAGTCGGGAAATGACAACCGCCTTCATACCTCTATCAGCACCTGAGATCATCTTGTTCACATCGCATCATTACCAATCATATCTTCGATCGTTATTTGAGTTTATGGTATTGAATGAGGATTATCACACTGCTCTATTAGCCAACCTACAAATTAGATGGTTAAGTTTCTAATTTTGAAAATGTATATATTTTTACACCATATTCATATACTAATTGCACAATATTAGAAACTGATTAAAGCTCCGTGACGTATTTGAATTGCTAATTTATAAATTCCCTCAGTCCTTAGTAGATAATACCCCAAAATAAGTTCATATTAGTAGTTCTAAAGTTAGTCACACATTAAATTCTCCTTTTTGAAACTGTGTTTACATTCTACGCTTATGACCTTTTGCTGTACAAGTTACAAAAATGTACAATCTAAGACATCGTGGTGGCTGGCAATATGCATTGAAAAGAATGAACTACTTGTTCGCTCAAATATTCTTTGTTTTTGAATATTCCATTTTTCTTTATATCACTAATAGTCATATAATAATTAGTGGGAACAATTGTAATTAATAAGTACATTTTGTACATGTAAACATTTGAATATTTATTAACGAAATACTAATTCATAACATAAATTTCTTTCATCTCTTCTAGTGGACTTCAACATACAGTTCATCGGTTAGATGCTGGTATGTCTATCATGTATGCATGGGATTGTCCTCAAGCAAAACGCGAATTAATTTTCTATTGTAATGAAACCGATAATCGTCATTCAAATAAGTTAACTTATGTAAGTTTAGTCGTTATATCATAATCCATACGAACGATATTTATGAGAATAATACTTGGAATACAATTATCTAATTTTGTTTTTTTAGAGTTGGTAATTTATTTATTTTATTTATTTAAAGACATAAATATTGGTACAAAGAGACACCATATATATGCATCATACTTCGTCATTCGATTTGTATGAGGGCTGGGATACTGCCTGGGTCCCCCCAATCGAAGCAGGTGATTTTCTTAGTGGGCCACTCTTCGAGTCTTTGACCTAGAGATCTAATCCATAAGACAGTGGAGAAACATGAGGAGATGCAGTCCCATGGTAGCCGGTGACCAACAGTTGGTTCATAAGCCATTTGTTCCCTTAGGATCCTGGAGCCTATGTGCACCATAGGTTTGGAATCAGGGTTTTCCAGCTCCCTTGGGTGAATCCTCTGTATCCACCAACCCGGTCAAAGCACCGGACATTCGCTTTTCGTCCTGTCAATTTCATAAACAACACCGCCTCAAGGAGATAATGAATAAGACTTCCTTGGCAGTAGCGTTATACGCATAGTTATATGAAAGCGTTTCGAGAGGAAGAGCTGACTTTCCCCACTGTCTGTCGTATCAGGGCATTGATAATACTAATTATCTATTAGCAAATTAATATCGGTGTTCGTAATGAATAGGAATGTTAAATTGCGATAGTCTTTAGGTATCGATTAACTGAACAAGGTAATCATTTGCTCACTAATGGCATTACGTTTTCAGTAATCCTCAAGTTTATATATATAAATCCATGTTTCACTAATCCTTTTAAGCTACTGGTCAACTAATGAAACAGAATATTTCTTAATCTGTTTACAAAGGTTCTTGTTACTCAGTGTAATGTACATTTTGTTGACCAATCATCTAGTCATATTTAGTGAGATAATCCAAGATTTTATATATAGACGCTTAGACTATTCAATTGGTGTGTAATTTAAGAAGTCGTGATTATATAAACCCGAACATCAAATCTTTCAGCTATTCTCCAACTCAACTTTTTCTAAACTCCATGTTATGTAACGATGCTCGAAATCCTGTTAAATAGTATTTTGTCGCAGAACAAGTATCAATACGTGGATATGTTAGACGATGATAACTATGGTATTTTACAAAGGTCAAAATAAGGCATGTATTCATTAATTTGATAATGTTATACGTTGAAAATGATGAACGTTTGCATCTGTTATCACATAATACTTCAAAATTGTGTTATTTGTAAATTAGAAAGGTCATTTAATTGAAGTCAGAATGATTTGAAGTAAAGTGTTTAGTCACAATAAGTAGAATAGTAATATAGCAAAAATGAAAAACGTGTGAATAATTGTGTATATATTTCGTCAGGAAATTCCTGGTTGAAGGTAATAAAAAAAAGAAGAAATTGTGACTTAGTCAGTAAAATACCCTACATCTGAAACTGGATTTTAAAGGGGATATAATGGGTGACATCTTCATATGTCGAATCAAAAGAACTGTTGAAAGGACGTTTCACGCGGTTAAGTTACATGTAATTTTCTCAACTAAACCTGCATTTAAACAACAAATCAAGGATAGGTTATGGATGATAAGCTTCATCATGTGTGCATACCAATTCAACTGTTCCTGTGGAGCTAGTTGCACAGGCTGTCCTCAGAGGGCTTTATCCTTGCGTGTTCGTAATCATATACTATCATGGTTGGCAAAAAGTTATTAAATCGATCAACAGTACTATTATTTCTCACTCGGTAGATAATGAACATCAGATTAAAAGAGATGAAGCTTTCTGTTTTATATCAAGTTCCAAAGAACCTACCTAAAGGAGCTAGATTACGGCTGCTCCGCAAAGCTGAAGTCAACTGGATCAACGCCAGAAAACAGAACTTATATATCCAGAAAAGGTATATCCAGCCACTATGTTTACCTTGGCTCATGACTGGATCACCAGATACCTAAACTGAATGTTATGGTTCTCTTATTTTCCCTCCAATTTTTTTCTGATTATATCTATCTTAATCTTCACATTCATCATTCCCAATTCACATGAATTCTTTTTCATCGTAATTACCTTGATAACACCTCTCTTATTACATATTATATTCACACAACGATATTATTATTATTACCTCAATTAACAATATGAAATTTTCCTACTATTCATTTTATTCACACGACGTTTTTTATTTTCATTTTCGCTATAATACTATTGTGACTGGACACTACTTCAAATCATTCTGACCTCAATTAAATGACCTTTCTAATTTACAAATAACACCATTTTGAAGTAATATGTGATAACAGATACAAACGTTCATCATTTTTAACGTATAACATTATCAAATTAATGAATACATACTTTGTATGGGCCTTTGTAAAAAGATCACAATAATTATGGACTTATAACTGTAGAGCCTGGTGATAGAGTTATTGCAAAAAATTGTCCTCTGAAGTATTCTTCATTTTGAGATGGTGGGGAAGATTTGTAGCTCAGGTGGATGATTTTGATGGAGTTTTGTTCTCTGATCTGGATGGTTTGGTCGTGGAGCTTTCATCGTTCTTCAGATCTGAAGTTTGTACTGATGATGTCGTTCACAAGAACGATGAAAGCTCCACGACTAAACCATCCAGCTCAGAGAACAAAACTCCATCAAATTCTTCATTTTTAATTAGATGATGGTTGGAGGTAGTCAACAGGAAACCCTGGACCCGGGTTTCGTGCTACTTGGCACTCGTCAGCAAGATGTACCTGTAATCTTGAGGGAACTGGTGCTCCCTGGCGGATTCGATCTCGTGTCACCCAGCTTCACAGTCAGAGACGTTATATCATCAGTAGTATGACTATGTCTGTTATTTCTTTCATCTTTATTCATACTCCAGACTTTACATTTAATCTAATGGTATATCCTTAATTCTACGGCTAAACAATTAACATTACTATTATTATTATTGTTTATTTTCCCTATTTTGAAGGACTCTATTGAAGAATTTAAAGTGAAGGATACCAAAGCATATTTGGTTTCATTTATGTGGAATATGCAACGTGTTTTATTATTTACACAAAATGCAAGTGTTGCTAAAAATGCTCGATTAGTAAGTCATTCTCTCTTATTTTGATTAAGTTTTCCTAAAATATATCATCAATGCTTTATAGATTCACTAAATTTGCACTATTTATAATCTCTAAATGATAATAACTTGTATTTTAATTGTTTTCACTCTGTATTATTTTATCAAAAATATCAATAAATATGAAGTTAAATAATGTGTATGTTACATCTGTTGTATGCTCGACTAACACGTGATTCACAGTATGAGGTCGTGGAGGTTGTTGAATTTCATTGAAATCATGAACCGGTCTAAGTTAGACCATCATTGAAAACACGGGAATATTGAGCCACTGTTTCGTCCTAGCATGGGATTCCTTAACAGCGTGCGTCCACGATCCCGCACGCAAGCCTCAAACACAGAGCCTTCGGTTTTGCACCAACTCTTCACCTATAGATCACTGCTTTTCGCCCGACACGGTTAAACTCCACTAGTCACGGAAGGAGTCAGTTACACAATTTCGTGAATTGGTTTCAGTTGGACATTGATAATTGGTTAATACTTATCACACATAGGGTGAATACGCAGAATTATTGCAAAAATACAAGCTACTAATTGAATTCTGACTTAATTCAAAAAACATTATTTTGTTAGAAAATTATCATACTGAATTAAAAATAGAAATAATGTTGAAAACATTACGCTAATCTAAGAACGTGTTGTTTGGCCCGGTTCCACCTGACTTACATCTCATTGATTGATGAAGATTTTAGCACTTGTTCAAATAGCACAATCTCAATGATTTTGAAAGCAGTCAGTAATTTAATTACGAAAAACTTGAGTGAAAGTTAAACTAGCAGTCATTAAGAAGATATACATCTTGTATATGTGTGTGACTAATGTCTTCAGACCGCCGATTTCTTAGAAATAATTTCACACTAAATGTTTTACCATTTTTTTACTTTATCGGTTTGATCTACAGGAAAGTTAATATTATGTTATAACTTGGAAGGATATACATGAAAATGAAATAATGTCTTGTTCAAGCCCGTCATTCATATCTCTTTTTGTGAGGTTAATGTGTATACAATACATTATGAAATGACCTTTTATCTAGTTATAGAGAAGAACAGGATTATGCATTTTAGGAGGAACCTCAGTGAATAAACTTTTCACACAGTTTATTTTATCAATGTATTAAGATTGCAAACCAATATCATCACTAATTTGATATTATAGCTATTTTATCAGAGAAGCATGTTACCGCTGTAAATTTCAATAAATTTCTAATATCACTATTTTTCGGGTTTAGATATATAATTTGAGCACTTGTAAAAATGATAACTAGACATTCAGAATGATTTGTCGTCAACTGATGAATTTCCGAAATGTTGTTGCGTTTTATGACTTACGCATATTTTTATGTACCATATATATCTGTATTTTTGTTTACATATTTATTGTTCGCTTTCATTACCAACTTCTAGAGTTCTGATCTTGAACCGATTGACCAAGAAATTGTTATTTCTCTTCAATCAATTGGTATTTCATTAGTTGATAATCATTCACGAGCAGAATTAGCTTATGTATCTATTACAAGGTTAGTTTCATCATTGGCCCTTATAGATTTCTTGTGTTTTTATCAGTTGTTAGTCAGTAGTCACAAATTAATTCCGAGATGTAATTTGTCGAACACTTGCACACATATATATATATATCCATTATGTTGAGATAAGTGGAAAACAAGCATACAAAATCTAGTCTAATATTTTTTTTAAAAGAAAGTGAATAACATGTACATTTGCACAGTTTCATTCATAAACACGAATCATCTCAGTATAGGGCTATGGAGATTGTTGACCTGTAATTGAGATTATGAATCGATCAATGTTAGATTACTATTGAAAACCTGGATGCTCACTGCTGCGGAGTCGCATACTAGAACGAAACGACCGTCCATTGCTTCCAGGTTTTCAGTGGTGGTCTAACATTGGTCGGTTCATGATCTCAATTACAAGTCATATCATTTTAGGATCATTTTTAACATTCTTCCATATTACAAGAAATGGAAAATAAATCAACTTTTGCTTAGAAGATACTCATATAAAAAGAATAAAGATGTTTCAGTGAAGAAAATTTCCTATTTGACAATGTCATTTTCTGAAGCTATAGAATCTTATGTATGTAGGTAATCTTTACATGTAATAATCTAAAGTAACAGAACAGTTTTACAAAATTACCAATAGTATTTAAACCTACAAATACTATACCATATCCCTGATGTATCCCTTCATTAGAGATCCACACATCTACACTGTGGCGATCAGAATATCAGAGGTTTAGGCCCTTGACCTACCACATTAATGTTGTTTATTTTATACTTATAACTTACGCGATTATATCATGTAGTACAGTAAACCAGTTTCTGGAAAACATACTAAAATTGGTAGCACAATTGGTAGTTTTCTAGAGTTATTTTGAAAGTTTCTTGAGAATTCGTTCTCTCATCTTTCTGACGACTGATTCTATGAATTATCGAGGTCTGCCAAAATATTTTAACACCAATTAATGAGTCGAATTGAAGCTTACAATTGGGGTTATGTCCAAATCAAAAGTGATGGGAAAGGCGGCACCGATAGGTTATGGCAGACAACTATTCTGACTCGTCAAAGAAACAGGCATTAAAAGATCTGGCTGTGTCGGATGGGCAGAACATTTTAACCAACAGTTTATTTGTGTACAACTTGAAAGGCAAATCAATACAAGTCTCGCGACTTTTTGTGAAGTTGAAAAGTGACAGATGGTAGAATTTTAGATAGAATAGCTTCGGAAATCTTTGAGGTAAGTGACCCAGTCTCAGCACAGCTAAAATCTCGGAACTAGACATAGTCATATTTGACTAGTCTTGACCGTTAGTCGTCCCAGTTTATAAGAAAGGATAAAAATCCTCTGTGAACAACCAAAGAAGAATCAGTTTGACTAATATTAGTTCCAAAAATACTAACGTCTATAATCATCGTACGTTTGAATGAGCCTTGTGGAGCGCTAACTGAAGGGAGCTCAGTACCGTTTTGCCTTATAGATGTGGTAGCTTATTGGCTATGGCGTCCGATTTTCGATCACTAATTCTCAGATCCGATCCTCACTTCACCTATTTCAGCTTTGGGAACCGGGTAGTATCATTAGACCTAAAATATGGAGTATGACTTACACCCAAGTACCTAGAGAACGATTCAGACTTATTTAAAAATCAAGAATAAAGTATATTTCCAGTTTTCGATCTCACGTCTTTTTGGGCTACCTAGTGATCTATGCTGAATTTAGTCATTGAGTAGTAAGTAAAGATGACAAGTCGTTTGACGAAGTGGTGAATCTTCATCAACTGCGATGTTGTCTAATGCAGAAGTACGTTAGGAGAAAGTTAGGGGCGCTAAAACCAACACGTGAGACCAGTCCCTGAAGTCATTGACTGTTGTACTACACCATTCAAGTAATTACATATCAACTGGTTAAGGTCCGCGGAACTATCGTAATTAGTGGTTCGAGACGTTTTGTTAAATGGCTAAAAATCGATTTCTATTGTACAGATGTATTCATTCTTCGTCTACACTAGGATTCTCTATTTCAAAATTATTTCATACTTTTATTCTGTGTGTTCATTCTTTATTCTCAAATCACATTGGTTATAAAACCAATGTTTTTCTACCACCACTACTGATATTACTGGTACTTCCTACTTCGACTGTTCTGAGACTTATCTTGATAATTTCATTTCGATGTGTTGATTTAGTGTGGTAATTTGAGTTGATGTACAGCTCTGCCAAGTTCTTATGTAGCATATGACTGACTGACTGACTGATTAACTCTTAGAAAAGCAATCTAACTCACAAATGAACATTAACTTTCTAAGTTTCATTTTATCCTTCTATCGCTCCTGTAAATATCCATAATCATTAAAGTAAGAGAAATTAAACTATACTTTATCTTTATTCTAATTTTTTTCTCCTCAAATTGTCATTACTAGTTCTGGTGTTCGGTGGAGTCAGATAAAACGTGGGAATCGTTTAAAACCATTACAACTGGCTTTAAGCGAAAATTTAGAACGCGCTTATACCAATTTTGTGAACGCATCGAATGATGCAGACAAAGTTAGACTCAGCATTGTCAAATTAACTGATACACATCAACCAATAGAAGTAGATTTCAATCGAATGATTATGTTGAAACCGGATCAATATGGGATAACGCGTGCATTTGATCCGGGTGTATTTTTACAGTATAAATCATCTATTAGTCAAATGCAATTACATGCTAAATTGTTTCGATTACAGGTTAGTGAATGTATTTCGTAATTTTGGGGACTCAAATTGGTGATTGGCACCAACCATTGAACTTATTGAATTACTACATTGTGTACTATTAGTCTATATTTTTAATCATAAATATTAACACAACATTGATTTCGTCCCACTGATTTTCATTGTGTGGCGCTTTTGGTTTGACGATTGAGAAATAGCTGAATTTTTCGTTTGATAATTATAATTTATTCAATCTTATTTTTAATAATTGTTTATTTCTCCATCCCTTTCGTTATGTTTATCTGTCTGCCCTTTTATATTTCTCAGATTGACAGTCAACGACTTGATTCTAATTTTCCTGTGGTATTGTCAGCTTTTCCTCAGCCGAAATCTGTGGCACTTGATTCAGGTAATCAATAATGTCTCAATAGTTATTTTTTTCTGTGTGAACAACATTAAAGAGAAGCATTCTAACATTTAGTTTAATAAGCTGAATGTTATACTGAGTTTAGAAAATAACAATCTACGTATTATAGTATCTGATAAGAGCATTCTATATCATTCATAATTTGTTTACTCCTTTTTTTCAAGTCACAGTTTTTTCCATTTCACTACAGCCCAACATTTTAACTGATTATGTAACTTGGATCAGTTTTATATTATATTTTTAACCGGTTTAAATTATAAGTGGAAATAGAAATTAACATTTAAGTCGACAATTGATCCAGTTATTAAGCAGAACGTCATTAACTGCTTGAATCGATGATTAATGATATAGATGGCTCTGATTAACTCTAGTTTAGAAGGTATGTGGCTGGCCAAACCAAAGCGTGACATCAGTGCATATAACTATCGACTATCAAATTGAACCATGTTGATAAATAACGGGCTACGTAGTCGGAATCCGCTCAATTATCGTGACTTATGATTAGAGACATTAGGTAACATCACTCTGAATCGGTCATAATGACAAAGGTTCGTTCAACTCTTTATTGTTTTCCTAGATTTTGAATTCCAATGTTCTTTCGCCCGTTTCATGTTCGTTCCCTCATCTCTCTTATTCACTTTATCTTGTTGATGTGGTATATCGACTTTAACTAACGCATATTTTTGTCAGACTCTACGTCACTTATTTTTGTTTGTCTGCTTGATTCTAATTTAAATAACTGTTGACAATAGGCATGTTTCCTCAAACTGTCAAGTCTTTTGTGTCAGTCTATTTAAATAATATTCAATCCCAGACATTTCAGTACAGACCTATCTTCAGTCATTTAAAATCAGATTAGATCATTCTAGAAAAAAAAACTCACTTCTAGTTAAGTAATGTCAAAGACAACCTGGAAAGTATTTATCCCTTAATTTCAACCAATAAATCATTTTCACTAACTGATTTTTGAAGATACCCGTAAGTGAACCACACAAAATACACTACCGTACTAATTACTTTTTCTAACAAAATCTATCGGTATATTACAGGTGTTAAACCGTTATTTGAATGGTCAGCAATTATTGGACGTACAGCGAATCCGGGTTCATTTCGATTTAAGTAAGTTATTATTATTGCTTTGAATTTCTGCATTTCGACATACTTGAGCTATTAATGTTGCTTAATAATCTGAATTAACCTAACTGTATTTCATTGAAATCATAGGTCAATATAAGTTAGACAATCATCAAACATCTGGAAGCACTGGATGGTCATTTCATCCTAGTAGGCGAGCCCTCAGCAGTGCGTGTCCAGAACCTCGTGTCCTTCAATCGAGTCCAGGACCTTTGGTCTCATGTACAAACACTTAAACTCTAGACTACTGGGTCGGGATACAATATTGTACGAGTCTAACTTCAGTCAATTATGTTTGTTGTCCCTATGTTAATCAAATGATTTAATGAAAATTACTCAAAGTTAACTACTTCGAACGCATTACAGAATGTAGTCAAAGTTCTGTACTTACCATAAAGGTTTTTTGTTCATTAAAATGAAATGATAATAGATCATCAACTATATTTCTCCTGTCGTTCAAATAATGTGAAGGGGTGACATGAAAATCGCCTTCTCGTTATTAAGTTCATTGAGTTGGTTCCAGAAGAATACATTTTATCGGCCTCCTGAAATTACGGTTGCGATTGTTTGGGACAGGAGTTAACACAAGAGGAGGAGGGATTGAAATGTTTCATATCATCAAAAATTACTCCCGTAGGGTGTGTGATACTCATAGTAGGTTTTTGGTACTCAAATTCATTAGTCATTTCTGAACATCGGTGAACGTTCACCGTGAACATATCCATGTAACCAGTAGTGACTTTACATGAATGAATAATCCTGAATTGCAAGTATTAGCAATTTGTGGGGATTGTTGAATTTTATAGTTTACACTGTGACCTGGCCTTAATCACACAACGGTTGAAAACTAGGAAGTACTGGACAACTGTTTCATACTAATATGGGAATAGCCGTGATTAGTGTATTTTAACCGTACCGAATATGAGACGGTTACTTATCGACAGCAATGGATAATGGCTTTGTATTATTGGGAACCAATTGAAATCAGACCCGTATTCGGTGCTGTCTTAGCAACCTAAAGTTTAAGTACTCACCGCCATATCTGAAGTCTCAAGTTTCGACCTGCTTATGAGTCTCATGCAAAATTGAGACAGCTCTACATTCCTTCATGACCTTGAAAGGCTATCTAACTGAACTTAATTCATGGTGTCAATGACATGATCCTGAATTTTAGGCAGTAATTGTCATTTTCTGTCTAAAACTGTCCCCGTTTCTCTTATTCATAGATACTTCCATGTTCTTATACAAGAGATGCAACTTAAACTTGACCAAGGCTTTCTTTATGATATAACCAATTTCTTTGCTTCTTCTGTAACCCATACATCTAAGGTAAGTAATATTATTGTATGCATATCATTTCTCTATCTAAGATTCCTGTTATTTTTTAAAAAAAACTAGGTTTATCATATAAGTGATCATTAGACAGTTTAACACTAACATGTATCGATGATGACCAACAGAGTCTATTTTACTCAAAATGAAGATGTTTCAACAAAGATAATTTTTATTTCAAAGATATTATCTACTGGAACTGTACAATCGTAATTATATGCAGAAATGGATGGTGGCTAGCAGTGTAATCCAAGACTCGCGTTTTGTCCTATCGAGACTCAGTAGCTAAGTGTATAACACGATGGCGTTTGAAGCTAGCGGTACTAGGTTCGTGTCCCTGAGTGTACATCAACTCTGGGATGTAGGTACACCCAGCTGACGAGTTCAAAACGGGAGGAAACGTGCGTCCCAGATTCCACTGCTAGCCACCATCCATTTGCTTATTATAAAGGATTTGTTTTATGCAATTAAGCTAGAATGGAATTTTTTCACCTTGTATGTACATTTATATACAATATATATGTATCCATATAAATTAAATTATGAAACATTATAGGTGGAATCTTTAAAGGTGAGAATCTGAACCGTATATCATTCAGACTTATGCTGATCGACTGTTTGTTTATTGATTTTTCTTAAAACTCGTTCAATTCTCATTCCATTACCAAGTGAATTTGTTTACACCGCATGCACGTCCGCATGTTTCGGTTGACTTGACTGCTGTGTTGAAATAGTATGTGTGTGTGAGAGGGGTATTTTCTAATTGGATCAATTATTGTTAACTTATCACTTTGTATATTTCTTTTCGGTTTGTTTGATGACGTTACTCAAATGAATATGTGATGTTGACATTTCAATAAATAATTGCCTTTAATTGTGTATATCTGTAATGGTGACTGATTTTCGTCTGTTTATCAACTATACAAATATCATTCATTACATAATGTGTCAATTCTCCTGTCTATCCGAAGATAAATATAAGTAATGTCCTAGCATCAATATATAATAGACAATGATAAACTATCTAGTTTGATTTAATCAATCATCGATCGACACAAAGAATAATATTGTTCCATTTATTTAAATCAGTTTACCTAGTTGTATTTAGGTTTAATTCATTGCGTACAAAAATGTATCGTTTCAGTTAGTCATATGCTACATAAGACCTTGGCAGAGCTGTACATCAACTCAAATTACCACACTAAATCAACACATCGAAATGAAATTATCAAGATAAGTCTCAGAACAGTCGAAGTAGGAAGTACCAGTAATATCAGTAGTGGTGGTAGAAAAACATTGGTTATAAACAATGTGATTTGAGAATAAAGAATGAACACACAGAATAAAATGTATGAAATAGTTTTGAAATAGAGAATCCTAGTGTAGACGAAGAATCAATACATCTGTACAATAGAAATCGATTCTGAGCCATTTCATCCAACGTCTCTAACTATCGGTCACAATAATCGAGTAATTAGTCAATAACTTCACGTCTTGTTCTAGCCGTAGTTATTTATCACGCACCCATACGTCCATTGTTAAATGGAAGATTTTTTGTCTGTGTCTTCTGTTATTCTTTTTCTGTCTGTCTATCAAATTAGCAACTGATCATTCCCTATCCATAATTGTCTTGATTACCTTATTGTGAATGAATCAGAATATTATGTTTTTTGATAAAATGAATTAACTATTTCATTCTTTTTATTTCGTCATCATCATCATCATGATTGTCTCTGTTCGTTGTATGGCCATATTATCCAGAATTGAAACATAATGTTAATTCTTTCCGTTGATTTTTTCTCACCTTTCACTTTGTTTAATCTTATAACACTTTAGGAGGAAGCGTTCAAACATGATTATCTTTTGATCACTAGTAAATTGATTGATTCACCAGTTGTACAAGCTCACCTGCAAGATGGGAATCGATCCATTTTTGATAGTTTTCATATTTCACCGATCAAAGTAAGTTTTGATAGGTTTTTCTTACATTTATGAGTGTAATTAAACATTCAAACCTTGTGAATGAATTTACTGTGGCACTTTTTATTTTAGATTGTAATGGTGAATTAAATAAGGATAAGATTCAAAAAGGCATGCAAGCATTGAAACTGAGAATAGACACATGTCAATGAAGCAAATGTATTTGATCACATAATAATAGCGATAAGTCAGTAGTGAGGTAATATGAATTGAAAAAAAGAGTTACTAAGGTGTTTTTTCGAGATATTAAAAATTCCCATTTTGTAAATCAGAGCAAACGTATATAAGCGAACAACATTGTTTCCAATTAGATTCTCATCCGGCTTTATTCCAACACACTAATATTTGTATGGTTATATGAAAATATTAAACCAATTAAAGCAGTTTATGAGTCAGTGATAACAATGAAACGCAGCTCCGCTCTATCACACTTGATCATTAGTGAGTCATGTAGTAAATAGAGTAATAAAGTAATTTATCTTCGATCTCATCTCTCGCTCATAACAGAAGCTGCAAGGATTCGAGTTAACAACTAAACTATTTATATATATGGAAAATTTGTTACACTTATCTTTTCATTGGCTGAATTAGGCCTAGCAAACGATTCTACGTATTATTATTCCCCATACCCTTTGTTCACTGTTTTCACCTGCTCGTATGTACTATTCACTGTCTTATTACGTAACTTCAGTAGTTTTTAACGAGTTTTACTTCAATGTTATATTTTAGCGAAGGAAGACTTGGTGGCGAAAACCGATCTATTCTTTAGTCTATAGTCATTTTCTTTTTTTAACAACTTTCTATTTCAAAAGGTACACGTCAGTTTTTCTCTTACTGGTAGTACAGAAGGAAAATCGTCGGCTTTCCCGAGTGAAGTACTTAATCTTTTCTTGCAATCTCTTGGTGTAGCATTAACTGAAGTACAAGATGTAGTTTTCAAGTAAGCAAGCTCAGTTATAACAATATCTCTTTAAAAAAATTTTCTCTTAACGTTTTCAAACTTATATTACATAACTTAATTGAAGGGATTTTGTAAGGATTAGTTTAATTTATAGATTGTATTTGCCACAGATTAAACTTATTCAAGATAGTATTCAATACCAGAGAACATTGAACAGAAGTGTGCACTTACGAACCAGACTCAGCACAGTCAGGTCTCGCGGTGAACGCTTAACCATTAACATCACTAGGTTGAGATCACTATAAGCTGTCGATTTATTCGTGGTTTGTAACTGTTAATGAATTATTTCTTAAAATACAAGCTTGTCATGGGTTGATATTACTTCATGATTCAATCAGACAATATTCGAAGATTATGTTGTATATCCATATTTAATCGTAAACAATATAATCTTTTACTCCTTTTTACCATCAGATATATATGATATAAGTTAACATTAAAGTACACAAACGTATTCACAATTATATATATGGAATTTTATTTATATTTCGACTAATATGAAATTGTTATACACCATTGTCTTATTGTGAAATTCTGCTCAATTATATAAATAGGACAGTTTTATGGTATTCTCTTAAGAATTAATCATAGCTATATATAAATGGATTATTTGTGCCTATTATATAACTTTTATGTTCTGAGTCTAGTCTGTCAGTCATTGTAAATATCGAACCTGGTACATATATGTACATCAGTTCAAGTTACTACATCATAAGATGAATCTTTCAGGAAAAATCTCAGAGTAGTATGAGTAGCAACAGTATTAGTGATAATAGAAACGATCAGGTATCGAGAATACTATTCATAAAATCAATAACAAAAAATAATCTATTTGATAATTTAGAAACTTAGGATTTAAAAGAAAGACAACGAATGAATTTCAGTCTTGTTACAAGCATATAAAGTTTACAATAATTATCACATACACTTTAAAATGATACCTTCCAGTCATTAAGTCAACAACAACGTAGAACTTCGTACGTACGTACATCAGTTGAAGTTGCCATATCACATTAGCACAGAGATACAATTGTTGATTCAGATCCCATAGTGCTAAAGGTAGTAAAAGTATAAACAGTAATAGGAAACATTAGGGTTTGAAGGTGTTAATCAAGGATTATAATCCAGTGAAATAAATTTGGAAAGAGAAAAAAGAAAGGGACATGAAGAATTCAGAAGATTAGAATTTGTGAGAACTCAAAGAGTGGATGCACCTGCTTAATTGCAAACGATTTTGAGTCATATCATTCAAGGTCTTTAACCATCGTTTGCTATCGTTTCGCGGATCCCAACCAGGTAGTCTACACCTACCAACATGACTCAGTCCACTTGTCAGTGACTTCATGGATACTATTAACTTTATTAAAATTTGTGTAGTCAATATTATGCCTAATATAAACTTCCAATGTTCATTAATGTTAAAATAAAATGAAAATTTTTCTTAAATAATTTATCATAATAATGAGAATAACTATAGAATAGATTAGATCACTTTGAAATTTTATTTCTTCTCTGTTTATTTCGTTAAAAAATGTGTTTCACATCAATTTCATTCTCCTTCCTTCTAGATTGGATTATTTCGAACGTCAAGCATGTATCATGACAATTAATCAAATGAGTACAGAAATTACACATCATTATGTTGGCCAAGGTGTTAGACAAATGTATGTACTAGTTTTAGGATTGGATGTATTAGGTAATCCATTCGGTGTATTACGAGGCTTAGCTCAAGGTGTTGAAGATCTCTTTTATGAACCAGTAAAAGTATGTTAACTTTGTTGAAACCATTTCTGATTAACAAATCAATAAATTGACTAGTGAGAAGCAAGAACAAACATTCTAGCAGAATAGCATGAATTCATTTTATTTCGTTGGTTGTCGTCAGCTGCTTACAACCTGTGATATTTAATATCATAATTGCAAAATGGGTTTAAATTAAACAGTTTAGTTGGAAGTTATATTGAAGACATATTAGTATAGTATAGCAAGGTTGTAAATAAATTTCATAGACTGAATACTGTAAATATATACCTTATGTAAAAGAAAATGCTACAACATTGATTGCGACAACAATTCAAACTGCCAGCAACAGGTGATTATATAATGAGTAAACATTGATAGGAATAAAATGAGTACAGTTCAGTTGATAAAATAAGATTAATAATCTAGAAGACAGTCTAAATAAAAAACTCAATGATGTAATAAATGCTAGAAAGAATTTAAAAAAGTGTTTTAAGATCCAACAAAGGAATATTTGTCACCAGGGCAAAGAAAGATTAATATCCATCTCCTTTTGAATACATAAATCAGGTTTTAGACGCCTGATAGCAACGGCTTCACAGGACTGGAGCTTGACTGTTTATTAATCACCTTAAAAGATTGCAAGGTATCAACTTGATGTCCAAGTCATATTTGGTAATTGCACTGTTTAGAATCGTTCTTTCTCTTGTTCTAAGGCTTTTTGGAATATGCTCAAAAAATTAAGATATGTCCTCCTTTCTGGTCGGCCAATGTAGCTACTTTGGCAGGTACACGTAAATTTATAAATACAGTTGGCGATAACATGAAAGAGGTATTTACAAACATAATCACCAGGAGGCTTAACCAGAACTTATCCGTCAGATAAACTATTAATTCTTTATAAAAACGACATGTTCAATAACCCAATCAAACGTTGACAAGCAGGTTGTAAGCAGTTGACGTGAACCAACGAAATAAAATAAATTCATGCTATTCTGCTAGAATCTTTGTTCTCGATCTTTTCAAAATTATATATATATATATATATATATATATATATATATATATATATATATATATATATATTGATTGACTTGTTATTTGCTTGTTATTTGTTATTTCCTGCCTAAATGCACCGCAATTTTTGTTATTTTATTATAGGGTGCAATTCTTGGTCCGGAAGAATTTGCTGAAGGTGTCACTCTAGGTGTACGAAGTTTGCTTGGTCATGCTGTAGGTATGTCAAATTCGAATCATTGTCTTATAGTTGTTCGTTTATTTCACCATCAATTGTCTAACACTCATTTTATATGCCAGTAAGGGGTTGTGGAGATTGCTGACTTTCACTGACAGCATGAACCTATCTAGGTTAGACTGGCAACTTTGTTCAATGGTGTAGAGACTAAGATTTAGCGCGCTAGACTAAAGGCCCCGGGTTTGATTCCCTATTGCTGGATCACAGATGTGCACTGGTTAGGAGTCCTATACTAGAACGAAGCGGCTATCCAGGTTTTCAATGGTTGCCTAAATTAGATTGGTTCGTGATTCCAATTAAACTCATTTTATGGTTCACTTCATGGACTGATGTGGGTTAGGCAACCTCCGAAAACTAGGATATCTACGTTGTCCTGTTATGTGACTCCCCAATAGTGTACATTCACGATCCTACGGGAGGTCAAATTCAGGACCTACATGGATCGTGGCGAGCGCTTAACCCATGGACAGATGAACTGAGATCCAACGATTTACATGTTTCGCTTCAATTAATTCATGACATTGAGTAACAATCATTTAATTTTACCTGTGTGTAACTGTCTCATACTCAACGTAGTTGAACTCCACTTGCCACAGATTCTCTTTAGAACTCCAAGAATAATATCTCATACTGTTTACTTGATTCATTATATGATCTTCCATTCAAGAATTAATCTTCTATCAATGTATCGATTCAAACAGAAGTTGTATAATGCTTTCTTTTCATTACTATAATTATGCATACAAAATAGTCATCAATGTTGTGAAATCTCTTAAGTATTAGTAACATACAAATTTTCACACTCAAATAAGTCTTTAGCATTTATGTGTAATGATATGGTTTGCTTAGTGTTAATAATTAAATCGTTCTTCGTTTAGGTTTTATGCTTATAGGTGATTTTTAATAAGATTTATAGCAATCATTTTACTACACCACTTCTTCCTTTTGAAGGTGGGGCAGCTGGTGCAGTTTCACGTATAACTGGCACACTTGGTAAAGGTATCGCTGCTTTAACTCTAGATGAAG